TACATTGTTTTTGATACACCTGGAAGCATGTGTTCATATTTTTATATCATTCACTCACACAAGGGATTTTTGAGGAGTGAAAAAAGTTAAAACATCAACAAAAAAGCCGACAGTAACTTGAGTTATTTTAAAGAGGTCGTTATGGATCTGGGAAGAAGTGAAGGTGAGGAATTTGTAGAACGCAATACAGCGTAAAAAAACACAATGGTTCTTGTTTGTTCAGATGGTTTTCCACTTGTTGAACTGTGGGATCAAATGAACATATCAATTATCAATTGTCCATAAATGTTACAGAGGCGGGGGCCTGTCTGTGCGGGAGAATAACTCACATCTACGGCTCCTGAGGGTCACTGGACAAACACGTCAAAAGGACAGCAGCAGAAATACCCTGAGTAAACGATCGATCAAAGGTTAAGTATTTCAACAATGTCCCGTAGGAATTTATTTTATTCAATAGTAGGTCTTTTTTATTCATATTTTCACAGACCAGAGTCACAAGCTTTTTTTAATTGTTGAAACCGGAGCGCCCAGAGGAAACCTACATACCTGGAGGTGGAATTGAACTCTGGACCCTCTTGCTGTGAAGTACATGAGCTAACCACTGTGCTACCGTGACGCCCATAATATAGTGTTGACATATCAGCAGTGGTTTTCAAAAGAGTGGAAGACAAATCAATATAAAATACATTTAAATATATTGAAAAGGAGGTGGTAAAAGTAAAATATTGATTGTATTGGTGAAAATGAGGTAGATGATGCATACAATGAATTCCTGCAAATATTTAAGTTTCTCTATGATTTGCACTGTCCAACAAAAAAGGAGGAGAGGCCATGGATAACAAAAGGGATAAGGAACGCATGTAAAAAAAAAAATGCTCTGTACAAAACATTTCTTAGGAATTTGGAATCTTAGGTTCTTAGGAAAACCTTAGAATCTGAAACAAAATATAAAAGGTATAAAAACAAACTAACCAATATAATGCGAATATCTAAGAAAGAATACTACACAAACCAGCTTGAGAAAAATAAAAATAGTATGAGAGGCCTATGGAGTACATTAAATAGTGTTATAAGAAGGAACACCGGGAAAAACCCTGTTCCAGATTATATCACACATAATGGAAAAAAAGAAGCCAAACTGGGCAACATTGTAAATAGGTTTAATGACTATTTTGTTAACATTGGGCCCAAAATGGCAAATCAAATTAATAATTTGGACAATGCAAATGTTCTAGAAAATGTATTGGAAAGCAGAGATTCATTGTGTGTGACTCCTACAGATACAAAAGAAATTATAGATTTAGTTAACCAATGTAAGAGCAAAAACTCTAGGGACTATAATGACATTGATATGACTCTTATCAAAAGGGTCATACATGAAATTGTGGTGCCCATAACTCATATCTGTAACCTATCTCTCCAGACTGGGAAATTCCCAAGTCAAATGAAAATTGCCAAAGTTGTGCCTATATTTAAAAATGGTGATAGTCATGAGGTGCTAAATTACAGACCTGTATCGATTCTACCTCAGTTCTCTAAGATCCTTGAAAAACTTTTCTCTAATCGTCTTGATAGGTTTATAGAACAATATAATTTACTCAATGAAAGTCAGTATGGCTTTAGAAAAAATAGAGGAACTGCCCTAGCACTAACAGAAGTATTTGAGGATATAACCAACAGTATTGACCAAAAGCTATACTCTGTAGGAATATTTATAGACCTTAAAAAAGCGTTTGACACAATGAACCATCAAATACTACTGCAAAAAATGGAAAAATATGGCATTCGTGGAGTTGCACTGAACTGGGTCAAATCATACCTCTCAGACCGGAAACAGTATGTTCAACTGGAGGAATGTATGTCTGAAATGCAGAATATTACTTGCGGGGTGCCACAAGGATCGATTTTGGGTCCTATGTTGTTTTTATTATAGATAAATGATCTCTGTTATACCTCTTCTAAACTGAAATTCATACTATTTGCTGACGATACAACGATTCTGTGTTCAGGAAAGGATTTATAGCTTCTTATGACGGAAATCTCAACAGAAATAAACAAGTTAAAACAATGGTTCGATAATAACAAACTGTCAATGAATATTAGGAAAACAAAAATGATGATTTTTGGGAAACAAATCAAAGATACTGAAGTAAAACTTAAAATCAACAATATGGAAATAGAGAGAGTTCACAAATGTAAATTTCTGGGTGTGATTTTAAGTCATAATGTAAGCTGGAAACCCCATATAACAAGCATACAATCAAAAATGGCAAAGAGTATATCGGTAATGTACAGAGCTAGACATCTGCTAAAATATAGAGCCTTACATTTTATATATAGTTCTTTAATTCTCCCATATATCAGCTACTGTGCGGAGGTTTGGGGTAACACTTATAAAACTCATTTAGATCCACTTTTAAAACTTCAGAAAAAAGCCATAAGAATCGTTCATAATGTTGGTTTTAGGGACCATACAAATGAGTTGTTCTTAGCATCTCGTATAATGAAAATTGAAGACTTAATTAAATTTAAAACTCTTGTTGTATTATACAAAGCAAGTCGTGACCTTCTCCCTAGGAACACTCAGAAATTGTTCAGCAGTAGAGAAGGAACTTATAATTTAAGAGGAGAATTTGTGATGAGGAAACATTGTGTTCACACCACCCTCAAAAGTATGTGTATCTCCCAAGCAGGAATAACATTGTGGAATGACCTAAATAAAGAGACAAAACAGAGCAAAACACTAGTACACTTTAAAAAAACATGTAAAGACATTATCTTTAAAAATTATGCTAGTGAAGTATCATAATTACTATTATTTTCACAGACAGGCACACACTCGCGCTTTTTTGTTGTTGTTATGGGGTTTGCCCGTATATGAGGATTGAGGTATTGTAGAGAAGGATAAAAAAAAAAGAAAGAAAAAAAAAAAACATCACTAAAACCGAACATTTACACATGCATAAGTTCGATGCATTGAGTTTGTAAAAAATGTGTCGATTCCAGTCAGATGAAGTGATGTTGCAATATAATTGTTATACATATTAAATACCATATGGTGTATTTATTTTTGTAAAACTGTAAATGATAAATCCTTTATTTATTTTGTACGACTGTAAATGATAAATCCTTTGTGATAATTTGTGTTACTTGAATGAGAGATAAGGGGTAGGTTTATTATAAGTTCTTTGAACTTCTTCCTACTCCTTTTGAGCACAATAGTCTTGTTTTGTTTTCTTCTGTAAAATGTTTTAAATAAGTTTCTGCTCAAATAAATAAATGAAAGAAAGAAAGAATTACTAGTCTACACCAAAGGCAGTAAGTACAACACAAGGCAATATTCAGAATGTTATTGAAATGTTAAATGCCATCATCTGCATGTGAAAGCCAGATCTTATCAGACCTCTAAATTTAAGCAAGTTAAGGCCTGGTTAGTACTGTGATGGGAGACCTCAGGGATCATCAAAAACTGTGAAGTGCCAAACATTTGTGGTGTCCTTGTGTGATCTTCATGTGAAGACACGTAGAACAAGTATTTATGTCCAACTCAAACAAATCACATGAAACACTTTTAAAGTTGTAACTTTTATATATTTGTATATATTTATATATTACACATTTAATACAGGCGTAATGCAAAAATCATAAAGACAAAGTGGCAAAGATATTGGTTGATATATGTACAATTTGACAATCATTTACACATTGTTTATCTCCAAGTTAAGAAAAACATTATCGTGAAAGTGAGAAGAACAAAGTTGCTGTGGATTTGAATTGAGAGATAGCAAGAACCAGCTTGCTAAAATAATTGATTTTTGTAAACATGGCAAAGCTCTATTGTATTCTTATGGTGTCATGATATAAATCTAATATTAGTTTTCAAATCTTGGCAGATTTAAGTTTAGAGTTGCTAACAGGCACAGCATTAGGAAATATACAAAGTGTTGGATTTTTCAATCACGTCATTAGCTCCTTGTCACATGTTTGGTGTCTGAAGTAATTCAACTGTTCCTGAAGCCCCAGAGGAAAGTAGCCTAACACAGTGTTTGTGCTTTTTAATTCAATGTGCTTTCTTCCAGCCTCCTCAGAGACTAGAACAACATAACCACATCTACCACACTGCATTCATTATAAGGCCTTCAAGGATTATTCTTTCAGTTTGACTGCACCTGATTTGCACTTGTGCTGATTTCACTTGTAGGTTTTAATCAAAGGCAAAAAGGTTCTTTTTTTGGAAGACTTGAGTTGTACAAAGACGAGACATTTCCCTTCAGCATCCGATAAAGTAGTAAAAACAAAACTGGCACAATGTTACGCATAAGACTCATTAAATGCAGACAGAGGTCGATTCAGGCACAACTCAACATTAACAAGGCACCTGGTGCCTGAAACATGGCCGATCGTACAAAAGGTAGCATTAGGAAAATCCCTTCCATTTTAAAGCATCTATGAGACCAATTTGTGTCCAGGATAAAAAAGAATTAGGGGATACACATCTAATGGTGATTAAAAAAGACAGTGACCACAGGTCCCACTGATGGTGATTACCACCGAGAAATGTAGCTTAAATCTGGAAACCCAAGTCTGGGTCAAACTATTAGTCAATAATTCAACAAGTATTTGATCCACAGTAACACAGTAACAGGCACTGAGGTCAGATTTTTTTGCATTTGTTAAAAAGCACTTGTGCCACAAAGAGACAGGCATTAGTGAAACGTGATCCGAGTTATCGTCGGACAAACTGTAGATGTACAGTTTGTCTCTTCTTTTATGTTTATTGTATTTTAGATTGTTAGTGCACATTAGATTTATATCTATTCCATGAACAGTTTCTGTACAAGTGTTTTGAACATCATGTTGACATGTTTGTTATTCTTTTCTCTTCTTTTTTCACACAGTGTTCATTACTCAGTGCTGCTTCATTGTAGTGAGTTTCCCACTTCCAAGGTCAAACCAATACCTGCGCTTGGATTCACAAAGGATGGATTCATGGCCAGACCTCAGCAATCTGCCATGTACCGGCCTGAAACGCACACAGAGTTCACTTAGTCCTTAGCTCACTCCATGGCAACAGTGAAAGTCAAACCCACCTGTAGCAAATCTCTTCTTATTGAGCGAGAGTCTGTATCCGGGGCCGAGCAGCTCCATGTCTACCCCCGACAGAGTGCTGCCCTCGTTCATAAACTGCACGGCAAGAGTGGAGGGCGTGGACGGCCCGTTGGAGAGCTCAAACTTGGCTCTGATAGAACCAGAACCTGAGGCAGAAACGGGACATGATATAATACCACAGAAATCAACAAAGCTGCAGTCAGAGCTGTCCTCACGCCCAGAGCACACTTCACATCACTTCACTGCAATTATTCTTTTAACACGAGGACTCCCAGAATACTGAAACTACTAGAACTCCCCGAGCAGTCATTTTGACTGCTCCCCTTCAAATCACTGGAATTCTGAGAAATTTCCCCAAAAGAGATTTAGTTTTTCCACCAGATTTATTAATAGTAAGTAATGCACAATTAATTTTGTATTGTATTTTTAACTTTTACTTAAAGATGCAGTCAGTGATTTTTTCCAGACACATTTTTTTAAATATTGTGGGATTTTCTAAAACCTTAAATGGCTGAACAGAAAATGCCAATTTCATGTTTGCCACCCAATCTCCCTGTTGTGACAAAGAAAAGAAAATGCTGGATGTTTGGTTTGGTGGAGAGGCGAGGGGAGGGGGGAGTGGCTTTAGTTGGTGCTACGGCTAAGCTAACAAAACCTTTTATTTTAACTGCAAAAAAGACTAATGCTAACTGCTGCCAGTAAACAGGGTGTTGCTATGGTGACTAGCACTTTATATTCTCTGGTGGAAAAGTAGTTAAATATAGAACTTCTCAGATTTAAAAAATAAAAGATAATTTCCTAAAAAATAATTATATAGAAATAAACAACATATAGAGACAGAAAAAGCAAACGATTACCACAATCTGAGTAATTACACCTGAAAAAATTAAAGCAGTCAAATTGACGGCTTCTAGTGTTAAAAGTCCAGAAAAAGAGACTAGACAAAAAAACATTTGCCAAAGGGACAAATGTTTTTGCTCCGTTAGAATACAAAAGCTACTGTTCGTTTGGTGAAAATATTTTAAGCAGAGTTTCAAACATTTACTTCCTCATATTTGATCATTTTTAGCAGCGTCATGACTTACCCTCATTGTCACCTTTGTCTGAGATGTCGCTCAGCTTCCACAGACACTTGTTCTGCTCCGAATTCCTTTACAAACAAAAACACATTTGACTTTATCATCGTCTAAAGAGGGTCCTCAAACGGGACCAGGATTTCATTCCAACCAAGCAGGAGCAGAACAGACTCCGCCAATTTCCTCAGCTGAGTCCAGTCTTAACCTGAAGATCTGAGTCTGGTGTGCTGCTGCTAAATATTTCACTGGAAAAAGACCTGAAGAATTGGATATTCAGTTGTTTTAATGCACTGTAATTATTTACAATTTAAATGTTTCTTGTTTTGTTAATAACAATAATAATAATAATCCTGACTAGAACCAGGAAGTACGACCAACATTAGTCCAGTCCTCAGGTCTCTGCACTGGCTTCCTGTGGCTCAGAGAATAGACTTTAAAACAGCTCTGCTTGTGTACAAGTCTCTCCATGGCCTCGCACCAAAATATATTAGTGACATGTTAGTCCCATATGAACCAGCCCGGACTCTGAGGAGCACAGGGACTGGACTCCTGTTAGTGCCCAGAGTCAGAACTAAACATGGGGAGGCTGCTTTTCAGATTCATGCTGCTAAGATCTGGAACAGTCTTCCTGAAGATGCGAGACAGGCCTCCTCTCTGACAATGTTTAAAACCAGGTTAAAAACGGTGCTGTTTAGCTGTGCATACAACTGAGGGATTTTATATTTTTATCTTTCTTTTTAATGTTCTGTGATTATTTATGATTTTAATGCTTTCTTGTTTTGTTCAGCACTTTGAGTTGCCTTGTGTATGAATTGTGCTATACAAATAAACTTGCCTTGCCTAATACATCATACTTATACAGTATAGTGCTTTACAGAAGAACAAATCAAACAAAATAAAAAGCTACAACTTTAAGAACTTTTGAGTTGCCTCATGTATGAACTGTGCTATACTAATAAACTTTCCTCTTAAGTTAATTGCCATGTGTATGTGGTAATATAAGCTCCTTTTTTAGTGCCTCAGTCTTGATTTTCTTTTGCTTTGTGATACTGATCCCTGCACTGAAAAGCACCAAAAAGTTCTGTACAATTTCAAACAGGAGATAGAGTTTGATAAAAAAAAAAAACCAAAAAAAAAAAACAAAGTGTGTACAGGGCTTTTAAGTGTATTTCCCCCTCACCAGACAGAGTTGGGGAGAGACTGCATGCTGGTCACCCCTCCGTCCACAGGCACTAGGATCTGGACGTTGGTCAGGGGTCCCGGCGAGGCCATGGAGTCCGGGTTGTAGCGGTAGTCCAGCCGCAGGTCTGTGGTGCTCGCTGTGCATTTCCAATACACCGCCAGGTTCAGAGGCGTGGAGAGGATCCCGTCTGTGAGCACCTGCACCAAACCACACACCACGGAGCATTTAGAGAAGGACAAAATCGTAAGCATGTCTTCATACTGATGCAGCCAAACTTACCTGGTATTTCAATATGTCAACATTGAAGTAAGAAGCTGAGGGGTTTTGCTCCGACACTTTCCTGAGGTAGGACATGAGCGCTTGAACGTTGAAACAGTAGTCCTTACAATCGGACTCACTTTGAGACGGATCACTGGACCAAAGGAACAATATTAGTGTCAGAGAAAGTGCAGACTTTTGTGAACAATTATGGACATACTGTGTGTCTATGCCACTTATTTACATGCTCATATAGAGGGATTTAGAAAATGAATGTATGCATGTATTCTTAAATGTCTAAGATATATGTATGTGCAATATATATTTATGTATTGTTCTCCCTGTCATAAAAAACTATTTTAGGAAATCTTTTGTTTGTCTGATTGTATTCCTTCCACATTCCCTTCCTCTATTTAAAAAAAAAAAAAGAATAATGAATATTTCAGTCACACAAACAATCAAAAAACAAACATTTATGGACATTGGTATTCCCTATGGACTAATGGCTCATATGCTATGTGTTTATTATTATAGCATTTCCTGTGTTTAAACTGTTTCTTCTCTACAAAGTTGTCGATTCGTAAACGTAAAACTGCTGTTGTGATTTAGGGCAATTGTAAGATAAAATTGATTGAATTGAATTAGAGAGTTACAGTCGTTTTACTTTCAAATAATGCTCAAGTTGAAGTAAAAAGTGGTCATAGATTGTAAGAGTATGACTCAAATAAGAGTAACTTACGTCACTTACGTCCATTTATTCTAATATGGGGTTGAAATGAAGCTTTCTAAAAATATACCAAAAGCCTCCTCACATCTGACTGCTACTTCTCAACACTAAAAGTGGCCAATGTGCTGCAGAAGTTCTAAAAACAAAGGTTGATTGATGGAAGAAGCCACTACACAAAACAAACTAAACCACTGCCCCCGGTGCACTCAGTTCTTAGGTTTGCGTCATAAAAACAAAAACAAAGAAATGCCAAAAAACCCAACAGAAGCGAGTGGTAAACAGCAAGCTTCTTTTGACGTATGATTTGTGCGATATGGTGTTGAATGGTTTGGAACTGGCTGTTATTTTAGAATAAAAAGTTGTTCAGATGAGGTACGGTCTGTTGAAAGCCCGGTCATTAGCGTTTGGGGGAAAATATTTGGCCTGACAGTTTAATGATAGGTTTATGTCAGATTACTAATTGAATTTCCTCCCACTGACGCACTCTACATTTCCTCAGTTCTCCCGCAAATCACGAGCGGACATCTCTCTTTCAGGCACAGTCTCTTGGAGCCCGCTCACCTGTGAAGCAGCTGCTGGTTGGGGAGGATCTGCTCCAGTCGGCTGGTGTTTCGGAGGCGGAAGGTGAGAACGGCTGGTGACGGGTTGGAGGTGAACACTTTGATGATGCCCATGGGGAATGAAAGCGTCATGTCTCCAGTAATCTTCACAATACACCTGCAGAGACACAAACGCCACTGTAACCAGTTTCAACCAAAGCAGCAAAACCTACATTTATTGACATTGCTGTTTAACGGCTTCATGGCAGTATTTGGTTAAGTTGAGCATGACTTGAGATCGAGCCTTTGCTGTGGTGTTCACTGCGTCTCTATGCTGCATTGCTCCTGAAATGTTCCATTTGCTAATCCCTGAAAAAATAAGCCTTTTTCACAGCAGCAATTTAACGGCAGTTAACCAATAAAAGGCTGTATGTTTTCTCTGCCCGACACTATAATCTGCCCCATGCATGTTATCCATACTGAAAGAATGGTGTCAGACGAAAGGAAAACATTCTGCACATGGAGTGAAATGACGACGATGGAAGCAGCGGCCTGAGGCCTGTGTACAGGACATCGATTCTTAATGACCGTTTTTTACACTAATCAGCAGCAGATTGTCATGTGAGACTCACTTGGACGGATCAGCTCCTTTGAAGTAAGCATTAACCGTTTCAGTGAAGGCAACAGCAATGGGCAAAGCGTCTTGGGAGCCCAAGGTCACAGGGCTGGGACCACGCGAGGTGCCTGCAGAGAAGAACCAACACCTTCAACTTTCACTTCTAGCATTTAACCCTTTACAACCTTAATTATTAGTAGTTAGTAAGCCCCATTAGTAAATTGGGGCTGTTTAAGATTTGAAAAGGGTTCATCAACATTTGATATGCTTAAAAGAAATACAATTAAACACATTCATACACTTAGTTACAAGATTACTTACTTAATGGATTTCACATATTGAATATTAGGACTAGTAAAAGAGTTTGTATAGTAAAGAAGGTCTAAGGGGAGAAAAAGCTCAGTACAACTGTAGACTTCATGTTTTCTGGGATGCCCCTGTCAGCTGATTGATTGCAATTGTCCAGCGCATTCAAAAGCAGGGTCTGGGGTCCCCTGGAGGCCTGACGTACTGTTCCTTCAATGGAAATTAATTTAACAGCGACATTATTTATTTATGTATTTAACGATAGCCCCAATGAGATGCATCATCTCTTTTTCAAGGGGGTCTTTTACATTAAGAACAGAAAGTTCTGCACCAGATTATAGCTAGTTTCCATCTGCAGTCCCTGGTTACAGATAAATAAAAAATGGGTTTAAACAACTGCATAAATACCCCTTTTGAAGGTTAAATAATGTCATGTTTATAATAGCCCTGTTATCAAAGTTTAATTATACATTTCTCTTTTTCAAAGTAAAGTATAAAATTAGTATTATTATTATTATTACTATTATTATTATTATTATCTTTATTTGTCAGACTCAAAGTCCGGGCAGCACGGTGGCTGAGTGGATAGCACTCTCGCCTCTCAGCAAGAAGGTCCTGGGTTCGAATCCCGGTTGGACCAGGGCCTTTCTGAGTGGAGTTTGCATGTTCTCCCCGTGTCTGCGTAGGTTTCCTCCGGGTGCTCCGGTTTCCCCTACCACTAAAAATATGTACAATAGGTCTGGCATGTGCCTCCTGTACTTGCACCCCCACTCCCAAAAATAACAATTGTAAACCGCTTTGAGACTCCGATGTGCAGTGAAAAGGCGGTATATAAATAAAAATTACTTACTTACTTACTACATAAAATACATGTTTTTTATGAACTTAAACTCTGAAAGGACAGAGTTTAAGTCGTTATTGGGGGGCCTCAGGGTTCTTCTGATTGGTTGGGGAAAGGGGGTACAGAATAACTTTGGGAATGGTCTTTGTAATATTAATGCCTATGTGAGCACCACAAACACAACAGCCCGAGATCAATCTGAGTTAAAATGTTAACTTTATTCATTGCTCGTCGTTTTCACTTCATAACTAGTTCCGTTCCAGTGCAAGACTGGCGCCACGGTTACTTACGATCTCGTTGATGCCTGTGAGTTTTCCCGTTGGGAGCTTGGGTCTGGAGGAGGGCCGGGGAGGAGGCATCAGGGCTCCGGCCGTCAGAGGCGTGGTGGGTCTGTTGGGGGGAGGCACTGCCAAAACACAACGTTGGATCATCAATAACAAGGCATAGAACCGCCAGAGACGGCCTTGGGACTCAAATCAAAAGCGTGCAAAAAGTAATGGAACGTGCTTCATAAACATCACAAATACACATTGTACAGAACATTTAAATGAAAATTAACCCAAAAAATTACAGAAATGTGCATCGATAACCAAAAATATATAGTCTACGCTGTAACAGAAGGAGGTCTCTTCAGTTTCTCTCATAATCATCAGTGTATTTCTCATAACTGTGGTTGAGACAAGGCTTTCCACATAAAAAAATCATGCACTACACAACAACAAAAAACAAAGATTGATTATCAAACACTGGAATGCAATAATAGACTCCAAAAGTGCAAACACGGATATTCACCTTACTCCGGAAGTTGGCCCCATTTTATGATAAGAATTGCATGGTTGTATTACTGGGTGTTGTCAAATACGTTTTCTCACAGACCAAAAATCTGTTTGAAAGTTTCCCAGAGGAGGAGCACAATGTCTTTTGGTTGTTATTATCTGTTATTGTTTACATATTGTTTACAACATCAACATTACTGTAAATGTGCCAGTATTAGCTTAAAAACATGATTAGCTACAGGTAGTTTTAAACGTAGTCACTCGACAAAAAACATGAGAATGAAAGACTTTTAAAGATTGTGTTGCTTTGTTCTTTAATAAAAATCAATGGGATTCCAGCTTAACCAGTTGCAAAAAGACAGAAGTGGGCCAAGGTGGAATAGGGTCAATCGAAGAAATCACATCAAATAAAACAATTGAAACAGGCGAAATATAAAACACTGCAACATTTCAGGCAACACTCTCGCATGCGTTCTCTCGATCCAAAAGTTACCATTAAACACAACGTTTGAAGAAGCCGCCGCCGCTTTATCTGCACAGAAGACATCGGCAAAGCGGTCGGGGCATTCCTCTCGACCGGGCGCCGCTTTCCCATCCGATGACCCGTCTGACAAGAAGCAGCTCGATCTGCGTAGGCTGGAGCAGGGCAGCTGTGGCTCCTTCACCGAGGGCCCGGAGCTCTGGTGTCGACCGGGAGCAAAACTGTCGTTGAAGGCGATCCACTGGCTTTGGGACCAGCTCACGGTGGAGAATGCGTCCACGCTCTTTGGGGGGCTGTCGGGTGGGCTCTGGGCGGCCAGGTCGGTGGGCAGGGTGATGGGGGCACTGCGGGCTCTGGCTGGTGCAGGTTTGAGGGCCGTTGAAGGGTCTCTTGCCGATACCCACGGTGAGGCAAAGGACGAGGCTTCTTTGGACGGTTGGAGTCGTGCCAACGGAGGAGAGCACTTGTAGCGTGGCGTGGGGTCCGCTGGGATCAGAGGCGACAAAGTGAATGACAAACGCTAAATGGTCGTCCCGGGTGTATGTTAGGAAACGCTGTATATTCACTGCATAAATCAGGCTGGTTAAAAACTGCTGTACACTGCAAAAAGCGATGAAAAACAAATTCTGCAAAATTTGAGAAACAAAAATCAACAGTTCTTGAAATAAGAATAAATTGCTTTGTTCCATTGGCAACTTTTGTTTTAAGACAGTCAGGATGTACTTAAATTAAGATAAAAGCCACTTGATTCAAGCAATTATTACCTAATAATAATCATTTTTTGCAGAGTGCCCAATTTTCAAAGCACAAGAGATATGGAACATTGAAATAGAAATCCATCTAACATGACCCACAGGAGACATGGCTCAGTTGGTAGAGCATTAGTCATTGTTTTATAAAGTTTACAGAGGAAAAATGTCAAGGTAATAACATCGCTAACTTACTATTGTCTAGTATAGAAGGACTAAATATTTTTATTGGTAATTGAACCTAATGGTCATGGGTACAATCCCCCCATGACTCCTGTCGCCTACTCCCACTGAAGTCGGCATCGCTGTGTCCCTGAGCAAGACACTTACCCCCACTTTGCCTGAAGCCCCAGTTGAATCACTAACAGAGCAACTATCTTCCTGCAGGGGAACGCACCAACCTACAGGAGGATCAGTGAGCGGCTGGTGCTATGAGAGTAAGGTGGCAGCTTGGATTGTAGGGGTGTCATTATCGATACGCATTTGGCAAGTATCAATATCGATTTAAAAAAATAAAAAAAAATAAATAACATTTTTTTTTTTTACAATTTTTTTTTTTTTAAATTGGTATCAATACTTTATATATGGCTACATTACGCATCTCCATTCCATTTATCATGAAATAAAGAGTAATTTTTCTTTTATTTATGCCATAAATTGGCATATTGTATATTTCTGACCAATATATCAATAATCGTCATATCGTTATAAAATCGTTATCGTGATATCGTTATTGTACTGTTACACCCTTTTTTTTGTTATGTACATTTTATAAATTGTTTTTTTTTTGGCGAGTTTGAATACTGCCCTCTAGTGGACAACTTGGGTATAAGTTTCGTTTTTTCTGCACACTCATCATTCAACGGTCAGCTCACGTGCAGTTCAGCTCACTCAGACACCCGTTTTTCAGCCTTGAGGCATCTTTGTCCGTAAGTGATGTATGATGTGTGGTTTTTTGATGTTCTTTTGTTGATAAAAATGTGTACAAATAAGAATTTGTGAAAATGAGAAGTTCTTTTTGTTGCTACTACTTTTCTAACTGCTAATTTTGTGTGTTAGCTCCATTTTGTTTTAAGCTAGGCTTTACGCTCCAATCTAAAGTTCAGAAGTACAAAAATGTATTTTTTCTGTGTTACACGAGTTACATGAGTAAAAATGTAAGATGTAGTGTTTCATTTACTGACTGTGTAGTAAGCTGTAATATTCATTAATTTCTTTTGGAAGTACATTGTTTTGTACAATTTATTGATACTTGCTTCTATGTATTGTGTTACAGTTTTACAACTTTAAAGAGACAAGTGTGGAGCAAAAAGTAAAAGTTAACGTCTCTACATGGTCTACCGGACTCTCTTTTGTTGTTCGCTATCTGTCTAGCCCTGGTAGTGTGACACCATAGTGAGGACAGAATAGTTATCGTGATATTATCGTTATCGTGAGCTTTGTATCGTGTATCGTATCGTATCGTGAGGTACCCTTAGGTTCCCACCCCTATTGGATTGCCACCCCACGACCCATAAATGGACTAGCAGAGGGGATGAAAATGAATTAACTTGTCCCTCGTTCAAAAACAGTTTGGTTCAGTCACTTGTTTTCGCATTCATGGCCTCAGTCTCAGCCCAAAGCTTCCGTGGCTTGCAGGACTCTTTCTTCCATATTCCTTTGCATGTTAAATGTGGGATGATTTTACGAGAATCTTTTAATATTTTATTTCAACTCGAGAGAAAAAGTTGGGTACCTCAGCTTTAATCACCACAAAAACAAAACAAAGTGATGGTAACTTTGGTAAGATTACGATCTGTTGTTAGTTAGAACATTCTTAACTGCTTTTACGACACAATCACATTGAACAAAATTAGTCCAATCCTCCAGCGGTGCATGCGATCTAGGGCAGAAGTTTTGGAAGAAAAACAACATATTTCTCATAACAAAAAAAAGTTAGTAGTCAAATTATTAAATGAATGGAGACGGTATTAATTGCAGCATTCAAACAAGAAAAGTCTGATTGATCAACACAATCTTTCTTCCATTTATTTCCATTTAAAAAAAACAAATCCAAACCTCAAGCAGGTGTCAATAATGGTAAAAACAACATGCTCTCATATTTTTGAAAAGTCTTTGAGCTGCACATTTTACCTGGAGCCTCTGGGAGAAACACATCGTCACACTCATTTACCATAAAAGCTGGAGATGGAGGGTTTGGGTAGGAAAGAGAAGACAGATCTGACGAAAAGCCAAATTTTACACGTTTAGACTAAGTAATGAGTGATAAAACGAAGTAGTGGAAGTATTGGGCACTAAAGGCGTTTAATCTGTTAAGTGCCATGTGTGCCGTTGGAGCTGGTAAGTCACTGTACACAGATTACCACGGCGATAAGCACGGGCCTAAATCCCCTCAGTATGGGCCGATCGCTGATGCTCTTTTGACTTTTAAGCAGTGACCTTCGACAGTAATGAGACACTGTTTGACAACATACGTGCTGGTGCGTTTTATCGCCGAGCCGCTGATCTTAACTAGGTGCCAATTAACTGTGGATTACGCTTAGTCCGGGCAATGGGTCAGTGCTAATGTCACTCTCTTTAAACCGAGGAGCCGCGGCGAAAGGGGAGACACTGCACTGGGTCGTGTCTGCAGAATAGGCAGCAAAGTTGAAAAGTCGAGCGATGTTACTAATGGTTTGAGGGTGAAACTTATTGTAACACAGGCTGATCCTAAAGTTTGAGAATTTAAAAGGGTTCTGCAGACAAAATCAGCAAAGGAATTGGCAGACAAAATAAAGGCTACGGGTGGTTTGAAGCAGAAACTTTTACAGATACAGACTTATCTTAAAGTGTGTCAATTTTCTTGCTTTAAATCAATCGATGTTACGGACCACAAACAAAACTTTCGATGATGCAGATTGATCCAAAAGTTTGTAAATTTGAAGATTTTTGTTGCTGGAAACAGCAACAAAAATCAATGCTACAAACGTCTTGAAGCTGAAACATTTGATCGTACAGACCAGGCGTGTCCAAACTAAGGCCCACTGTGTCAATATATGTGGCCCTCTACCTTGCCGTCATTGAGGTACTTTCACAGTGTCATCCAGCCAACTCCAAAGAGCTAACCACTGCAGCCATTGTTGTATAGTTCAGAACCTTAATTTACTTAATTTCTATATACTGTACAGTATACATTTTAATTATTATTGTGTCACAAAATTCTATATGGCGCTAAAGTAGCTGCGGTGTGAATGAATATAGGATACATCAAACCCCATTTAAAGCCCCGAACAGCCCGATACCAGTCAAAACATTGTTACCCTCTTTGAATAATGTTTGCCCCCCCCCCCAATATAGACTGATCCTAAAGTGAATTTAAATTTTTTTACCTGTTGTGGAGGAGGAAGAGGAGGCAGCAGCAACATTTGGCCTGAACGGATCCAGAGACAACAGGTCGTTGTTCGTCAGACTGGTAAACGAAAGAAATTAGTCTACAAGTTAATTCTTCATTCAAGGGCAAATTATTTTGAATGTCACTGTTGCATAACTGTAAATATACTGTACCACTGACTAAGCTAAGCTATAGCAACCACATAATATAAGTTAATTAAGTAAGGGATAATGTATAGCATACAGGTCATTATCGGAAAATAAGTACCGACAGGGCGAAGCGGACCCCGACGCGCAGCGGAGGGGTCTGCTTCCGCCCTGAAGGTACTACATACTGCTTTGTACCAACTTAACACACAAAATAAACTTCAGATCACTTTTATGAATGCCAAAAGTTTACTTAATGACAACAAATAAAGTAGTCCCAAAAAGTTTTCCCGTTGCTCGGCAACCGCGGGCAGGCAGTGTGGCTTTGACAATTGTGGCTATGCTAGCAACAGTTAGGCTGGCAACTTCCAAACTAGAACTCTCTGGAACTGCATGAAAACTGGACAAAGAATTCTGAACATCAGCGGTGAGTGACCCATACATAAACCTAACCTAAATCCATAATTCGATCCTCTGCAAATGTGTCCGAAAATGTGCCGGTATCTTAAAATGTGCCGGTATCTACTTCCGGGTTTTTCGGGATCGCCTTTTCTCGCATTACATCAGTGTTTTTGTCATGAAAACGTAAACGGAAAATTCTGAAAACTTCCGTGCACTTGTATTAAGACTGGATATGTATAATTCACTCTCCGATAAACATTTCATTGCGTTGATTGATTGGCATTTGCGTTTATTGAGCGGCCAGAACTACTTCCGGGTTTTTCACGATCGCTTTTTGACGCAGAGAAATAGTATTTTTGTCATGAAGACAAGACCAGAAAATTCTGAAAATGTCCGTGCACGTGTGTGAAGAATGTATATGTATAAGTATTCTCCGATTAACATTTAAGTGTGTTGATTGAGCGTGGCTAGCTCAGGAGTGGCCGGAACTACTTGCGGAGTTATCCACGCATTTGAAAGACAAGCACAGAGTGCGTTGCCATGGGCAGCGGTACCGGTAGAACGTTTTGAAATTACATTCAAATCAATGGAGCGTTCTACTGCTGCTGTGAGGAGGCGTATAATAAACTCGAATAATGACTGGGGCGGAGTTTAAATGTATATACTGTATATGTATTGTATTGTTTATTTCTTTTGTTTTTTTCTATTCTGTTGTTTTGTTGCTGTTCTTTGTTCTTGTCTGCCATGGCTCGAAATAAAGTATTCATTCATTCATTCTTTTATTTTTCAGTTTAGACTGCTGTCTCCCTCAGAGTGGTCACGTGATCGTCTTGTGACGTGTCAAGAGAGGCACTACAAATACGGAAACTTTCCCCCCGGACAATAAACCAGGACGAGGGGGCTTTTTTACTCTCTCACTCCTGGGATTCTGTCCTGAAAAAGTCGTGCTGTAGATAGCGGTAAATTCCACGTTCCCACTCTGAGGGAGGATGTGCATGCCAACTGACAGGTACAACAAAAAAATAAAAATAAAACGCAATAAAAAAACTATAGGAAAGACTGAATGTTGGACTATGAAAGAAATACGAATAATAATGATTAATTCTTACTCATATGATGCTGGCCCTTTGGTTTTTGTAAGTTCATCACCTAAAGGAGACAAGACCAAATTTTAGAAATGAAATAACCTGTGGTGCTTGTAAATAAAAAAAACAAAGGGAATGTTATATTATTACCCAAAAGCTCAAAGAAAACCGTTCAACCGGAATCATTGGGAATAATTATATAAAAAGGAAAATCTTGTGCATATGACAATACTAGTTTGTTTAGAAATAGCACCAACGGTAAATATTTGTTACGTTGTCAGACAAAAGGCCGGTTGAGAATATCAAAATGTTATTCAATATTTGTATTTTATCAAGACAATAACTTCAGCGTTTGTTGTTGCACTCTCCATTGCACTGAAGTATTTATTTATAGTATGAAAGTCCAACCAGTAAATAACATTATACATAAAAAGTCTGGAATATAATTTAGTATGAATGTTTTAGTGAAAGGCATATGCACTTTAAATTGTATCTGAAAAATAAACTGTTGTTAAATAAACTATGAGAATTTGATGAAAGATTCAGGAAAAGTCTGAATCTTACTCAAATACTGTGTTTTTATTTTAGTGGTAACACTTTTAAACAGTGCGGATGATAAAAAGGTTGCCCTGGTAACACCTGCTAAAAATGCAGCTCATAGTTTTATAGTTTTGCACAATTTAAAAAGAGATGAAAAACATGGAAGTTCTATGATGACGTCACACTTGGGAGAAGCAGAATTGATAAAGGTTTGTACTAATCTTTAGAATCTAAAATTCATATTTCACAAAAAGGGGGCAGATGACCAATGTCCATAAATGTTAAAACAATATCGTAACAATAGCTTAGAACTTTATAAAAAAATTATAAAAAAGTATAAACAAATTTTTTTAGGAAATATATTAAGACTTTTTGAACATACAGGCACCTCAATGTTTACAAAAAATATCGCAAATAGCAGCATGTGTAGAGTGTCCATGTTCTCCCTGTAAGTTTCCTCCAGGTGCTCCAATTCCCTCTATCATTAAAAACATGTGCAGGAGGCTCCTCCCCTATGGAAACATGATTATCTAAACTAATTCTGTCAGTGAGTCATTTCTAATTTTTCTGTGGAAAAACCTGAAACATATTTACTGGTAGCGAAACTGCAAAAATAGAGAATATCTAACCCTATCCGGTCAGACGCACACAAAAAAAAAAGAGTAATTCCATTGTTTAAAAGTGTTACTCAAGATGAAAGCAGATGTTAATCTCTTAAATAAGTCAAATAGAAATGACTTTGACCCGTTGGTGTGGTGTGCAGTGTGAGCCGTGTTAGTCAGGTAGCTCCAGCAGTTATGTGACCCACCTCAAGAGACAAAAGACCATTAGAATGTACTTACCACGACCGGTCTTAAGGCTGGCTCCTGTGTGCCCTATGTGTGTGTAAAGTTTACAGCTATCAATTCACAGTTTTGTCTAATATTTGTTGATGCTAAAATGACAAAAAGAGGAGAGGATAAAAAAAAACCTGGCATGAGACTCTACAACCATCTAAATGAGTAATTAAACCCATTTGTACAAAGTTGTGAAATCTCCCTGAAAAACAACCCGAGAAAAGAACTATTTACTTTGAGGGGATTTGTTGATTTTGGCGACGAGAGTGGATTTTCTCCATTTAAAAAATACGCTTTAAAGCAAACACCTCGGCCAAGAAAAATGGAGCTGAGAATTTATACAGTCGAGGCCTTTCACAGTCATGGAGTTTGACAGCGGTAAGCAATAAGGTCAGACTGATACTCACTGGACTGGTTCCTCCGCATCTGACCCTGTGCAGGAAACACAAAACAAGCTATTAGAACAGAACGCTCTGAGAGTTCGAATGTGCACAAAACAAGAAAAATCTCTTTACGTTGAGCTTGTAGAGTTATTGTTTGTATGTTTCTACCTGCCTTAGGATAATGGCTGCTATTTAGATACTGTGCTAATTCCAAAAAATGTATGTTGACGCTGTTTGCCAACACTTTGATTAATATTTACTGTCCTAAATTCAAATAAATTAATAAACAAATAAGAAATAGTTTTATAAAATCTAATTTTTTGTACAGCCATAAATCGCCACAGCAAAGTTGTCAATTCTTCAATATCAGATCAGAGAAAAAAGTTCGAACACAGAACATTGCCACACATAGGAGCCATTGGTCTACAGGGGGCGGGTTAACCAATGTCCATAAATGTTTATAAATATCCATAAATGTCCTGGATCTTCACTGTCCTCAGACCAGACCTGGGCAAATAACGGCTCGGGGGCCACATACGGCCCGATTCAGGTTCCTAAGAGGCCCTAGGATCTTTTTTCTATTTTTTCTTTATGTTTTCTTTTTCTTTTTTCTAACCCATTTTAATTTAATTAAAATTCGAATTACTTTATTTATCTGTGAGGAACTTCATTTGCGGACAGAGCACCAGTAAATTTGTGTTTCTCAAATGTCAACTTGTTGTTACATTTATAAACAGAAGTAGTTAAAACTCAAGGTCATGTTGTTTCAATTTTAATTAAATGGTAAGTACATGAAAACGAGTCCGGCCCTCCACTGATATCTCAAAGTGGCCCCCAGGAGAAAATAAGTACCCACCCCTGCCTTTGACCCTCCGGCATCGGCAAGGAAAGACTTAAAAACCCTAAAACAACTATTACAACTGCCAGTCATAAAGCACGTGTACTTAAACACATACTTCGGGCGGCACGGTGGCTGAGTGGATAGCACTCTCGCCTCTCAGCAAGAAGGTCCTGGGTTCGAATCCCGGTCGGACCAGGGCCTTTCTGAGTGGAGTTTGCATGTTCTCCCCGTGTCTGCGTAGGTTTCCTCCGGGTACTCCGGTTTCCCCTACCACTAAAAATATGTCCAATAGTTCAGGCATGTGCCTCCTGTACTGGCCCCGCTCCCATCTCTGTGTGGAGTGAGAGACAAATGCCCATAATTAACAATTGTAAACCGCTTTGAGACTCAGATCTGCAGTGAAAAGGCGGTATATAAATAAAAACTTACTAACTTACTTACTTACTTCCCTGATACCTACAGCTCAGATCACAATATTATTCCAACATTAGTCACTCTGGTTGACACATATATAAATGCCTTGATAACAAATGACACCAAAAATGTCTTTCTTATTATTCTTAGCCTACGTGTCATCAAAAATATTATTCCTGGGTGGGGAAAGGAGTTTTCCACATCAAGAGAAAAATTACACTTTTTTTATCGGGATCGCATACCAGACATTTAACCTAAGGTGAAAAATTCAACAGCCCAAAATCATTCGGGGACAAGAAAAACCAATGCCCCAAGACTTTGCACTTGCCTCCATTCTAGAGAAGGCATAAATCAGCCATTTTCACACAGTTCAACATGATATAAATATGATTTACTTCTGAGGGCCACCAGCAAAATGGAAAGTGAGAGCATCCATTTCACTGAAGAATGTATTTGTCAGGGGAGAGAGGCTGCAGAGAGGCTGGGGTTTTGTCAGAACAAACAGAAACGGGTTAAAAGAACACGGCAAAATCATTTAACCACCGCAACTTTGAGGCCAGAGTTTAGTCCCACAGGCGCTAAGCAGCAAATGGGTTCAATTACTGGCCCGGCCACACGCACACAGCCTCATCTCTGTCTCCGAGCAGCAGAAGGAGCAGAAGGAGAGAGTGCAAAAGACACAAAGTGAGTTCTGAGGAAGAGGACGTCCTGTAATCTGCACCAGAGGATGCGACATCTCACACGTCTCTCTGCACAAGTCGTTTTGAAGTTCACGAGATTAAAACACGGGCGATTGCAACATGTGTGTGTGTGTGTGTCATTTCAGCACGGATTAGGTTAGGTTAGATTTTGGACAGTAAAAAAACAAAAAAGCAGAAATCTGGTTTTCTTTTAAACACATAGATAAATTGCCCATTATTATTACTTTATTATTATCATTATAGATCTTTATTAAGGAAACATAATATTGAGGTCCATAGATATAACATACAATACATACACAAAACATTGCTACAGCTGTTTGAGCTAAAGTTTTGTCCCTTCAGCCATCGCTGCTCTTAACAGTTTGTAATTTTGCTGTTGTTCCTGTTTTTGTATGTGTTTCTTTCTGTGTTTTTGTGTATCTTGTGTGTTTTGTAACTTCCTTCCTCCCAGTTCTATGTATGTGACAGTGTCTGTGGAAATGAATATCCCTCAGGGGACAATAAAGTTCTATCTTTGTGAGGAGTGAGGTTTATTGTTCTGATTCTAAGTGTTGTTTTGTGTGATGTATTTATATAATGCGTTTTTAAAAAAGCGTCCATATAAATATGCCAGATTTAACCATGAAGGTGAGTTTCTTTCTGAATGTGAGCATAAGAGTTACAGAGTCCAACTTGGTCTGCAGTGAGATGAAAGATCAGAGAACCTTTATTCGTCCACATAAACGGCAAAAATTAACTGTTATAACTTTTGGAGTAATTTGTAATCAGTACCAAATTACAGCCAAGTAATCTATAACAACTTTTTCAAGGTTCAAGATTTGCATTAATAAACAAAACCATTATACTTCATGTTTTTCTTTAGGAGGTTTAGGGGTTTTTCAGTCATTTCTTCTCACTTCTATTATTTGATTATTATCCATTACTTTCAGTGCAGTATTCCTTTGTATATTTCTCTAGTGATTCGAGAAAAATGTTAAGTTAAGAATCTGCGTTAGGACTGATATCCCAAAATCAGATATTTATGGTAAAGTTAGATATTTTTACCTCAGTATAAATTTAAAGCAAACTATATCATGCACAATATAGACAACATTTGGTTTAAACATTTACCATTTCATACAAATTTTATGAAAGTTCAGTGGTTCAGTGTTTTGTTTGACAGAATGGGTTGGGCCAGAATGCTCACACACTCAAACACACACAGGCAGAGATTTGTAAACGAGAAAGTAAATAAATGTACTTCATTGATAGATAATAATGATAATATTATTCTAATATCATGATCATTAACAATATTGGATTGTTACTATTATGTTTTATTGTTCTTGTTTTGTTACTAACTAAGGCTATATCCACACGAAGACAAAACGCTTATAATTTCAGAAACTTTTTCTGTAAACACGGAGTTAGCTCAGTAAATGTGTGCGTCCATATGAATGTAGTCAATACGCCTGAAAACGCTGTGAAACTATGCCAGACCTGTTGGTGGCGCTGTGACGCAATGACGGGATCAAGCCCAAACTTCCGTGGGCATGCGCGGAATTTTGTAAACAGACAACATGGCGAGTGGGCGAGCTGGTACTACATTAGTATGGACGGACGATGAGGTTGAACTGTTGCTTCGGGTCGCACTGGATTACAAAACCAACAAGCTACATTGTTGTCGTCATTATTTTCTGAGTGCGGCGCATGCGTGCTTTAACAAGAGGCGGGGCGATGACGCAAGCGTCTCAGATACATTGCGGAGAGGCAGTAACCACGGAGCGGCATATACGGAGTTTTGAAATCTTTCCACTCTGGGACCTAGTTTCAAAAATGTTCGTTTACACCCCCCCAAAACGCCGGCCTCGTATGGACGATACACTGGATTGATAAAGTATTTTTGCGTTTAGGCCTGAGCTTGACTTCGTGTGGACAGGGCCTAAGTTTCCTTGTGTATGATCTGTGCTATACAATAAACTTGCCTAGTTTTTATGTATATATTTGTGAATAATTTGACACATGTTTCATAAGTCATTTGACAGTGGTGCGGTTGGTTTGGTGTAAATGTGTTTTTAAACTGCTGGTAGAACCTGAATGGCCCCTCGGGATTCATAAAAAGTGCGCTATCTAATGGTAGAGGAAACACTGGGGTAATTAGAAAAGTAAAGAGACTGTAAAAGTAAAAAGAAGCCCTGATGGTGCCTAATGACATTTCCAAGACTTTAACTTAAAAGCCTTATAGATGCAACAACACAATGGTTTCCAGGTTACAGTTCTCTTTTTTTTTTTCAGGAAATATGAAAAACAAGAGATTTTTTTTGCTCATGGTTGTTGAGGGATGACACTAAATATCCATGGCCTTTATACTGACTTAACCAGGGCGTTTAAACTTTGGATCTCAGAGTTTTTTTTATTAGTAAATAACGATTTGATAAAGGGAGTGAATTAATTTAATATTATTTAAGTATTATTTTATATTATTATTTATTGTGTTCGGAGTGTTTTTGTATTATCTGCGTTCCTCCGTGTCTGTATTTTTAAATTTAAACTTCGGTCTTTGCAGAGAGTAATATAAATGCTCTCTCAATATTATTGCACTGAGCAGATAGAAATATCTGTGTTAAACATGACACAAATTATGTGTTTTTATCTAAATGGAATATTTTTTACACATTCTTGGGACTAGGCCTTTCCCTCTAAAAATCAATGACCTAATAATTTCTCATTTCTAAACACATACAGTTTAAAAATAATGAGCTACAACAACAAAAAGTAGTTATTTACCAGCTGATAATTATGTTAGGCTAGCATCTACTCTGGCAATTTTTAAATCAGGGCTAAAAACTGTTCTTTTTAGCTGTGCATACGGCTGAAGGATTTTATTGATACATACTCTTTTTTTTTAATGCATTGTGGTTATTTATTATTTTAATCCCGTGTGTGCTTTTAATATTTTAAGTTTTTTTTTTTTTTTTTTTTTTTCCATTACTTGTGATTTTATTCTGTTTTTAATGTATTTATTGATGTCTCTGATTTGTGTGATATTATGTGGGTTGTGAGGCGCTTTGAGTGGCCTTGTGTTGGAAAGGCGCCATACAAATAAAGTTGATTGATTGATAATTATAAAAACAAAACATAAATACACAATAAATGTTGAACCACAAAAGCTATCATTTTTAGCACAGCGGCTCAACTATAAACAGATTTTTTTTTTTTACTTGACAAAGAAGTGAAAGGATGTGAACTAATTTTCTAAGAATGTTTACATATTCTAATGACTAAAACTATTACCAGATTTGTTTAAATGACTTCAATACAGGTTCATGTTATAAGCAAAAATACGTAGAATTGACCGTTTGACATGGATTGAAACTTCAGTCCAACAGCGCGTTCACCGTGAGATAGGCTCCTGTTGCCCCCTAGTGTCCAACAGCCGCAATAGACTTACTTCTGGGGAAACACTTTCTAATTGAGATTCGTCTTGACATATGTTGCACTTGTTGGATTAAATTAACTTTTGCTCAGTGCGCACATTGCAAGACGGTGAAGACGAAGAGAATGCTAAAGTTAGAGATTTTATACTTGCTTCTTATTACGCCAAAGTTGGAGATTTTATTTTAGTTTAGTTTAGCACTATTGTTCACTTATCTTGTGTTGTGTGCTCCTCATTCTTACTGTTCTGTAACTTGTGATGCAACACTGAAATCTCCCCACTGTGGGACGAATAAAGGATGTCCTAATTTTAATCATAATCATTGAACAAATTCAAAGATCAAAACGAAAGCGAATAGGCAGATAACAAGCGTAAAATAATTTGTAAAACGTTACTTCCCTAAAAAGATTTCTCCTTTATGTATTTGTGTTTGGTTATTTTTGGCAGTGTGTATAGGACGTAAAACAGCTTTGGGGGTGATAATAATGTGAGGATTTATTATTTTGTTAAATGTTTTTGTTATGTTTTTACTTCATACATCATGTTTTACTTTCTTTGTATATATATGCTGGCAAACCTGTATTTAATGTGTAACTTTTATCTCTGTGCAGCACTTTGGACACTTGTTTTATAAAAAGTGCCGTATGAATAAAGTGGACTGGATTGGAGAGGGGAGGGGCTCATACCGAGACGGACGGCGACAGGATGATGTTGCCGATGGAGGCCTTCAGCTCGTCTATCGTGGCACGGCTCTGGTGTGTCCCGTTGTTGGGCTGGACCGGTTTGATTTCCACGTGAAACTTACGTGGTTCGTCCTCGTCCTCCGAATCGCTGGACGAGTAGAATGAGTTTTCTTTGGCATGTGAACCCCAGAGCGTTAAGGAAAGTGCGTGAAAGACACCCAGATATGTTACTTATTTTTACACCAGAGACTTAAACAGTGATGCATTTGTTTAAAAAGAGGATATTGTTTTCGTTTTCTTCTGGTCTAATGCAGAAACCCTCTGCATCGACTTGGGGGACGTTCTGAAAAAGACACAAGAAATGCACTTCTATAGTTAGATAGTTTTGATACAAGAGGTTTAACTATTAAATTAGTCTTTCAAATGTCTTTAATAAAAGGTCTATTTTTGCACATTTGTGAAGGATTTTAAACCATTTGTCTAGTAATGATTCCTGTGTTTTCCATAATACATAATCATATTTTTTGGGGTGTGACACAGTGAGTAACTTTTCAATATTTCTCATTTTAACTTTAAAATGAGAAATAATTACGTCATATACTTTGCCTTAAAAAAATAAAAAATAAAGAATAATAACAAATTTAAAAAGTGAATAAATCTTGAGTTTGAAATCAGTCATATGCATTTTATTTTATTTTTGTACATAGTTGTTGTGTTTAAGTAGCTAATGCCCTGTATGTGACGTGATGTCAGGATGGGCTTACATAAGTTACTTCAGCCCAATCCTTTTTTGGTTGTTATACAGTCAGAGAATGTAATCTGGTATTGATCAAACAATCGACCAAAATAAATACATTAATTCCTTCAAAGTACATTAAGTCAACAGGAGCCATAGGGAGTTGGAGCAAAAATGTGTCCATATAGGCCCATTTTAAGCTTCTTTGAGCTTGGGGTTAGCATTGTCCATCACGTTTTTACAGCCTTTAGAAGAAACATTATACTTTTGTAACTTAATTGTGTAATCTTCATGAGTTCACACTTGTTACATTCAGCACAGCAAGAAAAAAATATTTCCACTATCCTGCCCTTAATATCTAATAATTATTGAGCAAAACTTTATATACAGTTGTTTTAGGGCTGTAATAATTGTTACCATTGCCCGAGTTGTAAATGTAAACATACTTTTCCTCTGCATGAGTGTACTTACTGCATTCTGGATGTCTATGGCTCCATAGAATCCTGGAGGAGCGCCATTGGCAGTGTTCTGTCAACACAAACACTGAACACTGAGAAAATGGACTCTTGCACCAACAGCCAAAACAGTTACTCAAAACAGTCCTTTATCATGGATCACACACAAAAGCTTTACTCACAGTAGCTTCAACTTCTGTCGACTCTCTAGGAATAAAAAAACCAAACACGTGCGTAAGTATTCAGCGCTAAAAGTAATAACATTTCCTAAACTCATAAACTCACGTAGAGTCGGTGTCCTTGTCTTTCCTCCTTCCTGGAATGCCAAAAGGTTTTCTCTTTCTGGGTTTTGCGCCTTCAATGATAACATGACAAGCACGTTAGTAAAAAATGGCCGCAAAAAGTGAATATTTTGTGATAAAATTTGACATTATATATGACTGACCTTCTGTAGCGATGGCTATATTGCACTCCTCAAACTCAATAGGCCCTAATGAGACAAGGAAAAAGACTAATTGAGGTTCATTAGGCACAGAAAGGGTCACTGATTCACTGCTGGGACTGCAGAGAAAGTACATCACGCAATAATTACACATATACAACACGGGAGAAAGGCAGCGATAAGCACGCAACATGAGTCTGGCGTGCCATATGCAGTGTGTACACAAGCGGGCCTGGGCTGTCCCGAGGGCAGACGAGGTCAATGGCAGAGTCAACCGCGTGTCTGGTGGCTCTGCAGAGAAGTGTCACTTACTCTGGAGCAAATAAAGCACCAAAGAACCGCCACAAAAACGGGAAAAAAAACCCCCCACCACAGCTACTCGAAGGGGGCTCACACTAAACCTGTTCATACATGACACGCAAATTCACTTAAACCTATTACAATAAGACCAACAAGTCCGAGATTAAACATAGACAAGTGTTTAAATCCACATGGTCAAATCTGCTCAGGCTTAAGACATGCTATTTTCCCCTTAGTGACATGCAAATATCTGCATTAGCAAAACCCTGCTCACACAAACACGGAAGAAGTAAGAAGAAATATAAACGTTAGGACCAGTCACCGTCAGAAAGCAGGTTTTTATTGGACGTCCTTATCATTTCAACACCTATTACTGCATTTACTATCAAATCTGAATTGTCTACATGTTATAAAATCTAAAACGTATCGACCCAAAAAGACAGTATTCACCAAAACATATTTTTTGCTAGTTCAATGTATTAGACCTATAACAAGAATCATAAATAATGAAATCTGTGCAATTCTTTACCCCTTACGCCTTGGGATGAAACAATGCTAATGATGTTTTATACAGCAATTAGTGTCCCATGTCATCTTCCCAGAGAACATTGGCGGCAAATAAAATTGACACATTGTTTGGCGCGTGTATTTCTGAGTGAAGCGCAGGGAAGCGCGAGTCACGAGAGGCCGACAGCACGACAACTGAAGTGGATATGGAGCACAAATGACTGGGCTACTCTACTGTGCAATATCAGACCTCTTCACTGCTGGCAAATCAGATCTGACAGCACAAATAACTGTTTGTGTTTGTGTGGCCACATTTCATGCCAATGGAGACACAAGTGCCTTACTCCAGTTTGTCCCAAGGGAGGAATGATCAGGGATGCCAGTTGAGTCATTTACTGGAATAGCAATATGGAAATAGTACAATATTTGTAAGTTGAAGTTGATGAGTTTTGGATTGTTTAATAAAGATAACGCGTAAATGCTTGACCTCTTTGGCGAATTAAACATAATATTGGAGACAATGTTTATGCAGAGAGACGTCACAAAATGTCCAAACAGCAGGCACATGAATATTACCCAAAGCCGGGCACATTAGGAACAGCTTAACGTCTCATAAACAGACAGACAGTGTTGTTTATACAGCAGAAGATGTTTCTTTTCTTTCTACTCTCTGTGAGGGAAGCAGACTGTCACGCTTGAGTGGAGAATGGTTTTTAAATTGTATATGCTTCACATGGTACTGGCAGAGAGAGGGGCGGGGGATTGCGTGTCTGGCTCGCAGCCAGTTGACAGCTCAGCTGGATATCGTTGAAGACTCAAACCCCCCTGCCTCGCAGCGTGTCACTTTGGGATTGTTTCCGCAATAGAAAGTTTATTCAACCTCTCTCTCTCTAAAGGCACAGGACCGGCCATCCGTTCAGCCATTACATCACGGGACACACGGGTTATTCTTCTGACAGGGTCATAGCTGATGTTCTATCACTAATGAACAGTTTGATACTCAAGGAATTTTTTGACCGTTTTTTAAGCTCAATTAATTCTGCTGTCTAAACAAATGAAGACCACAGCTTCTTACAGACTGAGCCCAAGTGAGAGGTCACTGCTTGTGTACACACAAACACAGCAGAGGTGAACCCTTTGTGCCTTTGATCTGATCTGATATAGTACAAGTGCACACTGCTCTAGAAGGAGAATAATTATAGTATTTTTGCAAGAAGAAAGCTTCCGTTTCATGGTAGCAATTCAGAATGGAACCAACATAAATGCGTATAAAATCATAACTTTATGTAACCTTGCATCTAATTTATGAACAATTACGCATGGGAAGAAAGAGGGAGGAGCTGGATGAGTCTAAGACGTCTGAAGAGCATTCCCTTGATTATTGCAGCATGGCAAAGTTTACACAAGAGTGGTTGTTGAGCTGTGACCCCCTGAAAGGGCTCTGGCTGCTTAGTCTGTGAGCAGAGCAGGGCAAAGCCCCAGTGTGTCACATGCTGACTGGAATGCAGAGCTTTCCTTCAATTGCAGAAGATTACTATGATTGACTCCGATAGCACTCTAGTACTTCTAATTACCCTTCTCTGAGCGTCCACCCTCTCAACAATGGATTGTCACATTTGGAACACTTAATGAAACTAAACTATTAAACTCCCAAATGTCACTCTTCTTTAAAACAAAGCACGACCTGAAGTCCATGAACAGTACGGACCACTGCATACATGTTACATGTCAATGCTCCGCGCTATGACCACATAAACATAATAATGATAACATTATGCATCACTTCTTGTCACATGGTGAAATTTAGATGATACAAAACAAACATCTTACATAATGAATGAATAAAACAGTTCTTACCTGGTCGATCTTTGCCTGTTCCTTTAGTTTCCACTAGTTTCTGTATTAAACTTTCCACTGATGTGTTCTCAATGTTTCTCACAAATTCATTTTGGACCTGAAAAAAAGATTTTTTTTAATTATAGAAATAAATGATCAACTCAGGGTTATTATACATTGATTTTGTGTACACCCCCAGAACACACAAAATTCTCAATTTTTGTTCAAAACGTCTGTAAAAGGACACAAAGACAAAAGGCCTCGTAAAGCATCATGGTAAATCTGGAGCTACAAAGATAGTATTTTCATTATGTGTATTACTGTATACCGGAATACCAGGAGTCAAAGTGGGTTGACTGAGGTTCTGAAGTGCTAAACTGCACATTACCCAGTAGGAGCCAATGGCACAGATCAGTATACTGCAGGGCAGCTCTGGCTACAATAGTGACATACTGTACCACCACCACGTGTGTTCTGAATGAATAACGAACTGTGAAGCAATTTGCGTGTCATGAAAGGCAACAAAAATGCCATGTTTACTTATTTATTTACTATTTGATTATGCAAGTTATGGGTGAAACACATGTGTTAATGTAAGTTGTTGCTCGTTTGCTTGTAATAAGGTTGTTTTTGTGAACTTGAGATGCGAGTGTTAACTGAAGAAAACATGATGGGGAATAGATTTGCATACAAGTGACACAAGCACGCATATGTACAGTACATGTGTAAGATGCTCCGAGCCCCTTGTCGCAGTCTGCATGAGCTGTTTGTGTGTGTGTGTGTGTGTGGGTGTGTGTCTGTGTGGGTGTGTGTGTAACCGGGGGAGGATGTCTGTGTGAGGGATCTCTGCACTCTCTAAAGCACACGCGATCGGTCAGGTGCTGCCGTGAAGAAGCGCTTTAATGCAATCAACCTGCATGCCTGCTCACCTCTCACACGACAAACACACAGTCCTCCTGAGGTTACACTCACATGCGCACAACATGTCTTTAAAAGCCCTTTTTGCACACGCACAGAAAACAAAGGGCACGCACAGGGGCAGACAGGCACACTTTAAAGAGTCCACGACACCAGACAAACTGCACTTAATACGCAGCTGCTTCCCACGCGCTGCTCTTGTCCACTGAAATATGCACACATCCACTCGCACTCTTCTCTTTTACACACACGCCGGAAATTAACAAAACTACCACCTTATGTGTTCTATCATTTGGTACACTTGAGTTTATTTTCTTCCCTCACAAGTGAATGTACATAAATTGTGATGCCTATGCAATATGTCCCAAGACTAATTTCTTCTGCACCACACAGCCTCAATCCTCGTTCTACAGCCTGAGTCCTGGATCTAAAAGCCGGTCTGTCCTTAGGAGCGGATCCATCTCTCGACATGGGCCCACTGATCCCGTTCCCAATGGACCAATGGCTCTTATATCTGACTTGCATGTGTAGTATTTTTATCTGTATGTTTTTAAACGTTAAGCGCTTTGTGATCCTAGTCTGTAAAAGGCGCTATAATCAAATAAACTTTACTTACTTACCCACTCACTTATGTGTTTGTCTTGCGTTCAAACTATCTGTTGATGGTAAATTGACAACTTTGTAAATTTTGTAAAGTCCTCCGAGACGACTGCTGTTGGGATTTAGGACAATAAAAAACTAAATGGAGTTTGACGTTTTTGTTTTAAAAGGGACACACCTGGCTGTCATTTTTATGCCCTGACGAAGACTGCTTGGTCAATTTTCAATAAAGGTCTTTTAAGTTTTTTCACTTTAACAGAGTGCCTCAGACCATTTTTTGACCGTTTGATCACCACACGACGATAGAGTCAAAAAACATCCTGTATCTTAAAAAGTAAATTGAATTGAATTCTGCGGGACACAATAATGTAATGAGTATCTGAGCTCATCCTATTTTTTTAATCAAATATAGTATGTCAAAATATGTTTCAAAATACAAAGTCACCATACAGAGTAACAACAATGACCATGATGCTTTTGATTGTTTTGAATTTGTTATCAACTCATTGTGGTGCTGTGCCGCCCTCTTGAGGCCACCAAGTGTATACAAGAGAAAGACAAAACAGTTGCTTTTCCTCTTTTGGGAACAGCATTGTGCTTTACACCTGTATTTACTTGATTCTAAATACATGTTTCTCTGTGTTCCAGATCACACCTGAATGATTGCTGAGGAGAGCACACACAGGACTGAACGAAGGAATGTGTGAGTGTGTACATTCTCACCTCGCCTAAAAGTGCATGCGTTTCTTCAACTGACTGAGAATAAGAATGAATGATCTCCTTCATCTGGAGGACGTGGTTTTCTTCAATGTCCTGGAATTTCTGCCCCACAAAAAAGAAAAACGTTTTAACATTTATTTTCGACACAATGGTTGGGAGAGACGTCCACGCATACATACTTTCAACTACTTGCACAAAACCATAATGCGGGCTGTAGATAGTCGCGTAATCTGCGTTCTTGTTTTGATCATAAGCAAAGTTACTTCCAGAGAATGGGAATAAAAATACTTTTGCTCCAATTATCAAAAACACGAGCCAGAACTACTATTTTACAGAATGACAAAAGATCAATGGGAAATTCAAAAGCAAGAACTTCCACTCTATCAGACAGACGCGTTTTCACTCTGTCATTCTGATGGTCCACAGCGATCCATATGCTTGCTATCACCACAAGGCGCAAAGCATTTTGGGTAATGTGCAAGTAGCGAATACACATGACAAAACTGGATACCAATGGGTTATGTGTTTTTTAATCATTTCTTGTGTTTGCACAGTTTGATTCTCTAATTTGTGTTGACGAATCAAAGGCTTTGTACTACTGTTGTGATTTAGGGCTATACAAAAATAAATTGAACATAAATTGAATCGATACCTGTGCAGTTTCTGCCATCCTCTGCTCAAATTCTGACTTTGCAGTGGCATATTTCTCAATATACGACCTGTAGGATTCGGTCGCTTTTTTGGCTTTGACACCTGCCTGTAAACACATATTTTTTATTTTATTTTATTACATAACAAATGTACAATATGATGCTGAAACTTTAGCTATATGCAAATCAACGACTACTCAAAAGTGTCACGTTCAAGAGACCCACCTTGTCCACGTCTCTCTGGGTGGCCCCCTCTTTACGAAGCCGTTCCTGATCCAGAGTTTTGGCATTGTAGATCTCCTTGGACTTCTGCAGAGCCTGAGACATGCTCTGGATATTCTGAACAGCTTCTAAAGTAGGTGCAACCTCTTCTTTCGTCTAAAATCAAATGAGCCGATGTCACACAAGAGCAGATTTTGATGACACTTTATGACACGTTATGACAATTAAATTTCAGTGAAAACTACACTAAAACAACTAAAATATTTAACAAGCGATTAAGGTTTGGGAATGATCTGAAACCATTTAAAACTGGTGTACCCATTTGGTATCTTCAAAAGGAAAACATGCCACAACCATAGACTGTAAATAGCCACAACATGCAGCCCTCAAGAGCTGATTGATCCTCTCTTTTTCACTTTTCTGTCTGAAAAACCCTGATCTACAGATGTGACTGAGGCCAAAAATACATGCTTGTGAAAACTAGTGATAAAAACGACTGTTTTAAGAGCGAGAAACTAGTTACGTACATGGGTTACAGGATTTCATTACACAGTTCAAGTTTTTGTGGTCTGAAAGTAGCCCAGCTTTAAACAGAAACTCAGCAAGCAAAAAATAGCCATAACTAGACTAATCCAGCCCCATCTACCTATTCCTGACATGATAATTTCCATAGTTACGGAGGAGAAAACCTATTCTTGACAACCAATATTGACTCCAGACAACATTATCAAGTTAATCATAGTCCATACATGCTCGAATGCCAGTTGGATTTGTTACATCATTTGATATGAAGCCACCTGTGTGCAGCTATCTATAGGCCATGTGTTAGGGGTAATTGAGAGATAGTGGAGGGGTAATTGAGAGATAGTGGAGGGGTAAACAAAGGACATATGTTTACCCCTCCGTAACAATGGATGGAAATAGTGTAGTGAATAGGACGAAAGGCGAAAAGAAGTGTCATGAGAGTCAACATCTATAGAATGGCTGTTATAGACATGATTGTGACAAAAAACGCTTGAATGCTCCATGATACTTTTTAAACAAAGCGTCTACAGTCTGTCTCTAGAATCTTTCATAAACACGAATATCCTCAGGCTCTTCTAGTTTCTCTAGACAGGCTCATAAACGGAGGACTTCAAATCGTCTGACATACAATATTTTGTCTCAGTTTCTGGCTTTTGTGAAAATCTAATCAACAAAACAGTAAAATGACTTTGCAGATGAGCCGGTTCGAAACTTTCTGCTAACAGGATCCATAGATATAATGAATTTGTAGAAAGAATGTATTGGTGTCGGTGAGTATAGATAATAAACTGACATACCTTTTTGTGTGCTTTGGCCTGCTCCTCCACATATTTCTGGACTTCTTTTATTAGTTCCTGAAGTTTTCGTACTAGCTCCATATGACAAGTAGCCAATTTGTCTGTTGAGGTTTTGAATACATCCCAGACTGGAGCAAAAGTCCTGCGCACAGAAAGAATAGTCTGGTAAGTATGTAAATGATTTTTTTATTTTTTTTTCAAAGCAAACTCCAGATGATTCAGAACATTTATGCACAAACCCGAGTTGAGAGAAGTTGCCTGCAGATTTAGCAAGTTTGGTCATTGATCGTGCGTACGCTTCCTCAATAGTGCTCCTGCAAAAGAAAACGTACAGGCCACAAGAGGGCGCCAAAGTGAGGTCATGCAGCTTACACATGAGTCCAGTTTAAAGGCATGAGCAATCAGGGGATGTGATCATAAATTTCTCTATTTTGAATGCACTGTGGTTATTCATTATTTTAACCCCTTGTGTGATTTTAATGCTTTAATGCTTTTAATTACCTGCATGATTTTTTTGTGTTTTAAAAGGTGATTTTGGTGTTTCTATGTGATGATTTGTGCCTTGTGTGATGTGGACTGTGAACCGCTTTGTGTTGCCTTGTGTCGGAAAGGCGCTCTACAAATAAAGATTGATTGATATGTTTTTGATTCACAGATTCAACGTTATTTTTTTTGATGTTCAGAACACAGTTACTTAAAAAAAAATTATATTATTTGACCATGCAACAAAAACAAAAAACAATTGAAAAAGCCTCTTTAGGGATGTATATAGGAGTGTGTAAAATCATTTTCTAATCAATCACAAAAATGATGCAAAAGACAAAAGTAATTTTAATCCATTGCAGCATTATCACAATATAATATTATGCAAACTAGATAAAACGTATTCCAATGATTCAGAACACTTGACTCTATCCAAGTGGCATACTAAAGCAAAATCATTTATTGCAGTATTTTGTAATGCAATGACTTTTCACAGTATTCTTTCCAACAAAGAGTTTATTGAAACTACCAGACGATAGGTTCTTCAATACATTTTTATTATGGTAGGTAATACAGTTTGCATCATTATTGGCCGACAACAGCCCTGTGTAAAGGTTTTAGTGTAAAGCTATATCCAATATCTTAACTACTACATCTCAAATATTCTATATTAACTTTGTGTCAGTGTGTTTCTCATTAAGCTTTGATCCTGTTGTGTGGAGAAGGTCAGAGATTTCGTCACATCCACCGTATGATAAGTTATCTCAAAACCTTGGATATGATTCAACTTCAAAAGCTTTCCTACACATCAAATTATAAAAGGTTTTTCTAACCTAAAGCACAGGTGCTTAACCTTTGTCAAGCACCTCTGCCAGTCATCCATCAATATCAATCACTGAGACAAAAACATTAAATACAGACAATCTGTATATAAAAACAAACACATAGTTATCATAAATATTTTCTATCAGTTTAATTTAGTTTAATATAGTTTCAGTTCTAAAATTATTCAAAAAAGCTTTACAAATATTGATAATAAGCCTCATTTGGACCTCCCAAATTAAATGATTGTTTAGCTGCAAGTCTAAAGTATCATAATAAAAGTTGATTACATGTAATACACTTTTAATACAGCTGCAATATATTCAAAAAACTACAGCTTGAGTCCTGACTAGAACCAGGAAGTACAATCACATTAGTCCCAGGTCTCAGGTCTCTGCACTGGCATCTGTGTCTCAGAGAATAAACAGTCCCTCAATGGCTTCACACCAAAGTATATTTGACATGTTAGTGCCATATGAACCAACTCGGACTCTGAGGAGCACAGGGACTGGCCTCCTGCTGCTGCCCAGAATCAGGACTATATGGGCAGTCAGCCTTTCAGATTTATGCAGCTAAAATCTAGAACAGTCTCTCAAAGCTTGAAATACAGGCCACATCCCATGACAATCCGGGTTGAAAACTGTCTTCTTTAGCTCTGCATTTAATTGTGCATAATTTTTGAAGCATAATTTTTTTTAACAGATTTTTTAATACAATACGTTTCATAAATGTGTTTGCACTGTTTTGCACTGCTGAGCCTGTACATGTCATTCATCTGTAAATACTGCAACTTCAGAATGTCCACTGAATGTCACTTTATCTACGTATCCTGCCCATGACTTGGCAATATACATTAGATATTTTGAAAGATTGATATTGAAGCATTTACAGCTAGCTAAGAAACATAGCAACTACATATTGTATAATTTGTGTGCTCTCTGTGTGCTCTTACTACTGCCCTGTATGTTGTATTGATTTTGGCTTGAAGCACATTGGGTAAAACTGTATACATTGTGCTATATAAATACATTTGATTGATTGATTGATTTGGTTGGTGCATTCTTACCTCTCTCTAATGAAGTCTGTGAGCTCCTTGGACGATATTTGGCCATGTTTCATGTTATGGTACAGCACGTCAAAGCCATTATTTTTTTCACCCTGAAAAAAGGTCAGCGTCAGGGTTAGATACAAAAGAAGAAGCACATACAGACAGTGTTTCATTTTTGCTGTAACCTCCAGACACCACAGTAGCACAGCTTTTCGGATTTTACACATCCTCAAGATAAGAGACACTTTTCTAGGAGCAGCAAAAACAATCACAGCATTGTATTTAAATAGAATAAAGTAACATGAAACTGTTGTTTGAAGGGAATGGATTATAGGAAGTATGTATTAGAGCTTAGATAGAGTTCTCTGTGGTCAATGCAGATATTTTGGTAGCTGTCAAAATAGAAGTGGCGGAACTAGTTGCATGCGACAGTTCTAAATTGCGGCATACCTAAATGAAATGAAGGCTGAGTATAATGTTTTTGTTTTTGTCTAATGTCTTTGTATTGTTCTGTTTCTGTGTGTCTTTTTAATCTCGATGGATTGGTGTGTTCTTGAGAAAGCCAATAAAAAATGAAAATAGCAGTAATTTCCATTTGGTGCATATCATTTTTTGAGACTATGATAAAAGTTGCGCAAAATGTGCACACAGACTGCAGCATGGCAAGGGTCGCAGTGGTAAGGTGTAATTTAACCGGACTTTAAGAAACAACAACAATAGATTTCACAACAGGGAAGTGGGAAAACAAAGCAGAACACTCAGCAGACGGATGTTCCTTCAGCACAATTCAGATTGTGCTTTTCAGCAGTGAACTTCAAGAGAACAGGACACGCTGAGAAGCCGCCTATTGTTCAATAGAAAATAGCACCAAAAAAAAGCAAAGCAAATCCAAAAACCATTTCAGTCCTTAACTCAAGTCTGAATAAGACAATCATTAATAGAAGCACCACGACTCCACATGATCAACAATCGGCTCTTTGTGAAACAGAAGCTCTGTCTGAAGTTTAACTTTTTGCAGGTGCTGAAACAACTAAACCGGATATAAAACAGAAATGAATGAATGGAATTTTTGTTTAAATCTACCTTTAATTCTCAACAATAGATCTTGATTAACAATGATTCATTCATACAAACCACCAGCCCCTGTCATGACAAACAAGAGTCTGCCTCTTATTGAAACCACATCTGCCAGACAGAGAGACAGTGGAATCTGATTTCTTTCCGAGGATAAAACATTTCCAATATCCTGCCAGCATGAAATAAATCTCACGTAAACAGTGGCCTCTTGGCACCTGTTGAGTCTACACATGAATCTAAACCTCACCTCTAAGCACTCAGTCAATCAGTGACTGTGCACAAAACACAATGTCACACTCTTTTGAATATTTCATAACTAGTGTCATAAAACCGGCTACATGTCAGCCAAGGCCCTAATGACATCATAACGTCTGCTACAGTCATGTGACCAGGCTGTATTATAAACACAGGAAGAGTGCTGCAAACAGATTCTATACTTTCTCACAGAGATCACCTTCACTCAGATTAGATTACATACATGTTTTTGTTTCACCTTTACAAACATCAAGTCATGGGAAATATCCACAGAAGTATAACTGTATTCAATAATGATATAAAACCTGATTAAGTCACAAACAGGAGGAACTTCTCAACAGAATAACGATTTTTACAGTATTGTTGCTATTAGCGACAGTTTTTCCTGTGTATGTACAGTGCTAGCATTATACAAAACACGCTTTAAAGGCCGTTACAGTAGATTTGCGCGATGCATGAAGGAGTAATCTATGATGTTGTTTTTAAGAGACACAGTGTTGCGCTACTTGTGTGATTAGATAATATGATACGAAATTGAAAACAATACTTGCGAACATTCTACACATGCATAGGTAGATTATATTTCAAACTACCAAAGATTAGAAATAAAAAACAAGATTTCCATTGAAACAAACCAGCCCTCCTCTAAAACATGTACAAGCCAGGTTTGTGGAGATGCAATAGGGACAAATGTTTTTATACATATTTTCTGTCCAATTAAACACACATTAACTATTTATTGTCTATAACCCAGTGGGATTTTGAATTATCCATCTTTTGTACTCTGAAATCGGAAGACGGTCTACCTCAGGTGACCTTTATACTATTGTCCACACTGGTAATCATTACAGTTGCATCCAAACAGAGAATCGTGTGAAGATTAAACCAAGATACAAATGTAGGAGGTGGATTTCAGTTATTATTTCTGCAGCACATTTTTTCACAACAAAAAAATATACGAAATTGTGGGTTGTATACGCTAACAAATATCATAACTGTCACGTTCAAGCCCAGAGCTCATTATGTTTAATAAACTCATTCCATTCACTAATAACATGTTACTACATCAAACAGCATATCTCCTGAAGATCATGTTGGCTTTTAGATTTGCAGTCAAGTCAAAGAGGTGCCAAGAGTGTCCGTGTGACCTGCATGATAAACTGTGCATCTCTCCCATCACTGGTTCCTCTTGTGCTCAGAGGATGCAGATATGAGCAACACAAAAAGCTAGGGACCTACATGTTATCAATTATTGTAGACAAATCATGTCTTTATAATCTACTTTACTAACACTGTCGGACTACATCCAGATTGTATGGAAATGATATGTTTCAGAACAAGTGAGCAGCTCTACTACACATATGCCTTTCAACGCCTTGTAGTTGCCTTTCACTATTATTACAATGACTTTTACGGTAACAAATGGTTGCAGTCATTGATTATTCGCAACCAATGGATTTTTGAAAGTTGTCATCTAAATTTTAGTAGTCAATTCATCTTTTTTGTTAATAATATAGAGACTGACATTCTATGGAGACGTTTTAGGATTCCAACAGAACATAAATTACCGAGGAAGCAAAGAGAGAAAATAATGACTGAAAGTCAACATAAATCACAAAACAATTTAGTTATACTGTTCTCTGATAAGATTAGCTTAGCTTTCTTTAAGTCAAATACATTTAGAATTCCTGTGATCCAAATAACTAATAGTCATCTCACGAATAATCGTCCAACTAATCGCTTATTATAACAAAATAATTGTTAATGATGTGCCTAATTGACAGTTGCATGGCAACGTCAAAAACAGCCTGAGGCATAAACGTGTTGCCAACGCTGTTCTTACCCGGTTACTAAAATATATTATGAAAACATAAACTACATTCGCTTTGACATTTTACGGGCTTCAATTCCCACTTAAATGATCATTCCGGTCACTGAAACTTTGTTACGGAAGAAGTAAAAGCATACAGGCAGAGCCACTGAGTGACAGCACGAGCGGCCAATGAGATGTCTCAGACTGATCATAAACATTCCAAGACACGATAATTTCACCAATCAGAGCGACCCAGAGGCGGTCTCTACTGGGTTTCATGCTTGATGTGTTTAAAGAGGCCCAATCCCCGGGGTGGCAAAATAGCAATCGGTGAAGAATATCAAAGCTGGTCGTTAGCAGTTCACCGACTCACAGCCCAATGCGGAACATAGCTGCGAACTACGCGGCCACGTATATAAGGTAAACACTGGTCAGATGAAAGCTGACAGGGACGTGTAATGAAGGGAGTGGAGCCAAGCAAGAACAAGACACAGCTTTGAGGAAACAGTATAACACCTACCCAGAAATTCTCGAGGAAGTAGGGTGTTATCATCTTCTTTTATTCCTTCCCACCACAACTCCCAAGTGTGTAAAAATGCAACTTTAAGCCCGTACTTGTCCCAGGGTCCTCCCCTTGTTTCTGTGATCTGTTCGCTTTCCTCTGCGCTTTCTTCCCCCTCCCCATCGGAGACTCCTCCTCCACAGTGCGGCAGCTGGAACAGCGCCCCCACTGGCAGCGCAAGTAAAGTGTCTAAACCATAGACTGTATATATTAAAACAACTTCTAAACAGAAGGTTGCCTCATGTTTTTAAAAATATTTCAAAATCTATTTAAACCTTACGCTCATCCCTCACGTCACCTAAAAGTAATTCAAACCAAGTCGCTCTTTGAAACATTTTCCATTTAAATGCATCCTATGCTATATTTGTCTTTTTGATTCTAGAAAAATACATTTTGCGTTCTGTTTTGTAATGGGTTTTAAGATCTTTTTTAAGTTCTGCTTTTTAAGATCTCTTTCTGGTAACAACCTCTGTCCCTGGATCCCCCCACTACCCCTGCTATTAAAATACATCCATGGTCATTACCCACTGGTTTTATTTTATCCTTCCATGCATACTGTTAATCAGAATCAGAATCATTTTTATTGCCACGTAAGTAACAGGAAGTCACATACTTGGAAATTGCTTTGGCTCAGTGCAACAGTCAGAAAGAGATAATAAAAATAAAGAATAAAAAACACTTCTAAGGAATAAATTTATATTTAAAATAGAGTTACAGTTACTATTTACAATATACAAGTGCACATGGTGCACACAATGTAAGGTGACGGCAATACAGTGAAGTAAAGTGACTTTAAGGGCGGGGGGACAGGTTAAGAAGTGTTCAAGGGTCCAACAGCAGAGGGGAAGAAACTGTTCTTGTGGCGGGAGGTTCTAGTCCTGATGGACCGCAGTCTCCTGCCTGATATTTACATTTGTTGACAATATAACAAGAATGATAGCCTCAGGTACTCAACTGAATGTGAGAAGCCATAAAGGTTGTCAAAAGTATTGAAAATCAGATAAGATACTAACCCTAACCTTAAGTTTACATTTCTTGAGCATTCTTTGACAAATGTAAAACTACAATATATCAGAAAGACTTGTAGAACACATAAAACCCTCATAAAAAGTGGTATTACTTTGAGTCTAAAAGGTTTGTGTATTGTCCCAAAAATTATTATCACAAAAATGGTATCGAGTATCCTTTCTAGTATTGAAACAAAGTTTTAAATTTAGTATTGTAACACTATAGAAAGGTGTCGCCCAAAGACTGTAAATATATTCTTCAATGGTCTATGCGGTGCAGCTCCACATCAGGCCCCCAGTGTCCAACAACCATCCTGTTTCTTCCGCTTTATCCATTGCCAGTGTGTAAGGGCAGCTGTCTAAGTAGAGATGTCCTTGCATGCAAGGAGACTTCCCTATTCATGCACACTTTATGCACAACATATTTGAAAATAAAGACCTTTCTTGGGATATTGTAAACTTTTATTTGACAATGTAAAACTTCAAGCAATGGTAACCAGTCACACTCACTATATCATATTACAAATATTACAAAATTACTACAATACAATATAGATTCTTTGCATGATCCAAAATAGTTGGTGGCCCCAAAGTATTTAATATTTTTCAAAATGCAGCAGCTTATTAAGAACAAAAAATGTCCATAAAAAAGGACATTATGCTTTTTCATAGAAAAAAACAACAAAACAGGTGAGGCAAGTGATTAATCAAGGCTATTCATTATTAAACATAGATGTATTCTTAGTTAGACAGTCTTACTTGGACCTCTATAAAATACTACACTTAAAGTTGTGTGTGTGTATACATTAGACATTCAAACAAATCAATTATGAATTGAGTGCCCTTTGTCGAGGTACTATCACATTTAAAATAATCTGCCAGTTAATTCCAAAGGTCTGTTTATGAATAATCCAATACCTCAGCCATGCAATACTTAATTTAAACTAAATTATTTTCTAGATCATTGTTCAGAGATATACACCATGTAAAAGATAAAGTAGGTCAGAGTACAGAGGACAACCTGAGGTTAACATATAACACACACGTCGGACACTAACAATATGGGTGATTTTTGGCTTAGTTTTAATTTAATCTTGGTGTTTGCCCTGGAACTCACTATAGAAGAGTGAAACGCCTCTAACACAAAGTGTTCTTTTATGCATGTACTTCAAATGATGTGATGTTTTTAAATGGGGTTGCAATGCAGTTTTGCCCCCATAGACCTGGAATATCCTAAACTAATCAAACTTTGTATTCCAGCTGGAATGTGGCAGACAATAAAATACAAATAAATTTGTCTCTGTATTCCATGATGCTTTGTCTTTAGCATTACTAATACTGACTAGTAAATGATGAAGGCTGCTGAGGCTGCATACATTGTACACTACCTGTATGTATACACTTTTTCAAAGGGTTGGCTACGACAGTTTTAACTCCTATTATCCCAAGCATGCACTTACGGTGCCATTACTTTCACACCACAGTAATAGCTCTGCCCGGCAGAGAATAATCACTGGCTGAATAACTAAAATATCTATTCCTTATCATGGAACACATTCAGGCTCATAATTAAGCATGTAAATAACACAAAAAAGTACATAGAATGTGTTCTTAGAAAGAACACATTATAAACATAGATAAGCAGGTAAAGTTTCACAGTTAACTTTTTTGGACAGTGTACTTTTCCATATTTGAAGATTCCCTCCCTTGAAAGTTCCCCTCCCATGGAGTTTTGAGGGGCCACCAACATGCAAGAGAGAAGAGTTACCCACAAAGCACAATTACCAAAACGTACAGTCATCTTTCAAGTCATGCGATTTGCAAAAGTAACACAAATGAGAAATAAAACAACAATAATCGCTGTAGTTTTCCTTAACATAGCCCCTGGTGGAGAATGTTACACTATCAGTTTGTTTTATTGTTCTGTATAACTGTTTTCTATTAAATATCTGTTTATTGTTGTCCGTTTAGACACACATTAATTCTCTCATTGCACGGCAGAATTCAGTCACATTATAGAAGGTAACGCTTTTTAGCTACAGTTACATCATCGGGATCAAGAACATAGAGCAATAGAAGCTGTCCAAATAAACAACCATACCAATACAGCGTACAAACTATATAAACATGCTGCCAACTGATTAACAACAAAAACCTTATTCTAAGAGATAAGATGTGGCACTATTGTTTGGGCCCCCATTAGCACAGGGTTCAGTATGGGGTTCAGTACGACTAAATGCACGTTCGTCTCCTAAACATTATGTTTTAACAGCAGTGGCTCTGTTCCTAGTTATCTGGCCTCAAACAAGGTACATTTGTCGGAGCAACTTTTACTAATGCAATTTCAAGTGTTGACGCGTGTTTGACCGATCACACTATTCCTTATACACCCTCACCCTCCCCAGCATGTCTGCAGTCCGCCAGAGGACCAAGTATTAAATCTATCTTTAATCAAATCAAAGAAGAAAAAAAAAGAAGATGTTTCATGTTTGAATGTAGGAAAAAGTAGTGGTCGCCTTTTTGTCCAACACTAATAACCCCAAACATTTTGCACCCCACTGCCGTGCAACACAAGCATAGCCCTCCCTCCCCACCACCTCACACGGGGGTCTGGTTCCGTCCTCCCTGGAGCATGGACCATCCCCTCTCTCAGAAAAACAGGTTCCTGGTGTGAGGCTGTAAAAGGGACAAATGCGGCAGGTTATTTCAAACATAATTAAAGTTATACGCAAAATCTGGGCCGGCCCATGTCATTAAGGAACTGTGAATATAGTTTAGCATTTAATTGCTGTGTTACAGATAAGTACAGTACTTGCTGGACTATAAAAGCCGTAGGTTTTTATGTTATCAACCAAATTTTGATGGAGTATGAGATTTCATAACACTTAAGCAACTTTTGTTAAAGTTAAACTCATCATTCTATCAATGTGCAGAAGCCTGTACTTTTCCACTTCATGTTTTGACTATCTCTGCTGGCACCGTGGAAGCTGCTGATTGGAGGTCTCCATGTCTCCGCTCTGTATAATGCACTTGCATTCTGTGTTCGTGCTTTGTTCGTGCTGTCTCTACCATCGACAATAAAACATGTCTTCTGTCTGAATCAAAGACGCAATCCCAGACTATGGCATCTTCTTCAGGAGTAAAACAAAGCCGATAGACATCTGTTTTAACTGGTTACAACACGATAAAAGCACTTTGGTAATAAATGCACTCTATTTTAACAATAAGCGTGCGTCCCATCCAGTGGGGGAGGGTCCCAGCTCAAAAGTGGCCGAAATGACGTGCGCTGACATGCTTGCAATACCACCCCCGGCCGATGGGGGTGGACCCAGAAGTAGAATTAGCCAATGCTAACAAATAGCATTGGCAGACCTCTCAAAAACGTCTTTACAGGATGAACCAAAAGTTGTCTCTTGGCCCAAAGCTCCATTCCACATGTGTGTCAATGCTGAGGGGGGTGGATTTTTTTGGTCCACTCTAGTTTACTTGCTGTGAATTTTTCAAGTCTCTCGTTCAAATGAATGGAGTTGCGCCGGCTGACGCATGCGCAGATGCGTTTTTTCACAATTTTCTTGTGGGCGGGACCACTCGCGGCCATTTTGGATAGCTCCAGTAGAGCACATTTTTTGGCCCATTAGTTAGAACGGCGGAGATAGGCGTGACTCTGTCCATTAATATATACAGTCTATGGTCCCATCCCTACTAAAGCTTCATGGACTCAAAATAATAGGTCCACAAACTCTGTTCTGGCTATATCCCTAATGGCATAAAAACAAGTCCAGTGTATTTCCATAACACTTCTCTCTGCTGTTCACATAAACACAGTCAAGCAGGAATGTGTCCCATGTCATTAGCTGTGGAGATCAACAGCTGAGTTGAGTCTAAATCAGCTCCCTAAAACGAAAGAAAAAATCCATACTTTGACCACTTTGCTATATAGGCCCCAGAGTTAGTAAAAATAAGAAGCGGCTTATAGTCCAACAATTACAGTATGTTCTTAAATTGTTAAATTGTTTTGGGTGAAAGGTTTGAGACACACTGTTGTAGCCTATCAAAGTGATACACCATTGCATCCAAAACAAATTACATGTTATTGGTAAATGTTTTAATGGGAGGCAACATCTAAAACTCTGTTGAAAAATTCTTGCAATCAAAAATTATTTATATTTGGTGGCCATAAGTACAATCTTGTTAAAAAGTCACAAAATGCCACAAAATGCCTAGAGCCAGCCCGGTTAGATAAAACAAAGACCTTATGATTTGATTGAAGAACGTGGCTACTGTAGCTACACCCCGTAAAATGTCGCCAGCCGTTCCTTCAGAGGCATCGGGAACTGATCAGAGAAGCGCTTCCAGTTTTCTTCTCCTACTTGGTTCTTAAACCCGTGAAGAATCTGATATTGGGGGGGAATAAAACAGTATATGAATATCTTAAAACAACTCAGGGTGCAATTAAAGATTATAATGTTATTAAAAGTATAGCTCCATTAATATACAAAACAAACAGACAACACATAAAACATAAATCATTGTAAACAGGTGCAGGGTGAGGATATAAAGGATGAAGTGAATTAGTATGTATGATAATGAGCGAGTGCTAATATTATGCTAACAGATGTTTTGATTAGCGTAGTTGACCAGAGGCTGTAGAAGGAGTGCGGACGTCACCCTTTGCTCTAATTTGGCTCTAATTTGCTTTGCCTTATTGCGGAAGAAGCAAATTAGAGCCAACTCAAACAGTGTTAATCTCGAGCCAATATTGTGAGCAGTTAGTGAAGAGCTAAACAGGAGCGGCACTGGTCTGTTCCCCGTTTGTACTACTCGCCAACCAAAGATCGATTTAGAGACAGAAGGCTTCCGATCGGTCAGTTTTAGGAAACATACATGGATTGACAAAGACGTCAAATTATAAACACCATGGGATCAGGTATGGCATTAAATCATGGCTTTCTAAAGGAAAAATGGTAAGTGTTATTATATAGCACTTTTTTAGACACTCAAAGACTTTCACGTGTCATATTCATTTGCTCCAAACACAGTGGTGATAATCTACTACAGTAACAAAAGCTGGCCTGACAGAAGCGAGGCCACCACCAACCATTCATGCACACTAGGCAATGTGGGAGAAGTGTCTTGCCTAAGGACACATGTACAGTTTGAAACTTTACAGCCACCCCAGACTGACACCTGGTGTTCCCAGAGGTCTCCCATCACAGTACAAACCAGGCTCTGCCCTGCTTGGCTTCAGAGGTCTGACAGTATCTGGCTTTCACATGTGTACTGGAGGTGAGGCATACCACGAGCACTTCCCTATAAGGCTTCATAGAGCAAGTGTGTTAGTTTTCTCTATCTATATACAGTTTATGGTTCTAACTGTGCAAAGCTGCCAGAGACGCTGCAGAGAAGTGTTTGGTTCAAATATTTGGAAGGATTAAGTTGATGAACTGTACTTTCTTTACACAATTGGTTATTCGATTAGTATTACTTGCCAATCATATACAGTACATATGACGAGCATGGAAATAGAACAAAAGTGGTTTAAAATGTTTTTATGAAAAATGTGTTTTACCTTACAAAACATGTCTCGAAGATCTTCTTTTGGATTTACCCAGGAAGCCACAGCATCACAGAAAAATATAAAATCCTGTTTGAAATGACAGACACAGAGTTTTGATCACTGACACAGATACCAATAAAGTTAAAAGTTTATTTCCGCGTCGGCTTACCTGCACAACGCCGCCTGGGTTCACACTGATCATAGTGCAAATTCCTCTGAAAGCCGAGTCCTTCTCCTCATTGTCTCTTATATTTCGCAAAGAAGTACACCTGGAAATTAGGGCGATTTAAGTTTGTTAAAAGGGGAATATACACACGCACACATATTCAAACTCATGTAGAGTAGATTCCTCTCTCTAAAACCAAAATATGCACTTAACAAAGATGTTTTGTACAGTCTATCTCAACTGTATCATGCGAGTTTGGAAAAAACAAATTTGTAAAGGGCCTTCAAAATATTATGTCTGATGTTTTCCAGGGACATGCACATGCAGCTGGGTGACTACCAAATGAGAAAGGGAGAATTAATTGTACGACTTTTAAAATTTGCCGAAAAAGCGCCGCAACCTTTCTCTGTTGTTGAGCCAGCAGACATGTGATCCCATGCATTTTGTTTTGTATATAAAAATTTAACAATTAACAATGACAAAGAAACAAAAATAAAATAACATTACTTGAAATTATAACAATAAACAGAGATGACGTCTAGAGGACAGGGTTAGTCACACACAATAGGCAGCAATAGAAACGAAAAGAAAACTATTTTAGAGGGTGAGATGCAGAGCAAATAAAGGAGAGGGAATACATGAGAGTGGAGGGAAAAAGAACTGAAATAAAACAAATATTGAATAATACACACCAGGGTCTTATAAACTGCTGTAGCATGGGTGCCACCTCTTGAGGACAAACGTAACCAAGACGACCAATTGTTATTGCTAATAACGCAATCACGGGTACACACCACCAAACGCCAACCAAGACATGAGCAATGAGAGGGGGGAGGAAATAAAGAAAAACAAACAACTCAGAGACAGAAATCAACAGTGTATGATAAACAGAAGAAATCACTAGTGTTGATTAATACAGCTCCTTCAGATGTGGGTAAAAAAGTAAAAATATGACACCATAAATAAAACATACAAACACGTTTAAGGGAGAATGACAGCTGTAATTGAGCACACAACGCAGTGTCATTGGCGCTGAAGCTAAAACAAAAACATTTGTTGATAACTGTGTAGAGATTACCCGACAACTAGAGTATTCTCCCTTAAACTCACAGCTGTTAATAACACAGAAGACATAAATAAATGTACTTTTGGAGTTCAAAGAAATGACAAATTACTCCAAGCCAACAACATGGAGGGAGACTAGTATCCAGCACAGCAGGTTCTTATGAGGCAGAGGAGGGAGGACCTAAGTTTAAAAAGACACAAAACTATGCAACATTCTCATTAACATTCAGGCATTTATGAACAGTCCAATGACACATGCAGGAAGCAGATGGTTTGCTCATTAGTGTAAAGTTCAGTGCAGGATTAATTTATCACAAGGAAATGATATGTCACTGATATTATTATTATTATTATTATTGACATTAGCATTGGTATTACTTGACCATTACTACTGAAATCTTAGCATGTTAGAAGAATACAGAATTTGACTTTCAATCTATATTGTTATTAATTGATTCGCCATCATTGGTTTCTTTCCAATTAAACATACTGGTAGTTAAGCTTAAAAATGACCAGTTCAAATTTGTAAAAATCAGACAATCCTGCCAAGATCCTGCATCAAACAATTCCATTTAACACCTAAAGAAAATAGGCATTCACATTTATAAAACATTAAGTACAAGCAACATATAAACTGACAGCAAACAAACAAGAACACATTTATAAAACTGTGCTACAAATTTATAGAGAATAAATAATAAAGTTATTCTTTCATTTTGTATTTTTTCTATATCTTAAATTAATTGCTCTAAACTGCATGTATGTGTTTCACTCACCAAGCATTTAAGTCAAAAGGGCATTTCCAAGACTGCAGTAAAATGAATGGTTTTAATTTTTTTTTTACATCAAAGTCCTTTCTTGGATTACAAGTCCCACACCCAGGCAGTGAAAGAGTAGCAGTAACCAAAAATGTCAAATCATTGTGTAGAAAAAACTAGAAAAACCTGACAGACTACAGTCATGGAGAGGCCTTGAGGAGATTTGGTATCAGAACAAGCACTCTGGACACTAGCAAATAAAAAAATAACAAAAACCAGGGTGAATATCTGTCTGGAGACCGCCACCAACGGGTACCTGTATTTTCCAGAAGTGTCTTTGGAGTATTCGGCCTGTTAATGATCTCCACCAGCTGATGCAGCACCATGGCAATATATGGCTGCATTTCAGGCCCTGGGGTTTTGGAGAGAGTATAATCATGATTGTGGATGGACAAAACTGTTGGGGTAGTGAACTATTGTGTTTCATCAATAATATATGACATTTGCAAAAACAGATATATCAGTTTTGAAAATTAGGATTTCTCTAGTTAAAAATCTTCAACAGGTTTTTGTTATTGTCAGGAATTTGATAAGAAGAAGGGAAACGTTATATGTGTGGCACTAAAATATAAAAAATATATAAACAAGTTAAGAAAAACTCCCTGGTAAAGGGCACATTTTTTTCCCCAATATCCATTAATATACTTTTTTTTTGTCTGTGCCTTGCGGTGTCTTTATATTGTCTCTTATATGGACCGCGAGTCTTACTATTATTGTTATTTTTGCAAATTAATTATTAATATTTTGTTTGTCCCAACAGAACAGGTCTTGTAAAAGAAACAACATAATAAGAACCACAATTCCTATACAACACCTTCAAAACATTGTATCGTTTCCATTGTGACTCACAGGAAAGAGCCCTGTGAGTCACAATGTGAAGCTTAGGGCCAAGAGCTGTGGTCCAATGGTTTTCACAATTCACTGATTCAAACATAGGACAGAGGCCAAAAATACATGCATGTGAAAACTAGTGATAGAAAGGTTGAGACCTAGAAATGAGTGGATTTGATTAGATATATAGTTTTTTAGAATTAGGTACCCCAGTTTTAGCAATTTGAATACTATATATACCATAATAATGATATAGTAAATATATAATAAATCCTTCACTCACCCATTTGTATGGATATTTCACCTATTGCCCATGTTGCATTGTTACAAACTGAAATCAATTCTGGATTTAGGTTTCTACCAAGTATAGGCATAAAATCAGCTGAAAAACACAAAAGTTACAAGTTTTTATGATAGATTAAACAATTTAGTTGAGACTTTTCCAGACTATACCAATGCATGGTTTGACATGCAGGAAGCAGGCTTTTGTCAGATCTCCCAGCAGAGCAAAAGAACTCTGACGAACCTCTGGCATTTTGTCCTGAAATCAGAAATAGAAATCAGTAACTTCCTCCTAAGAGTGAAAATATAAGTAACCTCTTACCTGCATACACTGGTACAGGAGCGTGAGAATGTTACTGCGGGCGACTAACTGGTCAATGGTCTCACCCAGGCCCTCAGCCAGCCCACTCAGAAGATCTAAAGCCACAATCATGAAGTCCTTATCGGGAGGCTCATACTGGTCTGGCTGTGCCTGGTAAAGCTGGAGAACAAGGCAAAAAAAAACATTTCTTACTAGTAGTACTGGCACATACTATTCTTCTGATGCACTTTGTTTTGCTGGCTTCCTGTGGCTCAGAGAATAGACTTTAAATCAACTCTGTTTGTGTAAAAGTCTCTAAATGGCCTCACACCAAAGTACATCTGTGACATGTTAGTGCCATATGAGCCAACTCGGACTCTGAGGAGCACAGGGACTGGACTCCTGATGGTGCCCAGGGTCAGGACTAAACACGGGGAGGCAGCATTTCAGATTCATGCGGCTAGAGTCTTCCTGAAAATGTTCTTTTTAGTAGTGCAAACAAGGATTATATCTTTACTATTTTTAATGTACTGTGATTATTTATTTCGATCTTGTTTTGTTAAGCACTTTGAGTTGCCTTGTGTATGAAATCCTTTGTGCATTGTGCGATGCACTTTTGACGTTTTCAATTCTTTTGTAGTGTTTTTATTACTATATTGTAGCAACTTATTTATTATGCACTTGTGACTGTGTGAATGAGAGCAGCTGGCACCACTGTAATTTCCTTCGGGATCAATAAACTTTATCCTATCCTTGCCTTTCCTAAGCATTTCTTGCATATAATCACACAGATAAGTTCAGATCATTGTTTCTTGTCTCACAGCGAGGAAATGTCAGTGTCGCACAAAATGCAAGAAAAGCAAAGGAGGCACAAGAATTGGATACATAGTTACTGTATACAAATGTTGAAATAAAAATTTAGATATATTCTATAGTACACTATACACTGTAAAGGATTTGTAAAAGGATGGATATGCATGAAAACAAACTTACAACATGCAATGAAATAATTTGTGTCAAAAGAAGCTAAATCCATACTGTTGTTATTATCACGTGAATTACTGTTAAATAATTGCTGAAAAACAGTCCAGCGTCTCAGCCCTCATCAATATTTACAGTAATGACTATTGCTTAAGTGCAGCAGGAGCAGTATATGGACTAGACTAGAATACCTTGTGTACAGAGGGTAGTGATGTATAGTGAAGGGAGGTGGCTCACCATGGCTTGTGCAAGTGTTTTCTGGACCAGGTTGACACAGCGTTGGTAAACTGGCTCACAGTACGGCAAGAAACCACTTTGGAGCGCGGTGGCGACGGAGGACAAACACTGGAAACAGTAGTAGAGTTTTAGAATCATTGTTATCAAACTGTTGGTATTATCAACTGTGTGAAGGTCAGAGAGCAGTCGCTGATGTACAAAATTGAGGATTACAACAATACATTCTAATTCATCTAATGAATCTGTGATCCATCTTAAACAGTGTCTGGAACTTACTTCTAATAATGGAAACAGGTCTTTGTCTTCATCTTTAAGTTGGTTCCACTTATGAATCAAAGGAGGCATCAGCATCTCAATGTATTCCTGGTGAAGATATGATAACGACATATGTAAGTGAGTAATATTTATTTATTTCGTGCTTTTCACAGAACAGGGTCACACAAAGCACTTTGCGATGCAGTGCAGAGAGAAAACACACCTGTTTATTAAGATGGTGTCCGACTGAATCAGCGAGTGTCCCGATGGCGTCATACAAAATAAGGAGATTCTTATGTTGGTATTTGCTGAAGGCAAACACTAATGTGTCCAAGATAAACGACAGGTAAGGAACCAGCTCTGTGCAGGCCTCCTCTTCCAAAGTCGCAAAGGCACTAAATCAGGAACAAATCAGGGACAATAAATAGTGAATTAGTAAGTTTAAAATGATGTATACTCACCTACAAGCAGCTTCCTGAACGCGCTTGTTGCTGTCTAAGATTCTTTGAAGAAGCTCCGTCATGAGAGGTTTTAGGTAAGTATCTGGAGGCTGGCTAACGACCCAGTGAGCATAGCGGCTCAGTGTCCAACAAGTGATGGACCGCACCAACGCCTTCTTGTCTGACAGGAACTGGATTAGGTGAGGTATGAGCTCAGGCAGGTAGGGAATCATGCCTTGCATACAACCTAGACAGAGAATGAACAAATCAATAGAGGATATTTTTGTCCTTTACTTATATACTCAAACATATCTAATAATACCTTCAGCTATAGCCCCCAGAACTAAAATACCAGACTCTCTTACAATCCAGTCTGAGTGGAAAATAAGCTCCTTTAGTAGAGGCAGAAGATGCACCAAAAGCTCATCCCTGAATACATTTGCCAAAACATCCAAGGCTGCGGCTGAACATTTACCTGCGGTTTGCAAAGACAGAGGAAGCACAACACGAGGCAGATCAATACATTGTACAGGCAGCGTTCAGAGTGAGCCTTCTCAGTTTACATCAGAGGAAAACTCACGCAGGTTCCAGTCTGAGATAGTGTCATCAAGTTCATCTTCGTCATCGTCATCGTCATCCACACCCTCCCCATCGTGACGCTGAGCCACTGTGCGAGAGCGGTGGAAGCGTGGCCTGATGTCCTGCTCATTGTCAGGTATCGCTTCATCTTCCTCGATGTCTCCCTGGGCCATAAACAACATGTCTGCTGTGAGCTGCTGCTGGGTGTGCTTTTAATCACGTTGGAAAAACTGACCTTGAGCAGAATGATGTCGATCTCAGAGTACTTCATTCCGTTTACAAGCACCGGTGTGAGTCTAAGAGGGAAGAAGACACGGTGTTTTTAAAACTGTCCTCTTAGCACACGCTTAAGAAGGAACATCTACTTCACCACGCCTTCACGTTTCACAAAAACATAATGACAAGTACAACAGAGCATAAGGCTGAATTTACATTCCAAATTCCAATTTGAAATGTTGTGATGTCACGGGAATGCAGCTTATGCTAAAGTATCTCTGAATGAATCACTAGTTGGTTGTTTTTTCTCATGTCTCTCTTGCTCATTGTCAAACACTGGTTTGAACACATTCAAACAAATGTTTTGTCAGCATCTTCTGTCTTTGTCAGAGGTGACACACATGACAGCGGCTGATAAGACGTCATACCATCAGCTCTAACAAAAGGTGGAAGCTTACTGCTGGGTCATAAGCACACAGCTTATTTTCTCTAAGTGCCTGAATGGAAGAAAACACTACTTTTATTCGCAAATAAGTTTGTAATTTATTTAATAATGCAAAGGTACAAACATTTTACTGAAAGCAAGAGACCCGAGTGATTTGGTTTCTTACTGAGAGAGGTGTCCACAGAGTACATCTTTGCACACAGGCTGCTCTGCCAGAGTCAGCCAGAATTCACAAGCCTCCAAAGCCACGTTTTCATCTGGATCTCGAGTCCTTTGCAGCATGTACTGAGGCATATTTCAACATCTCCATTAGAATGATATTTAGAATTTCACAAATTCATATTAATTAAAATACTTACCTCGATTATGTTATGCATGTGTGGCAGAAGTCGGTCAAGGCGCACCTCTAACAACATGACCAGAGCTCTGCACACATTTTTCCTTACTTCTGGCTCCTCATCTGCTGCTAGTGCAAACAAATTCTACAGAAAGTGCACAAGAGGTGAACACAAACACTTAATGAACGCCTAGAGCTATTCTGTTCTATAAATGCTGTTGACTTGCCTCGATAAAAGGGTCGATATGCAGCATAAGAGCCTGGGTTCTGCAGATAATGAACTGATTGACACAGGCAATAGCATGAGACCTGTGGAACACAAGAGACCATTATCCTTACAAGCTAATGTTTCCCTCGGTAATAAACCAAACAAAATAGAAATGAGTTCATCAATGAGAAAATAAACAAATCAAACAAATTACCTAATTTTAGGACTGCTGTGCCTAAAAAACTGCAGAAACTTTGGGATCAAAATATTTAGTGGCCGATCCAGCATGTCACTGTCCAGGATCTCGGCCGAGTCTTCACAGATTTTTTGTAGGGCTCCAAATGCTCCCTGATAAAGAGGAAAATATACTTATTAGAGTGACAGCCTTTAGAAATATTGACATCAATCTCATTTTCAGTTTTCTTTTGAATCAGCTGCATGTACAGTATTAATAAATAATAATAAATAGTTGTTGTTATTATTATTATAAAAAAGCCCTCACATATTACTGGTCATGTGCTGGCTGTCTGACTAGTATGCACGGACATGAAGAGCTGCAGGCGTTAGCTCACAAAGATGCACTCTGAGAAGCAGATCCAAAAATACAGCTCACACCACTGCTGTGCGAAACACGTTGCCTTGGTTACACACCGAATAATACATTAATATGTATGTAACAGAGAAGAAATCTGATTCAAGGTCATATTCTCATAATAATAAAGACGGTTCCTTCACAACATGGGTAAAAGGATACTAACAAGATAAAGGAGAGTCCAGAGGAAGCAAGCAATTTCCTCCTGATCTCCAACTGTGTGCAAGTTAGTGTTATTCTTGTGGAAAGTGAAGTCGACAGAGTCCTTCCAGAGAGAAATATGACACTACAAGTCGAGACAAATGGAAAGCAAATACAGCTACACATTGTATGAATAGCTGTATACATTTGCAACGACAGAAATGGTAGACGGATGATTTATGCTGTGAAGTCACTTTAGGTTTGACCCTGACACCAACTAAAAACTGCCATCACACAAAAACTATATAAAGCAATCCACCGACATTACACTTGGCGTCTGAAACACCTGCTTGTGTCTTTTAATAGTGTTTAGAGGGAGGGGTACAGTGTAACGGAAAGATGACCATTTAGACATCTGCTGCAGCTACAGTACAACGCATGAGCATTTAACCAAGCAGGAATTTGTAATATTAGGGTTATTTTCTAATATTATAATAGTTCAATAATAAGTTATACATTTTGCACAAGCTTAAGTCCTGGAAAGCCATGTATTTCTGAAATGCTGAAACTGAACCGTATGTTTACACTTCCAGAACACAGAAAATAGCTGACCTAAATCTCAGCTTCTCAGTGGGCTTTTAAAAACTGTCTGGTGAGGACACAACATGAGAAAGTTATGCCTTATGTTTTTAAAAGTCTCAATAGGCTCAACAGAACAAGGCAATAAATCAGTTTACTAACATGCCTATTGTCTGTTTATACAGTGCCTTGAAACGGTAATCACTGGCCATGGGCTATGCCACATTTTGCCAAGTCACTACCACAAACATAGCAATATTTTATCATATTAGAATATTAAGACACACCAACACACAGTAACAGGCAATTGGGAAGCAGTTTCATATTCATACAAAATAATAATTTAAAACAAAAAAAAAACTAAATATGTGTCAGGGTGGCCCAATCAAAAAACAGATCTAATTCATAAATTGTGGCAAGATCAAAAAAAATGGATGGAAAAAGGTAACTCTCCAAAAAGCTGCAAGAGACAGACCCCAAAAGACGTGCACCCAGAGGCTACACCAGCTCTGCTGCTGTGACCCAAAGGGCTGTTGCTGATTATTACTATTGTTAGCTTTTTGGAATGATCAATTATACTTTTTATTTTTGCTGCTACTGGACACATGAATTTCTCCAACAGGGATCAATAAAGTATCTATCTATAATTTTAACATAGGGGGATCCACCAAGTTATTTCCAACAAATAAAACAAAAATGAAGTGTGGCTCACAAAAGTTCAGTCAATAACAGATTTAATTCATGGATGATTTTACTTTTTAATTTACAAATACTTAGTATAGTAGTATTAAATGGATTGTGGATGTTTTTTGGGAAAGTAAATACATAGAAAATTGGGTAATTCATTGATAAATCTAAAACATATACATATTTCAGTCAAAGCTACATAATAACGCTGACATAAATACAAGTGCTTGCTTACACCAGATGTACAGATAAAGGAGATTAACCTCCAACTATGTTCAACTTACCTCACATGTATTATAGTCCTCAGAATCCAAATGTGAGCAGAGTTTGGGGAGAAGTTCTGGCCAGTTCTGGAGCTCCCCCTTGGAGGCAATAGTGGTGATGAGGATACCTGCCAAAGAGGAAGTCTCCAAGTAATTTACACTATTAACAGTTTTTCCTTTGATACAGAAAGTTACAATACAGAAGAAAACATAGAAGGTTTCAAGGTTCTTCTTTTTCTGCAGACTCACCGACAGTTGCCCGAATGAGGGCAGATGAGTCACCAATGCTTTGCAGACATTCACTCTTAATGAAATCAGACACACCGTTGGGGAAATTCTGGTAATGGGCTTTTACGTTGTTTTTTAGAATAAGCCCGCTGAGGGATCGAGTTGGTTCATCTTTGAAGAGAAAGAATATGACGCACAATCATCCTCTACTATTGTCAAAGATTGAAAAAAAAAATACCAGGCTGACCCATATCGTCCAGTGACCAAGGCAAAGGTACAATTATTTCTCCTTGACTTGCCATGTTTTATTAAGACCAATATACATGCTCACCTTCTGTTTTCAACTTTGTGAGGACAAATATCAAATAGTTGTTGAAGTCTGGAAACTGGTTCAGTTGCTCCAATCTCTGTTGAATAGGTTTAGGAGACCAACAGCTCACAACATATGAAAAAATGTCTCATGTTCTCTCATGTTAACAACAGTATTGGAAATGTCATTGAGCAGGCCAAGGTACATGGTGGTCAATGACAATCAAAGAATCAAAGAAGAGCAAATAGTTAGTATTAGTATGACATGCATTGAAAACAATCAAATGGTATTACATTTATTCAGATCCTACACAGCCATACAGTACCTCATCCCACTCTTCATAGGTTAAACATGGATTTACACAAATACATAGCGAGATAGAACACAAAACGTCACAACCAGTAAATGCACGTCTGGTTCTTAAGCTAAAGCTGCTCCATGCTTTCTCTCTTGTTTGTTGTTTAGGGCTAAGCTACAGATTGGCATTTGATCTGTGCATTATGGTCAAACGAAGCACCACATTGCACAACCTCCTGTCCCACTTCTGCTACGCTACACTGCAGCTGTTTTCTGACACACACACACTTAGGGCTGCCTGGCGTCTGGACAAAGGATACTTGCTGGACAGATCTCTGCATGGACGTGTCAGGAGACTGGGACTCCTTCAGAAGCTGGAGAATCTGCTGAAGTCCTTGCTGGTCTGGCTTCCATTCACACTCCATCTTAATCTGCGCCAGAGCACAAAGAAATAACATTAATGGTTGCGCACAGCAGATGAAAACATGTCAGCTGTGTTCGGCGATGACTCAGCCAGACGGAGGGCAGATCTCGCATGCACGTACCCCTCTCTTCCGGGGCAAACCCAGTCAGACCGTCTGATCAAATGTCACCCTTGATCTGGTCGTTCAGACACGGGCCTCTTGGATGTGGACATTCGTTCAAGCTAGCGCTCAAAGCCGAGACAGCGCAGCGCGAGCCTCGGTCCGCTCTGTGCAGCCTGCGTGCGCCGCGAGGTCCTAGCACCAGACGGGTTCAGCAAACACACAGAGAATTGGACTTTTCAGAATCACAATCAAAGAATCAGAAAAAAAAAATATAAGAATCTATAAAATTTCTTGAAATTACTACTATATACAAGTTCACTAAGTACACACGAGTTGCATCACAAGTTACAGAACAGAAGGAACTAGAAACCGTTGCAATGGCTGAAGCCATTGCGATTGACTGCGGAACAGATCTAATGTGGAATTTAGCTGAAAAATCCTTGAAATCCTTGAAACTGTTAAAATACTTTAAACATCTTTGAAACTCCTGAAGTATTTGAAGCTCCTGATATCCTTTAAACTGTTATCCTTTATACTGGTTTTCATGTAAAAACCCCTATTAAGTTCCATTATACTGGTTTACATGTAAAAACCCCTATTAAGTTGCATTATACTGGTTTACATGTAAAAAACCCTATTAAGTTGCATTATACTGGTTTACATGGAAAAATCCCTATTAAGTTGCATTATACTGGTTTACATCTAAAAAACCCTATTAAGTTGCATTATACTGGTTTACATGGAAAAATCCCTATTAAGTTGCATTATACTGGTTTACATGTAAAAATCCCTATTAAGTTGCATTATACTGGTTTACATGTAAAAACCCCTATTAAGTTCCATTATACTGGTTTACATGTAAAAACCCCTATTAAGTTGCATAATACTGGTTTACATGGAAAAATCCCCATTAAGTTGCATTATACTGGTTTACATGGAAAAATCCCTATTAAGTTGCATTATACTGGTTTACATGGAAAAATCCCTATTAAGTTGCATAATACTGGTTTACATGGAAAAATCCCCATTAAGTTGCATTATACTGGTTTACATGGAAAAATCCCCATTAAGTTGCATTATACTGGTTTACATGGAAAAATCCCTATTAAGTTGCATTGTACTGGTTTACATGGAAAAAACCCTATTAAGTTGCATTATACTGGTTTACATGGAAAAAACCCTATTAAGTTGCATTATACTGGTTTACATGTAAAAACCCCTATTAAGTTGCATTATACTGGTTTACATGGAAAAAACCCCTATTAAGTTGCATTATACTGGTTTACATGAAAAAACCCTATTAAGTTGCATTATACTGGTTTACATGGAAAAATCCCTATTAAGTTGCATTATACTGGTTTACATGGAAAAATCCCTATTAGGTTGCATGATTACACTGAAGTCCTTGAAACTGCTGAAGTCCTTGAAACTGCTGAAGTCCTTGAAACTGTTGAAGTCCTTGAAACTCTTGAAATCTTGAAACTGCTGAAATCCTTGAAACTGTTGAATCCTTGAAACTGTTGAATCATTGAAACTGTAGAAATGTCTGAAAGAGCTGAAGTCCTATTAAAATGCATGGGCCTATTAAAATGCATTGCAGAATTCTCAATGCAGATTTTTGTCCGATTGCGGAAAAACCGGAAATCGCTGAAGTCCCAAAAGTAATAGCAATAATCTCCCAAACATGTGGAACGTTTTGATGTATAACTTGTGGAAATTGTTGAAAATGTGAAAGCTGTGAAACGTGTCAAAAAAAATGACGGAATAAAGAAATACAAAACCAATGGTTGACTGCGGAAGGTTCCGCAGTCAATCAATGAGGAGCGCACAAACACAACACAAGATTGAAGATTAAGAGATCCTTTCTTCACCCCACAGCGGGGAAATTTCAGTGTTGCATCACCAGTTACAGATCAGTTGGAATGAAGAGCACACAGCACAAGATAGATGAACGACAACTATACTATTGAAAATAAAATAAAATCTCTAACTAAAGGTATTAAATTAAAGGTATATAAGAACCGCCCTCTCCACTTTTTGAAAAAAACTCCCTGGTCCTGTTTGATATCACCAGAATGATTGACAATTACGAGGACCAATAGTCTTGATGATCCACCCGGAAGTAGAAAATTCTTCCACACAACTCTATACTTAAAAAAGCTCCATCTTTTGCTTAATAAAGAAACAGGTATATTAGTATAAAGTATAAAAAGTATACACATATATGTATAAACCTGTATACTAGTGAAGTGAAATATAAACTTGCATTTGTATTTGTCGACAAATCTGTAATACACTGACTAGTGCAAGATTTTTTAAGTTATAACTTAATAGCTCTGTAGGTGCAAATATTCACAGTGATGATACTGTACAAGTTCGCAGCATTAGGTTGTGATGTGTCGTATCACATGTACGCGAGGTTCTAGCACCAGACAGGTTCAGCATACACACCTTGGAAATTTCAAATAAGATAAGATAAGAAATGTACATGTCACATTTGGCATAAATAGGATCACTCAGGTTGTGCAAAAGACAGGAAATGCGCAAACAGAAAATGTGCAAACTGTTTTGTTATAGATCCATGGTGCAAATATGCACAGTGATAATACCACTCTACAAGTTAGCAGCATGAGGGTGTGATACTGGGGGTGGGCGATATACTGTATATCACAGACGAAAGTGAATTTGAAGAAATCCTTTTTTTGGCCCCGGCTCAAAAGTGTCCAAAAGGACATGCGCTGACATGCTGCAGTACCACCCCGGGCCTGTGGGGGTGGACCCGGAATAAGAATTAGCCAATGCTAACATATAGCATCTTCTTACTTCTGGAAAACGTCTTTACAGGATGGTCCAAAACTGTCTCTTGGCCCAAAGCTCCGATCCACATGTGTGTCAATGCTGAGTGTTCTGGACCAGTCTAGTTTAGTCGCGGTGGACTTTAGAAGTCTCTCCTTTAAATGAATGGAGCTCTCGCCGGCTGACACATGCGCATTCGCGGCCATTTTGGATAGCTCCAACGGCGGAGATGGGCGTGACTACGTCCGTTAAAATATACAGTCTATGATTGCAACAGCTGGACCATGCCCTCTGGCCCTCGCTTCACTTACAACAAGATTAGTACGACATGACCAATCAGAAGACCCAACAGCTTTGTCTGACTGTTCCCCGACTGACCAATCAGAAGACCCAACAGCTTTGTCTGACTCTTCCCCACTGACTGACCCCATCGTTCCCATAACCCAGAATCCCAACCACAGCCTGTAGGAACAGGCTGTGTACAGGCTGTTCCAAATGTCAATGGTACTTTCTTTAGTACCATGTACCCTTGCTGTAGACAGCTCCAATGCACAATGCCCACAACAGTAAAACAGAGGACCAGAGGAGAGCAGAGGATCGAGAGAGAGCAGAGGACCATGGGAGAGCATGGGACCAGAGGAGAGCATGGGACCAGAGGAGAGCATGGGACCCGAGGAGAGCAGAGGACCTGGGGAGAGCTTGGGACCATGGAAGAGCATGGGACCAGAGGAGAGCATGGGACCAGAGGAGAGCATGGGACCAGAGGAGAGCATGGGACCAGAGGACAGCATGGGACCCGAGGAGAGCAGAGGACCAGGGGAGAGCTTGGGACCATGGAAGAGCATGGGACAAGAGGAGAGCAGAAGATTGAGAGAGAGCAGAGGACAATGGGAAAGAATGGGACCAGAGGAGAGCGGAGGACCAGGGGAGAGCACGGGGACTGGACACGACAGAAGGACTGACACGACCCCTGGACACTCCCAGACACGACCCCTGGACACTCCCAGACCATGTGGAAAAAAGTGCCAGTAACTCCAGCATGACACAAAGTGCATGTCAGATCTGCACACATGTAGATCTGGAGGCTCTGATCTCAAACTACGCTCTAAAGAGAATGGTACATCATCCAGGTGCTGTAGGATGTGGTGGAGGGCCAGGTTATTGGCGTCGTCTACAGATCTGTTGGCTCTGTAGGTGAACTGCAGGGGGTCCAGGAGGGGGAAGTGAAGGACTTGAGATGGGAGAGGACCAGGCGTTCAAATGACTTCATGACGACAGACGTAAGTGCTACAGGTCTGTAGTCGTTGAGTCCTGTGATCCTGGGCTTCTTCGGGACGGGGACGATGATGGAGGATTTGAAGCAGGCCGGGACATGGCAGGACTGCAGAGAGGTATTGAAAATGTCAGTGAACACAGGAGTTAGCTCACTGGCGCAGTGTCTCAGAGTGGCTGGAGACACATGGTCTGGGCCAGGAGCTTTGCGGGGGTGCAAGTCCTGTTCGTGGACTTCAGCTCTGCCTTCAACACAATCCTGCCATCCCTGCTCCAGGACAAGCTCTCCCAGCTCAACGTGCCCGATTCCACCTGCAGGTGGATCACTGACTTCCTGACGGACAGGAAGCAGCGAGTGCGTCTGGGGAAGAATGTCTCGGACTCTCGGATTATAAATACAGGAGCCCCACAGGGCTGTGTTCTTTCTCCCCTGCTCTTCTCTCTGTACACCAACCACTGCACCTCCAGCCACGACTCCGTGAAGCTGATCAAGTTCACGGCTGACACCACCCTCATTGGACTCATCTCCAACAACGACAAGTCCGCCTACAGGAGGAGGTGGACCGGCTGGTATCCTGGTGTCTCCTACAGGAGGAGGTGGACCGGCTGGTGTCCTGGTGTCTCCTACAGGAGGAGGTGGACCGGCTGGTATCCTGGTGTCTCCTACAGGAGGAGGTGGACCGGCTGGTATCCTGGTGTCTCCTACAGGAGGGAGGTGGACCGGCTGGTGTCCTGGTGTCTCCTACAGGAGGGAGGTGGACCGGCTGGTGTCCTGGTGTCTCCTACAGGAGGGAGGTGGACCGGCTGGTGTCCTGGTGTCTCCTACAGGAGGGAGGTGGACCGGCTGGTGTCCTGGTGCAGTGGTAACAACCTGGAGCTGAACGCCCAGAGACAGTGGAGATGATTGTGGACTTCAGGAAGAGCACTGTCCCCCCGCCCCCACCTTCCGTGATGGACTCCCCCATCACCTCTGTGGAGTCCTTCCGTTTCCTGGGCACCACCATCACCCAGGACCTCAAGTGGGAGCCGACCATCAGCTCCCTCATCAAGAAGGCCCAGCAGAGGATGTACTTCCTGCGGCAGCTCAGGAAAGCCAAGCTGCAGTTCTACACGGCCATCATCGAGTCCATCCTCACCTCCTCCATTCCCTCCTCATCACCTCCTCCATCACCTCCTCCATCACCTCCTCCATCACCTCCTCCATCACCGTGTGGTTCTGGAGCCACAGTCAGGGACAAACAGAGACTACAGTGCATTGTGCGCTCTGCAGAGGAAGTGATCGGCCGCAGCCTTCCATCGCTGCAGGACCTGTACGTCGCCCAAGCTCGAGGCCGGGCTGGTCGTATCACAGCCGACCCCTCTCACCTGCACATGGACTATTCCAACCCCTCCCCTCTCACCTGCACATGGACTATTCCAACCACTCCCCTCTCACCTGCACATGGACTATTCCAACCACTCCCCTCTCACCTGCACATGGACTATTCCAACCACTCCCCTCTCACCTGCACATGGACTATTCCAACCACTCCCCTCTCACCTGCACATGGACTATTCCAACCACTCCCCTCTCACCTGCACATGGACTATTCCAACCACTCCCCTCAGGCAGGAGGCTGCGGTCCATCAGGACTAGAACCTCCACAAGAACAGTTTCTTCCCCTCTGCTGTTGGACTCTTGAACACTTTCATAACCTGTCCCCTGCCCTTTAGAAGTCCCCTCACTGCTCTTTATAAAGTCACTTTACTGCCCTTTATGTCAATTTACTGCCCTTTATAATGTCACTTTACTGCTCTTTATAAAGTCACTTTACTGCCCTTTATAATGTCACTTTACTGCCCTTTATAAAGTCACTTTACTGCCCTTTATAAAGTCACTTTACTGCCCTTTATAATGTCACTGTACTGCCCTTTATAATGTCACTTTACTGTTCTTTATAATGTCACTGTACTGCCCTTTATAAAGTCACTTTACTGCCCTTTAAAAAGTCACTTTACTGCCCATAATACGTCACTTTACTGCCCTTTATAAAGTTACTTTACTGCCCATAATACGTCACTTTACTGCCCTTTATAAAGTCACTTTACTGCCCATAATACGTCACTTTACTGCCCTTTATAAAGTCACTTTACTGCCCATAATACGTCACTTTACTACCCTTTATAAAGTCACTTTACTGCCCATAATACGTCACTTTACTACCCTTTATAAAGTCACTTTACTGCCCTTTATAAAGTCACTTTACTGCCCATAATAAGTCACTTTACTACCCTTTATAAAGTCACTTTACTGCCCATCATACGTCACTTTACTACCCTTTATAAAGTCACTTTACTGCCCTTTATAAAGTAACTTTACTGCCCATAATACGTCACTTTACTACCCTTTATAAAGTCACTTTACTGCCCTTTATAAAGTCACTTTACTGCCCATAATACGTCACTTTACTGCCCATAATACGTCACTTTACTACCCTTTATAAAGTCACTTTACTGCCCTTTATAAAGTCACTTTACTGCCCATCATACGTCACTTTACTTCACTTTACTGCTGTCACCTTACATGGTGTGCACCATGTGCACTGTATATTGTAAATAGTAATTGTAATCATAATAATTCTATAATAAATGTATTCCTTAGAAGTGCTCTTTATTCTTTATATTGTGCCTTCTTTACTCTTACCTCTCTCTCTGACTGTTGCACTGAGCCAAAGCAATTCCCAAGTTTGTGACTTCCTGTTACTTACGTGGCAATAAAAATGATTCTGATTCTGACATATGTCTGTCCCAAAATATGAGAAGACAGTTTGGAAATGACCTTTTAGACCATGTAAAGTACATACAGAGGTCCTCAAATGAATGAAGACCAGGGTTGCCAAACATGTCTCACATGGATGTAAGCCAATTCAAATTGAATTGTTTCATGGATTCTGGAACCTAAAGAGTTAACTACTATGTCTACGCTAAATGGAAAAACTAAGATTCTATGCTATTATTATGATGATAACATTAGATCATGTTTTTATGTGCTAGCACTCTATATTGGGGCTTGGGTTCATTAATAATAGCAGTGCATTGGGGTTTGCACCAGGAGAGGAGCTAGCAGGTATGTGAGCTGTGTTAAGCAGCTATTTTTCTGAACTTCTAGTAAGTAAGTAAGTAATGTTTATTTATATAGCACGTTTAACAAACCAAGATCACCCAAAGCACTTTACAATTGTTCATAGTTCAGAGCTTCTAAACTGGTGAGTGACGCTAGCCATTAGCTTAGTGTTAGCTTAAGTCCCTGTCCTATTGTGTATGCTATGCTAAGCTAATCAATGTAATCCAAAGGAGCCTAAAGCATGAGGCTTTAATGCAGTTTTATCCTAAATAAAGTGAATATAATATAACAAGTGAATGTAATGACAATAGATCACATTTTTCAATATTCATACTTTGATTACATACATAAAGAATGTTTGACTTTGAACTATTCTTTTATGAGAAGATTACTTCTGCAAATAACTTTCAATATTGGTTTTGTTTTTAAACGTTAAATTGTTATTGTCTTAATTGAAATATAACTATTTCTTCTTAATGCACATTCTTGGTCTGTAAAAAATATATACATAGATTATTATCAAAAAATATATTAAATATTTATTTATACATATACCTCTGTAAACATACACCATACAGTTACAGTATTAGTTAGTGTCCTACCAGTACTGACTCATTTACTTACTTTCCTACTTTTCAAAGCTGCAGATAAAGCATCTTTGTGTGAAAATAACATGGTTCTGGTGTTACTTGTGCCTTGTTTGAACACTATTGTATTATTTTTTACTTAAATTACATGAATATATATATGTATATTTTTTAATTAAAATCTCATATTTAAATATATACAAAGTGAACTAAATCCACCGAAAACCAGTATAAACATTATTTAGCTGCAGTACCAGCAACTTCCATGTGGGGCGCTCTCGAGTGGGACCTGATGATACACACAACAAACACATGAGTACATAAGGGGACTGCAGTACCTCTGTGTATCCACTAGGGTCGCATGAGGATACACTTTGTCAGGTTTTGGGCACTAAGGGGTCTTTGGAGATAAGTAGTTGGGAAGCATCCCTGGGCTGTTCCTGGTTGAATAATAGCATTGTGCCTCTGGGGACCTCGGATGAGGTCCCCGCAGTGTTTCGGGTCCCCATATGTCTGTGTGTATTCAGGTGGACGTCCCCATATGTCACCGTTTACAAACGCACACACACACACACACACACACACACACACACACACACACACACACACACACACACACACACACACACACACACACACACACACACACACACACACACACACACACACACACACACCTTGCCGCTTTTCTCTAAAACAGTGAACCTGGAGTTTACTTTTTATTAGTACCTGCTTGGCTCTGGTTCTATCCAGGCAGAGCTGATACTAAAGTGTTCTAAATTAGTGGATCATTTCCCAAAGGCACACTAATCTTCCCAGTGGTTAAATAAGTGAGGAAAATTAGACTTTTTTTTTTGTGCTTTTTGAATTTCTAGTAGTTTAATGTAGACTGTAGGGTAGACGTTATTATTATAGATCCATGAGTGTAGATAACATAATACAGCCATGTGTCAGCTGTTGAGGAGGAGGAGGAGGAGGAGGAGGTGGAGGAGCAGACCCCTTGCGTCACTTCCGCACTGTTTCCCGCTAATCTTAAACTAAAAACAGGCGCCAGGTCTGGTCCAGATATTACAGTATATCTATGCTCCAGACTGTTTTCCGCATTTTGGATAAAACTAAAACCCTCTGATCACTATGTCCACTCCCCCGAAAAGATCGCGCTCTGAAGATTTGGACAATTCCCTGGAAAAGAGGATTAAACGCATTTCGATTGAAGGAAATATCGGTAAGTTTCATTTCTGCTCAATTATACCCCATAATGAATGAAACTTACGGGGGTACTTTTCTTTGGAAGATCTAAGTATTTTTTCTGCAATACATTATTCATATATATTGTCCTTTACGCGCTGCTGAAGAACACACAGCTTTGTTATTTTTGGCGAAATATATTTTTTTAATCATTTATTTATTTATTTGAACAGGGACAGTGTACAATATACATTAACCTCAGAAAGGAGAGATGCATTGTACCAGGTTGTAGCACTTGTGCTAATTTCCACCTGCAGTCCCATGCTTTTAACTTTCCCATGCTTTTAACATGCTTTTAAATGCTTTTAACTATTAGTTTTAAACTTCCCGTTGTTTATGTCCGTTTTTTAATTTTTCTTGTGTTTCCTCTATCTGCTTTCTTTGTATCTTATTTTATAAGATAATTATTCTAATTATTTTTTACTTTGTATTATTATTTTTTAATGGTTATTATACTGACCGTGCAGCGCTTTGTAAACACTATTTTTGGAAAAGTGCTATACAAATAAAGATGTATTATTATTATTGTTATTAATATTATTATAGTATTTACGGTATAATCATTATACAGTTTATATCAGGTTTCGTGCCCCTCAATTTCAATCCAAGATGTAGAAATTCTGTTATGGTTGTCTTTTTAAAGTCATATCCGTTTATTTGTTAAATTTTGTCTTGTCTGTATGTTTTAAATTGGACCTAAACTCTGTAATAAAGTTGAATTGAATATAGCTAAAATATGTATAGCGTTATCATTACTCCGGAAACGCCCTGTTCAGATTTATTTGATGATAATGGTCATAATAAAGATCTGTGTGTGTTTGTGTTCAGCGGCGGGGAAATCTACGTTTGTGCGCCTTCTGGAGGAGGAGAGCTCGGACTGGGAGGTGGTTCCGGAGCCGATCGCCAGATGGTGCAATGTTCAAACTAATGGCAGTGACTTTGAGGTACAGTCTCACTGGGTTATGGTCCTGGCCACAGATATCAAACATGGAAACAAGTCATTCTTTAGGGACGCGGCTGTGTTAAAAATGTGTAGGAATGTGGTGTTCACAAACGGCCAACTGTTTAAGTGTTCATTCGGTGTGCAGCTGCAATCTGAAAATATATTTGCACTTGTGACGTGGTTCATACCCCCAGAGCAACAGATGGTCCCAGGCAAGATAACATGAACATACCACATGGGAGCAACTATCCCTGCTCTAACTACTGGAGGAAACACTTATAAGATTCTTCCCTGCTGTATGTACACACAAAGGGCCCTGAATAGACGCACATAACACACACACAAATAAAGAATTGTGACCACTATTTTAGTAAGAACCATGACCCCCTCATCTGCTTTTACAAGTACGGTACACTGTGTCAAGTACAAACATGTCATTACTTTGTAACTGACTTACTCAGAACATACTTATCAGTTTGCTGATGAATGCAAAGTTTGCCATTTCTAAAACATTTTTTCTGCATTTTGGCCACTAAACTTGTCCATTAGCACAGCTGTGGCTTAAGTAATCAGAAACCACAATGACATTTTTAGAGTTCTCTCAACATCTGATCACGTGCACATTTCTACTCTTCAACGGAAACAGCAGAGTCAGCACAACCAAGATCTGATGAGGATTTAAACTGTATTCTTTCTCCAAGTCATTCAACAGTTCTCAAACTTCAACTTCTGAGTGCTTCCTATTTGGGCTGAAATTATTAATCACAACTAATTGAGTTTTAGTCTTTGTGCAGAAAACGTAATGATTAATCAAAGACTTTTATATATGTCTGAAGGGGCTTTTGAGATTTCTTTGAGATGTGATGTACAATATGAGATAATATATATTTGATTTTGTTGTTAAACTATGTGTTGCCCTGACATGTCCCTGCTATGTGTGTTCTCTTAAAGCCACAGTATGTAACTTTAGAGTCAAATCCTGGACTAGTGGGAAAACATGTTCTTTGTTCCATTGTTTTGTTATACTTTATGAAGTATAAGATAACTTCTCTAAACTGAACCACCTCTTTCATAGTTTTACAATTGCTCCAATCTAAATGTGTACAACTGAGTTTCTTTTAGTCTTCAGCTTAACTGCAACAATACTGTGCTCTAGATTATGGACTATTATCCTGAGTTTGTCAAGTAATGAGCACATCCTTACAATAAACAATGAAACTAAAGCAACAATTATGTTCCCAGGATTTGAGCAGCTCTCAGAGGAGCGGAGGTAACGTACTGCGGCTCATGTACGAGAAGCCGGAGCGGTGGGCGTACACGTTCCAGAGCTACGCCTGCATCAGCCGAGTGCGTGCTCAGATGCGATCGGCTCACGGGAAACTGCAAGATGCGGAGAATCCAGTCCAGTTCTTTGAACGCTCTATTTACAGTGACAGGTATTAACCTAATCAAATGTATACAATGATCATGAGATCTGTCAGGCCGTCTGTCTTCAGACGTTTATTTGATTAATCGGTCAATGGCATCTTCGACATATTATGGTGTTTAAATGATAAGGATTATTAACCAAGAGGACGAGGTCGTGGATACAAGCGGTCTCAAGGAGTCTGCAGAGGGACTGGGTGCTCCCCTAGAGATAGGAGGAGGAGCTCAGGGACGCGGGAGGAGCTCAGAGTAGAGCCACTGCTTCTCTATGTCAAGCGGAACCTGTTGAGGTGACTCTGGCATCTGTTTTGGATGCCTCCACGATGCCTCCCTGGGGAGATGTTCCGGGCTTGTCCCACCGGGAGGAGATCAGGGGAAAACCTGGTGTGTGTGGAGAGGGAAGTTTGGGCGTTTGCTTAGACTGCTGCCCGTGCAACCTGGCAATGGATAAAGTGGAAGAAAATTGATGGATAGCTATGAGAAACTGGATCATTGGGAAGTTATGAAAAGAAGGAAGGACCTATTCAGTATTTAAATTGATATTCAAGCCAGGTCAAATATTTTCATTCCTAAATATTTAAGGATTTTTTTAAAGTAATCTTTAAACTCAGTCACAACACACTTACAATTGTTGTGGGCCTTTTTCCTTTTACTTTCACTGATGGGAGCAGGGTCACCACAGGAGACGCATGAGGACCTATTGTACATGTTTACAGTACAAACATTAGACTGAATAATAACAACACAGTGTGAAATACATTCAGAAGACACAACGATTGAGTAAAGCCAGACAATGCAAACCTGAAAGTACAGCATGGACAGAACCAGCTATTCTTACAATCTTCCCAGTCCCTGTTGATGAAAAGCAGCCACATAGCATGATGCCCCCCCCACCGTATTTGACACTGAGGGTGGTGCGATTATTGTTGGTATACAGTAAGATGACGATGGGGTAAATCAAGACAACGCAAATATGAAAGTACAGCATAGAAAGAACAAAATCAAACAAGAAAAAAATGTGGGGACATTAGACGAGAGAAATGAGGACCTTGAAAAAACAGGAAGCCAGAAAAAATGTATAAAACAAGTACTATTAACTACATTGACCAAGAATTTCTCAGCCTTAGAGATCAATAATAATGATAATACAACATCAAACTTGTATAGCGCTTTTTTGGACCCTCAAAGACACAACATGCAAAAATGAACAATATTAAGCAAAGGCAGTGTGAAAATGGTTTTGAAAAGTGATTTAAAGTCCTGTAGTGAGTCGGAGTTTCTGAAGGGAGATCTGACGCAACTGTTGATATTTTCTGTTTGTTTTTTTTTGCCGTAGATACATATTTGCCTCCAACCTTTACGAGAGCGAGTGCATGAATGACACAGAATGGTCCATCTACCAGGACTGGCACAGCTGGCTTCATACTCAGTTCGGGAAACACATAGAGTTGGATGGGATCGTGTATCTCAGAGCTGCTCCAAAGGTAATACATTTTTTGGGGGTTTTTTATCGCCGAGAGCTATAAATGATGTTGAACCTTTGTGTAGAAATGCATGGAACGATTACACTTGAGGGGCAGAGAGGAGGAGCAAGAAATACCACTGGAGTATTTGGAGAAACTTCACTTTAAACATGAGAGCTGGCTGCAGCACAAGAACATGAGGTAAACAGATTTTCCACAGACAAAGCCCAAACATATAACAAAAAAAACTGCTGTGATTCTCAAACTGTGGTTCAAATCTGGATTGTAACAGTATGGAGTTTGAGTATTTGAAAGATGTGCCGGTCCTGACGATGGATGTGAACGATGATTTCAAGGGTAATGTCAACAAAGGAGCAGACATGATTGAGAAGGTAAGAGGCACGGGCACACACACATGCATACACGTACACACCCGCACACGGAGACAGACACAGAGACTTTCACACAGAGAGAGAGGCACAAACATACACAGAGAGAGACACACACCCGCACACAGAGAGAGACGCAAACATACACAGAGACCTACACAAGCAGACACACACCCGCACACAGACAGACACAGGGACTTACACACAGAGAGAGAGGCGCAAACATACACAGAGACACACACAGACCTACACAAGCAGACACAGAGAGAGACATACACCCGCACACAGAGAGAGACGCAAACATACACAGAGACCTACACAAGCAGACACAGAGAGAGACACACACCCGCACACAGAGAGAGACGCAAACATACACAGAGACCTACACAAGCAGACACAGAGAGAGACACAAACCCGCACACAGACAGACACAGGGACTTACACACAGAGAGTGGCACAAACATACACACACACACACACACACAGACCGACAGAGACAGACCTACTCAAGCACACACAGACCAACACAGAGGCACGCACGCACACCCACACACAGACTGACACCGAAAGACAAACACACACACATGCACTCGAAGACCTAACTACACAGACACACATAGACCCACACACAGAGACACACAAACACACAGACACACATACACACAGAGACCTAAATACAGAGATACACGCACAAAGACCTACCTACACAGAGACACACACAGAGACACACAAACACACAGACACATACACATACACACAGAGACCTAAATACAGAGATACACACACAAAGACCTACCTACACAGAGAGACACACACAGACCTAGACAGAGACCCATACACACAAACCTACTAAGACACACACACGCACACACAGAAATTCGTACCTACACAGCGTCACAGACCTAGACAGAGACACACACACACACACAGATTCGTACCTAGACAGAGACACACACCTACACAGACACACACTCACACACAGTTTGACTTAAATATAAAAAACATACATTTTGTTTAACTCTGACATCTGTTCCAGGTGAAAGAGTTCTTGACCACACTATAGGCCTGATGGACAGTGACGTGGCTTCGAACCGAGTCGGAGCTGATGCAACCCCATGAGCGCCACTTTTTTAAAACTTGGAGTATTGCCTGTGAGGCTTTTAACGTTTTTCTTACTATTTTGTGACTAAACATGTCACCTATGAATGTATTTATGAGAAATGACATTAGCGTGTCAATAAATGTGTACATATTTTATACATGTCTTTGTTGCCTTCTGTAGATGGAAATATTAAACTTTATATAAAGAAATCTGGCGAGAGCAGGTGGCTTTTGTAGCACTACTCATTCGTGGAAACCTGAAGTTCAAATACTTGTATTAAGTGTAGTTGTGTTTTTAGGTCATTAATTTTTGCTAAAACTACAGTTCTAATGGCTTAATGCAATAATATTAGTCAATCTTTCTGAAATATTTTTATTGATTGCCACAAAGTCAGGAGTTTTATAATCATTAAATCATGTCATGCGTTCAAAAAAATGTTTCACTTTTTTGGTGAAATTGTTTTTACTATTAAAATGCTTTATGAGCATGTGTTTTGTGGCCAGTGAGGTAAAACATGTGGAACCAGAAGCTTGTATTTAAAAAATGTAAATGTTTGTCTTTATTGTTAGGAATTGTAAAGATTTAAGATTAAGAGCCCCTTCATTTGTGCCACGGGGAGAAATGTCAGTGTTGCATCACAAGTTACAGAACTGTAAGAAAAACGAACACACAAATGTAACACTAGATAAGTAAATATTATATATATATATGTATATATATACATGTAAAGTGTCTTTGAGTGTCCAAAAAAGCACTATATAAAACCGATGCATTACTATTATTATATATTATAATAATGTATACAGCACAACTTAAGCAAGCGCTGTTTACAAAGCGCTGCAGTCAGCATAAAACATGGGTCTCCTACTTATAGCTCAGGGACTACCAGTAGCTTTCCACACTCCTCAAAGTAGCTCCCTAAAGGAAAATTTTTATAGGTAAATACAAACTACTTTTTGCACTAATAATTTAGAAACTGTCCAAACTTGACAACGGTAATAGAACATTTTGACATTCTTAAAACGACCTGCCAAAGGAACAAGAAATACATCTGCAATATCTGTGCTTGAAATAAGACTAAAGCTGGTTGTTCCATTGTTTTGAGATGTTTTCAAATCTACTATTTACTTAAAATATAAATCTGCATTACCTTCACGGTTTGAAAAAAACAAAACAAAAAGGTTGGAGACCCCTGGCACAAAGCAATAAAAACAATCATATGACAGAATATCAAAACTAGAAATAAAATTCTAGTGCAAGAAAAAGATAACACTAAATAATTGTTTTCAATTTTTAAGCGGGTAGCTGTACAAAGAATAAAAAAACTGCTGTACAATTATAAAGTGACTCCGTGACCTCCTCCTCCTCCTGCTGCGGCTGCGTGGCGTCACAGGAGGAGGGATGGCGCTTTAAATATGGAAAAAAGACACGCCGCGCTCCACGAAGTCTCCACACTTTCAGGAGAAATGTCGCTTAAGATGTTTCTTCACCCGGAGTTGGAATCGGCTTCTGCGTTATGAGGACCGTGAGCTCCGCGTTCACTTGTCGAGTCCCGTAAACTTCCACCAGTCGCAACTTTTGAGAGACTTTGAGAGGCGCGTCCAGCAGTTTGTGTTTGATCAGAGGAAGACACGACTCCTCCGTCTCAACTTTTTACAACAATGGCATCTGAGAAAAACAAGTAAGTTACGCGTGTCTTGTGTTTGTGCGTGCAGCCAAGCAACTTCTATCATTACGCACAAGACGTTTTGGTGCGTAGTCTGGCGATGCAAGTCAACCAGGCAGCAACTTTCACTCTTGCGTTATCTTTCTTGATTCAGCTCCGATATTTTCACTGAGACACCCATGTTTTAACACTTATTCCTATTTCTTCACTGCGTCTTTTTGTGTTTGGCCTCGGGTTGCGTAGCTCAAACAGCTCGGTAATCTCATTTATCCAAGAGGCTGTCACTCATAATTAGGGAGACATATGGTTACGTGGCTGATCGCCGTGTGCAGGACGCGGGTGGCCCTTGTCCATGTGCTTTGAACCATAAACGTGATCGTGAACTGAGGTTGTAGAGAGCGTGTGTATGCGCGTTACCATTGCGCAATGACGCTGGAGCCAAACGCGGAAACTTGAGCATGCGATTCCGCCAAAAAAAACGTTGTCTTTGTTTTGCAGCAGTCTCTGAGACACATGCAGAGGAATGCTGCTCTTTCTACTGCGCGTCTGACTTGTATGATGAGCTGCTCTATCACTGCGACGTCATATAATTAAGATTAAAAGGTTCACACAGTGTCACAGTGGGGGAAATTTCAGTGTTGCATCCAAAGTTACAGAACAGTTTGACTGAGGAGCACACAACACAAGATGATAATTATCTGGCATATATTTTAATTTTTTTTGAGTTTTTGGATGTACATTAAAATTACTCTAGATCATGGGTCTCTCTACCTTTTTCAATCGGAGAGCTACTTTTACACAACAGAAATGGCAGAGAGCTACTCATTTTGTCTGTTGAAATAGGATAGTATCTATAATGACCACAGCAAATCCTGGGGAAGACCCATTTAGCTTATACCATACTGTATAATTATGCAGTAGCGAATATCATGACAAGATTTAGATTTAAAAATAGATATGTATTGACTCAAAAAGTTTTATCATTCAGGATCATGTGTGCCAAGATCCTGAATCCTTTGGGGGAGCTCCTTGAATGGGTGTGGTGAGCTACAGGTTGGAAATCCCCTGATCTAGATGAATATAGACATACACTTGCTGCTCTTATGAAGTATTTACAGAAAAAGTTATACAGCTACTTGTATTGTATATTTAGCATGCTCTTTCTACTGTTCTGTATGTGCGTTGCAACCTAGACATTTCTCTATAAATCTCTATATATCAAGTTTTAAATGTTGGCATTGATTGTTTCTATTTTATGAATGTTTTACCGCTTCTGTTTTATCATGTTAGTAAATGTGTATGAATTCTTTTCTTGGCCAATCAGAATTATTTTTATTGACATTCTAAGTAACAGGAAGTCACATACTAGGAATTTGCTTTTGCTCAAGGTGCAAAGAAGATATGAAAGTAAAAAGAGCTAAAGGCATGCATGAAAATAAATAATAAAAGCACTTTGGGCCCATATTTTACAAGAATAGGTTACTTAAAAACATAGAAACTACATTACAATATACAGTCTAACATGGTCAAGTATGATTAAATGCATCAATAATTTCAATTGTCTGCTTTACCAGGAAGTAGCCTCTGTATATGTCTGTATGAATTGCATAATTATGGAAACCACTCAAATATCTTTCAGTGACACAAAGTAACGCATCACAATAAAGAAAGAAGACTGTAACTCTCTCATTGTTCATTTGGAGAAACCACGCCTGCCCTTTTATCCAACGCCAACCCTGTCTTCTTTTGTTATTAAGAACAGCACGTTTTTCTCGCCACCTTTTGTTTTTCCTTTGTGCGTCCAGCAGTTTCCTCAAACCTTCCGAAACCTTTCCATTTACGCCGGACGGTTCATTACCGTCGAAATCCATACGTCTGTGTTGTACTGCAGCAATCCTATGTGTAACTTTAGAATACTGTCATCTACTTGAATACTTGAGGTGAGCCTGGTGGGTGGCGTGCATACAGTTGGTCTTTCCCAGTAAAAAAATAAATAAAAATGAACATAAAAGTGATGCAAAAACATAACAAACTGGTGCATTTACAAGACAGCAGGAAATTCCCCTGAGCATTTTTTTTTTTTTTAATTGATCAGCTACGTAAAAATCCATAAATTGAAGTGACAAAAGGCCAAAATTCAGCAATAATTGGCTATAACATCGTTTTGTTGGCTTAAATCTCAATTGTAAAGAATATGGCAAGTGCGAAAAGGCCTATCAACTAGAATATATATATTTTTTCCAGATGATACATATTAAACCCCAAACTATCATTCCCCATCCATTAATTATTGAATGGTGAATACATACATTGATATATACAGTGAACGTATCGTGGCAGACTCAGTTATGCCTCATTCTTAAAGAGACGAGGATGATCCCTGATCTTGAGGACTGATCCGAGCTCCTCACGCTCTCAGCTTTAGCCCTTGAGGTCAACACTTGGGATGGGGACGAGGATAAACAGTGACTAACGTTCATCTGGAGCCGTCGCACACAGTTTCATAAAGACCATGCTCGGTATCTTGTCCAGGACTCCCTTGAAAAACAGGTTCTTCATCTCAATGCAACTTTCCTGGTTAAATAAAATCAAATAAAAAATAACAGCATTTGAGAGAACTCCTTTCCCCAAAAAATTGTGTTCAATTTAATAAGATGTTTTAGACTTTATGGATCTCACTATAGAGAAATACATGGGATCACTTAGGTTGTGTAAAAGACAGGAAGTGTGCAAACATGTGAAGTGAAAAGATCTATTTTGGTCGATTTTGTGCAATTAAAATAAAAGTGACTATAGTAGTGCGAGTTTACAGTTTAAAGTGTCTTATTGTACATTTATACTTTTTTGTAAAGCCCTAATTCACAGCAGCTGCTGTCTCGGACTTTCCAGACGGATCAGGGAATCAAATGGTTCGAACACAAAAATGCAGTAATACCAAACTCATAAGAGCCAAGTCAGGGGTTTTTCTACTCAAAGGTTTACAGGAGGATTTTCCCACTTTTTCAACAAAACTCTCTGGTCTTATCTGACGGGCACGTATCACCAGAATGATTGACAATTGGGAGGACCAATAGTTTTGATGATCCACCATCCAAAATCCTCCTATACACTTTCATCATGCTAAAGATAGAGATTTTACACTGCTTATGTTTATGCTAGTTAGAGATTTTGCTTTAGTATATAAATGTATCTTGTACAGTGTGCTCCTCATTCCCATCTGTTCTGTGACTTGCAACACTGAAATTTCCTCAATATGGGACGAAAAAAGGATCTCTTAATCATTGGTCCATAGGGAGAAGGATGACCAATGTCCGTAAGCGTCCGTAAGCGTCCGTAAGCGTCATGTCCTCTCGTCTCTTGTGCCTTTTTTATGAATAGTTGTCCTTGTTGTGGGGCACAGCTGTCTTTTGTCCATCTTGTGGTTGGGTTGTTTATGGTGCATTGCAAGTTAATCTGTAGCAAAGTAAATTTTAGTGACCTCTTTCAAAACTTTACAGTGTATTTTTGTTATTTGTTTATTTAAGTGTTATGTGAATTACGCAGTTATTACTGTATTTTTATTACAAGTTTTATTCTTTTTATAATTGTTTTTTGTCCTGGTCTTCGTTGTGCAGCTTTGGTCCTCCAGCCACTCCAGTGTTTATATTTCTTCTTCGTGTGTTCCCCGTTCCCCCACTATAAATTCGGGGTTTTCCCGCTGCCTCTTCCCTTTGAAAACCCGTGTCAGGGAAGAGGTCAGTTACTTTATGTTTTTATTTCTCAAAATGTCCATTTTAATTGTAATTTTGTTGTCATTTACGGTTTGTATGTCTTTTTCTTTTTTAGTTTGGGTTGTGAGTGATGCAGAGGCACATGTTCATTGTTTTTGTTTTTTATTGACCAGATAAAAGAACGCCTCGTAAGCTTGTCTCCCGTGTGTTCTTCCGCACCACACGACACGACACAACACAACGCAGAACGGAGAAAATCAAACCCGTTACACATCCATGTTTTGTGTTTCTTTTATAAGGGTGTGTTGCCAGTAGACATGGTAAATATTCCCTTGTCAAATCTCCGCATGGACCAGTAGTAAACGTGCAACATGAGCTGCAGGCAGTTTTTCATGTCCTGTGTAAATTAATATGCCTTTGGACCACTTCATTTAAGCCAAACAATATGTAATGATTATGAATCTGAAGAGAAAAGAGAAAGATGCAGCTGTTTTGAACTTGAAGCGAAAAATGGCATTTAAAAGTTATTTGGCTCACAACACGCCACTTCAAAATGACATATGAATGGACATTAAAGTTTTGTTCTTGATCTTTTCTTGCAGAGTGGAGGATGAGGCTGTCTTGGACAGAGGAGCAGCCTTTGTCAAGCACGTCTGTGATGAAGAGGAAGTAGAAGGTATGAAGAAATGTTGATTGTTGGTCATCACGAGGCCTGTCACGATCATAGCATTGTTCGTCGATATACAGTCTAATGCCCATAAGGAAGTGCTCTTGGACTAAGTTTTGCTCCAATTTGGTTCCTATTGACTTGCATTGAAAAGTAAAGTCCTCTAGCTCAGTAACTGCTTGTGTCACACTCATTTTACTCCTAAAGTAAAATGTCGTTGGAGAGTTGCTGTTTATAAGGCTGATTTAATACTATTATTAGCTTTGTAGAATGATCAATTTTATTTTTGCTGCTACTGGACACCTGAATTTCTCCAACGGGGATCAATAAAGTATCTATCTATATTTTTGATATTGTCTTTGTAAATCCAGATATGAACCATAGAAGGATTGACCAGTCTGCTTCTTTGGAGGCAATTCTAATAAGCTGATCTTTGAGTGACGTTGTTGTGTATAGTTTTTTGCCCTCGGTCACGTGACTGGGTGGCAAAACAGGATGCTAGAGAGTTAGCTAGATTTAGTCGTTTGGAGAGAGGTTTTACTCTACTTTTTCCACTTTTGTTGTGTGGTTGGTTATACGGCCCGCTGGGATCAGATAAAGGTTTGAATTCCTTTGGAAAAGAACAGCGAGAAATGGTTGCGAGCGATCAGGAGAATGAAAGCTTGAAAATGCTTGAAAAACGTACCTGGTTTTACTGCCAGTAAGTGATGACTTTGCTATTCTCCTTTTGTAATCACCCACGGCAGATGTGGATCCCGCGGTGACTCCACCTGCTCTGACACAATCACGGACTTCTGTTTCACGGGAAAAAAATTGCGCAATCTTTCTAGAAACAAATAATCATTGGCCTCCAGACTTTTAAAGGCGTTCAACTTTTCTTGTGTGAAGCGTCCCGGGTTTTCTATGAAGTAAGAATAACTGTCTCGCAGAAGATTGGTGACAAGACAGAGGCGAGTCTGATCAATGTTTGTCATCATTCCTCGTATGGGCTTTGGATTTGTTCAGTTCGGTCTCCTATACTTATTAATTATAAGATTATATTAATATTTTCATTGATCTTCTTGCATTAAAGTGCTTGTAGTCCATTTCGCAAGTTTTTTAAAAGTACTTGTCACATCCATGCCTCCTCTATGGTCTATGGTCACAATGGCTGACATTTTAGAAATAAACAATTATTATTGGAACTACTTTATCCCTGACATAAGTACAATACAGCAGGATAATCTCGGTAAAGCATTTTCTAAGCTTCGTTGAGTAACACAAAGCCACATTGAACCTGTGAAAAATCATTGTTTTACAAAGTTAATATAAAAAATCTCCCCCTTACTGCACAGCTAATGTCAGCAGTTAGCAGTGTTTTCTATTTGTGGCGACACCTGCATGTGAGAGCCAAATCTAGTCACACCTCTGAGGCTAAGCAGGGCAGGGTCTGGTCTGGCTGTAAAGTGCCAAACTGCTGTGGTGTCCTTAGGCAAGGCACTTCATCCACATTTCCTAGTAAGAGTCTGGTGTGTGGCTACAGTAGTAGTTTAGTAGTTTAAAGTTCTATATAAAACGGCATTATTATTATTATTATTATTATAATTATTATTTAACCCTTGTGCTATCCTCGGGGGAATATGACCGGCCACAGTGATTCAAAGAAGAGCAAAAATTCCCAAAATTATGGTCTAAAAGCGTCTAAATGACCTGGGGCTGGTCAAGTTAGGAAAAATCATGAATTTATTTTTTTATTTGGTGTGTTTTTTTTAATCACAGTGGTGGTTTTGTAGATTTTTGTTCTTGTAATGTTGTCAATATTCACATGCCATATTGGCATAGAGCCAAAACAATTCGGTCACTATGTCAGTGTGTAAATGTGTAATCATCTGTGACCATGGACAAAACAGGCAGAACGTTTTCGTTTTTCCTTTAGTGGGGCTCCAAAACATAAAAATTAGCCATTTCCTTGAAGAATATTGATTATTGAACGAGAAGTCAATATAGTAAATATATTTCTCACATGGCTAGTTGGGGATAGGAAATTGTGACGATGTGGTTATTAATCATCAGATTTGTCCTGAAACTGCAGTATGTTGGTAAATGTTCAGGAAGTAGAGCATGAAGCGCTTGTATGTTTTTACTCTAAACTAGACTATAGTATACATACTATACATAGTATACATACTATACATTTTGCATAACTCCAAAACAAAAAGAGAACAAAACATCCTCAGAGAAGAAGTAATATGTTTGGCCTGAGCCTTGGTTGAGCCAAAACACCAAATTAAACAGTGTTTTTACGGAGTGCTTGCAGCTCCACAACCTGCATTTGTCCTGGAGGCCGCCTCCTCCTCCTGCTTGGTTTCATGCTAATCTGTATAATTTCACATTCTATGGTTCAATTATCTGGACATATTTTCTTCAATTGCTCCTGTTTGATGGATGAGTCTGATGCATAACAATGTTAATGTTATATTTGAAAGGGTTGGATCTTTATTACCTTGACTGTCTGTTGAACAAGTATTTGTTTTACTAATAACTTCCTGACATTCAGTCTGTTTCCTGTACAAGCTTCAAGGAAGTGATTCTTTTACTGCTTTGTCTGAGCCTCTTCAGTGACCGAGGCCCATCACTCTGTTGCACACGGCTCCTACAACAATGTGTCACAATGTGTTCATTGTTTTTGTGACAAGCATCGTATGTTTTTTTTGTTCTTGAAATACAGACAGATTATATTGGCATGCTGAGGATTACTCCCTTTAATCATCACATTGCATTATCTTTTCTGAATCTGTCTTGTGCAGGTCACCACACTGTGTACGTTGGAGTGCATGTTCCAAAGAGCTACCGCCGCAGGAGGCGTCACAGACGCAAGTCCAGCCACAAAGAGAAGAGGGAGCGAGCGGAGCATGTCAGCGAGGGCTACAAGTCTGACGGGGACAATGCAGACGACTGTGTCTCCAGTGTCCTCAAGCCCCTCAGTGAGTATCACTGCACTCTCAGCAGCACTCTCAGCAGCAGACAAAGCTGCTGCCAACAAAGCAGAACCACAAACCTTTTATTAATAGCTTTGATATAATCAATGTAATCTGAAAATTACATGGGTTGTGGTGTTCTACACAGCACTTTGGAAATTCCCATGAAGTTGGTACACTTTCTGTAGGTTTGTAAATTATTATTGTTGTATACGCTTTCCCCATAATCATGAAATCAGTCATTAGCAAACTCCACAGGAGGCCTTCTATAGTGAACAGATGCCGTCTTATTTCAAAGCTTCCTCATAAAGTAGCATGGTAGCACCATTTATACATATGATTGTTTCAAGAGAAGGATACATTCTAAGAGCGTTTAGATATCTTGCCACAGTCTTACCCTTGAACACGTGAATGCATGTATTTTATTCTATTAAACTGGTTTTAAGAAACCGATTGCTGTATTGATGACATTTTATCACTACTAAAAAGAAGATTAAGATGGAAGTTGGTTTTGAAAAGTCAGTGCAGTGACATTGAGTTGTTTTGTGCAACTTTTCGAATGTTGCTCCAGTAAAATATTCATTGTGTAGAATATTTTCAGTATTGACTCCTCAAAAATATGAATTCCGACAGTGAGCAGGGTGGCCTCTCCACAGATAATAACTGTAAGTGACTTTTCTTGTCTTCAATCTATGAATACATTTAATTCAGATTAATTTTATTTTCCATTTACAGTAAATATATATATAAATAATATATAAAGGAAAAATGGCTAAAACGTACTAGAAACAATTGTCTATGAAATCGCTACAATTGCAAGTAAAAACATAACCTTATCCTATTTTTAAACATGACAATAAGCCTTTTTAATAAACTAAGGTCAGTAGAAGAGCCTCTGCTAAAGGTTGTGAAATGTACATTATCACGAGTCACGGTGAGGACTCGCTTCCATCATCACCGTGTGTGGAATAATTGGAACAATATCTGAACTCTGAACATTGTAAAGTGCTTTGGGTGACCCTGGTCTGTCAAATGCGCTACATAAATGTATCTTACTTACTTATTATAACAATGTCCTTCTTGACCACAGAGAAACAGCAGTGCAAAATCTATTTAAAGGTGACAGCATTGACTAAGCCAGATGATAAACCAGTCCTCAAGAGGCCAGTGTGGCTGCAGTTTTTCATTCCAACCAAGCTGGAGAACACCAGACCCACTCGTATCCTCAAGTCCTCAGGTTAAGGCCGCTTTCGCTTGATGAAATGAGTGGAATGAAAACCTGCAGCCACACCGGCCCTTTCTGGAACAAGTATGACACCCGTGGACTAAGCTATTAAAATGACTCTTGGAAACTTGACAATATGACTTTGGCCACAATCATAGCTTTCAGCCAAGTACGCAAACTCTACTTCAACCCGAACAAATCACACAAAGTTGCTGGGCCACCTTTTGCACAGGGAGTTGTCATTTTAAGCAGTACTTTGGAGTAATCCCCTTCACGCTGCTGTCTCACTAACGGTGTAATCCTGCTTTGTTACACTCAGATGCTGTCAGATCAGAGTGAATGCTTAGTCATTCGTCTAAGTGGCGCGAGTACACATGCGCTGATCCAAATCTCAAAGTCCCCGTGTGCCGTTATCACATTAAATCGGTGTTTATTAGTGGATTGAGTTCATTCACCTTGAACTTATGATTCCCAAAAAATCTAACCAAACAGGCCATAAACCAATGGCCTGCCGCTCCTAAACCAATGGCTGTGTTTGAACATTGCGTTTGAACTGTTTATTCTCTGATCTGTGTTGGCAAATTCAACATTTTGTCCTTCGAGAAAACTTAAGGTTGTGATTTAGGGGTATGCAAGAATAAGTTGAATTGAAATTTAATTGTCCCCTAGTCATGGAAGTGGATCATAATCATTGCAGTTGTCCTCCATGGTCTAAAGACTGGCGTCAGGGTGGCAGACTGGTCCGTGTCTTCCCAGCCCTCTGGTGTGGGTAGTAGTTGGTACGACATGGACCAGACGACGCGGGGACCGACTCTAAACACGCGGGTCGCCACCAGTGATTATAGCCTACCACCTGGCATCCTTTTAGCTGTTTTGCCATTGCTATCCGTGCTCTTAAATCTGTGTGTAACTACAACAAAAGCAGGGTTTTCATTGATAACAGTTGTGTGCATGTAGAGCATATATAGTGTTTTGGAAAGCTTAAAAGTCAGGTTCTGCTGGTGCAACTCTATTTAAAGTCAAATACCCCATGGCCACAGAAGGAACAGTTGTGTGTGTTTTAGGTCACCTGCAATGACGGATGCTAACCTTTTATATAAGTGACAGGGTTTTTCTATAGCAGTTAACAGTCCCAATGATACTATTTTTGAAACAAGCAGCTTGGATTCACTCGTTTGGGGATTAAGCGGTTACAAGCATCTGTACCTGGTTGAGGAATAGAAATAGCCATGTCCTTCAGCTCTTACCTTGCACTTTGTCTCGACACTTGGGAGTTGCACAACTTCTCAGAAAGGATAATGAGCTGTTCTTTATAATGAATTACACATTATGTACCACCTGGAGCTCTGATACGACGATATCTAGTCTTTAGACTAGGGCAGTGTTTTTCAACCTTTTTTGAGCCAAGGCACACTTTTTTCACTGAAAAAATCTTGCGGCACACCTCCAGGAGAAAATGTAAAAATGTATACAGTACTAATGTAAAAAAATATATACTGTACATACTCTGTGTGATATATAAAGTGGGCGGCACGGTGGCTGAGTGGATAGCACTCTCGCCTCTCAGCAAGAAGGTCCTGGGTTCGAATCCCGGTCGGACCAGGGCCTTTCTGAGTGGAGTTTGCATGTTCTCCCCGTGTCTGCGTAGGTTTCCTCCGGGTACTCCGGTTTCCCCTACCACTAAAAAAAAATATGTCCAATAGTTCTAGCATGCGCCTCCTGTACTGGCGACCCCGCTCCCATCTCTATGTGGAGTGAGAGACTAATGCACAAAAAATTAACAATTGTAAACCGCTTTGAGACTCAGATCTGCAGTGAAAAGGCGGTATATAAATAAATACTTACTTACTTACTTACTTACTACTATAAAGTATATCTTATCTTATAATGTATACAGTATACTCTGTAGCCTATATTCACAATATACAGTTATTCTCATCAAAATGCTTAAGTCCAGGCCTTGAAATTAAGCTTTATTTAATATTTCTCGATACAATTAACAAGAGTTTGGGAATAAAGTGGCACTAACTGTGTGGAAAAAAACTAAGAAAATCCACTCTCTGCCCAAATAGTCAAATAATAACTCACACAAAGAACATGCATTGTTAGTGCATGGGAAACATTTTGGTATCCGAGCTTTAAATTCAGGAGTTTTGGATGAGGGACACGGGAGGTCCTGAACGCGAGTCCATGGTTCTGTCCGGTCCGCATGTCTGTGGTTCTGTCCACTCGACTACGGTCTGCGCTCGGTACCCAGTTCAGAAGTGCGTTCGCGAGAGCTGTTGTACAAAAATCGTACATTTCATAGTTAAACCACTACAACGCGGCCACAGCTGCCCCGGGGCAGAGCGGAGGATGTTAATCCTGTTCAGAAACGGCATAATTCATTTTCAAAAACGTCTCTATCACTTTCACTTCTCACTCGCCACAAAGCTCTTGTCTCGCTCCCTCACACATTTGTTGGTCGCATCCAATTTTACCTTTCTCGCCACAATGCTGACCTGTTACAGCCAGTGGTCCATCCAATTTTTCAGTTTCAAAGTACTTAGCTATCTGCTGCCATCTACTGATTTGAAAAAGTATTACATGGTTACTCCACAGTTCAAAACAAGTCACCGCTCGTCAACAGCGAATGCAGCTATTTTTAGACAAAGTAGACGAATTTCTCACGGCACACCAGACAATATCATACGGCACACTAGTGTGCCGCGGCACAGTGGTTGAAAAACACTGGACTAGGGGGAGGTTTCATTGGTTCACTTCAAACAGACTCCAATTATCTTTCAATAAATAACTTTTATTACTTGTGATAACTTTTGAGTGATGTCTGTTCACAACAAAGACTTTTACTCAGTCAGTCACACGTTTATTGCTTCCGCTGGTACCAAAGTCTCTTCGTATCACAAACCTTTTCATGACTGGATTTCGTTGCCAATAATTAATACATGGGAATTATTTCTTGATAAATTACATGCTGTTGAGTTTTGCTATAAATTGTTTTGTAGAAGTGTTGGGCCTTATTGACACTAGTCCGTAAGAGTTTTGTCAAGATCATCAATGTTGTGTATGGATGTGTGAAAAATCTTTTGATTTTGGTAGTCCTCTCTCTCTCATGAAGGTCCAGTGGTTCCTCCTTTGTTTCACATCTCATTTCTGGAAAAAATACCCATCGGGTTACCGGGGTCAAACTCATTTTATTATGTATTTGTAACGGGAACACACCCCCTTGTTCAATCCTACAAAAAACATTATTTTCAATATACATATTTTTTACAGACTCAAATTCAATTGGTCTATATTTTCAAATCATAAGAATATGAAAATATATATTTCACTCTAATGCTTACAACACATCAATATTAGCATCCCTAGATGCATTGTTATAGGAGAAACCATATTGCCTATAATTTAATTGTAACTTATTAAATCGGTAATCATGTTTTTGTTTTTTTTGTAGTTTCTCCAGCAGATAGAATCCGGTTTATGCTGGGAGAAGACGACGATGGCCCCCCTCCTCCACAGCTCTTCACTGAGCTAGATGAGCTGCTGTCTGTGGATGGACATGAGATGGAGTGGAAGGAGACGGCCAGGTTAGCTGCCCGGGTCACACACCGCCACATAGCACAGTTGGGCACAGTTCTGACAGTTCTGTGCCAGTAGTCAAGGAAGTATTTTTCTTTTGTTTGCAAAAAGGAAAAGCTGCACCTTTTTAGTGAACACCCATCTGATAAACATGCCCAGTCAGACCAGGAAGTGAAAGGAACACCCACCACAACGGGAAGCGCATGAGATTTGTTTTAATTTTTTTTGAAAGAATGCAGTTTTACTTTGAGGGAATATGGGGCAAATGGCTTACTTTGCCACAATAAATGAAATATTGACTTGCTGTACTATTAAGCGCACCTTCATATAAACCGTACCAGCTAAGTTTGACAAGTTTTTTCACAAATAGGCCACACTTGAATATAAGCCACAGGTATTCATGATGTAACGTAACACTTATCCAACAGCTGAAGAAAAACAAACCACAGACCACCGTTTTAACTGGATATAACACTATTTTGATGTGTTTTAACGCACTGTTGACTTGTTAGTCGTTCACCTTTAGCTTTGTCTATATCGCTGAGGAAGTAAACATTAGCTCACGTTAGCATATGCTTATCTTAGCTGTTTACTTTCATGTCGGGAATAAAGGGCTTCCTATAGCTACTAAAACATTTTTTGAGTCCATAAACTCAGACAACAGCTCTAGTCCCTCCTTGTTCTGTGTATTTCCCATAGATTGTAAAAATTAACAGACGTAGTCACGCCCATCTCCGCCGTTCTAACAAATGGGCCAAAAATAGTGCTCTACTGGAGCTATCCAAAATGGCAGCGAGTGGTCCCACCCACAAGAAAATAGTGAAAAAATGCGCACGCGTCAGCCAGCAAGAACTCCATTCAGTTGAACGAGAGACTTCAAAAATTCACAGCAAGTAAACTAGAGTGGACCAAAAAAATCCACCCCCCTCAGCATTGACACACATGTGGAACGGAGCTTTGGGCCAAGAGCCAACTTTTGGACCATCCTGTAAAGACGTTTTTGAGAGGTCTGCCAGTGCTATATGTTAGCATTGGCTAATTCTTATTCCCCCATCGGCCCGGAGTGGTATTACAAGCATGTCAGCGCACGTCATTTTGGCCACTTTTGAGCCGGGACCCGCCCCCACTGGTATTTCCGTGCATTTCCTTGTCGTCTCTGCTGTTCACATAAAAATAAACCGCTGATGGAGCTTTGTCCAAACTATGATCCAAACTGCGCCCTTGGAGATACTCTAGCACAATAAAAACGGTTTACATTGACTGCGTTGCTATAGAGGCCGGCCGCAGAGTTTAAAGACACAGAAAACGGTTGTGGCTTATAGTCCGGCAATTAAGACAAGATGAGATATACTTTATTGATCTGACAAAGGAGAAATTTACATGTCACATCTGGCATGGATAGAAACACTCAAGATTGGGTTAGGGTTAGAGTCCAGGGGGCAGCCCAGAGTGGAGCTGGCCCTCCTGACCAGCTTGTTCAGTCTGCTCCTGTCCCGCTCTGTGCTGCCCGGGGCCCAGCACACGGCAGCGTAGTATATGGCTGAGGCTACCACAGAGTCATAAAGAGTCCTGAGCAGAGGCCTGCTCACTCCGAAGGACCTCAGCCTCCTCTGACGGTGGAGGCGGCTTTGGCCCTTCTTGTGCAGGGCGTTTGTATTATGGGACCAGTCCAGTTTATTGTTAATGTGAACACCCAGGTACTTGAAGCTGTCCACCAGCTCAATGTCCTCCCCCTGGATGTTCAGCAGCGTGTGGGAAAGTGGTTTTCTCCTGAAGTCGATGATCATCTCCTTAGTCTTATTGGTGTTCAAGCGCAAGTGGTTGCGCTCACACCAGTCGACCAAAGTCTGTGATAACCGACCGATATTCCAATTTGTTCCCCTAGTAGTTTTCATGTTAAACAATCATTTCTAGTGAATGCATTCTAACATTCTTCTAACTGAGCCGTCTTTTCACTAGTTACAGATGGTGTTCTTTCTGCAGGTGAATGGTGTCTTCTGTATCGCACATAGTCCTTGTTGCATGGATCATGTCCAGGGGGTCATTTTATCCCCAGCAGAAACTCCATCCTCAGCGCTCACAGAATACCTCTTTGTGCTACCTCCTGCATTAAAGTCATATGTAGGCTACATAATGTAGCAAGACGCAGACGTGCACCCATGCATTTCCACACGTGTTTACAGTCTACTGATGCATTTCTCATGTCATTGCCACCCACATTAATAGATCAACTGTGGCCGATTCACAACAGAAAACCTGTTTGGTAAAGAAATGAGAACCCCATCTTGTCGCCTTTTGTCTGTTGCCCATATGTAACAGAAAGAGCTTTATTTACTGTTCACAATGTATTCTAATCATTCTAGATTTTACAGTCTAGGTAGTCTCCATTGACCCAGAAATGTGATTTTTTTTTTTTCTTTTTTTTTGTGCGTGTCTAAGATGGATCAAGTTTGAGGAGAAAGTGGAGAAGGGAGGTGAGCGGTGGAGTAAGCCCCATGTGGCGACTCTTTCTCTACACAGTCTGATGGAACTGAAGACGTGCATTGAAAAGGGCACAATCATGCTTGACCTGGAAGCCACCACCCTGCCTCAAGTTGTTGGTAAATTGTCCAGTTTTTTAATAATGTGTCCACTATTGCTCTTAGTCACTTTGTCCCAAACCCTCATGCTGTTAACATGTACAGATGTAAACAGTTGAGTTTTTTGTACTCATTATGATATAGATTTTATACTTGTTTCTTCTTCATGCTCAAGTTGGAGATTTTTTTTTTTTAGATTTAGTATAGTTCTTGTCAATCTTGTGCTAATAATTCCTTCTGTTGTGTAACTGGTGATACAACACGGACATTTCCCCACTTTGGGATAAATAAAGGATCTCTTTATATATATACTGTATGTTTGTATTTGAATTCTTATCTCCAGAGGTAATCACGGACAACCAGATTGAAAATGGACAGCTAAAGCCTGAGCTAAAGGAGAACGTCATGTACACTCTGCTGAGGAAACACCGGCATCAAACGAAGAAATCCAACTTGCGTTCACTCGCCGACATCGGAAAAAGTGTCTCCAGTGCAAGTCGATTGTTTTCTAACCCTGAAAATGGTAAACTTCATTCTTCTTTTACCTCCATTCGTTTTTCGCTTTGGACTGTCTTTTCACTATCTCTTTTGCCTTTTCTTTTTTTTCCCTGTCTCTCTCTGGGCCTTTGGTGTTTCTTGCCTTCTGCTTCATAATGTGTAGTACGCAACCCCCAAGAGCATGTGCCTTCTTTTACCCCTCAAGACCCAGAGGAACCATGTGAGGAGGTCATAAGAAGCTCCAGCAGCATGGGATACCTCTGTAAGTGAGGGTTTGCCGTTCCCATACAAAGCAATACAGTTCCTGATTCAAGAATTTTTGTGCTATTTGCAGTAAAACCACATTGGAAAAACCATGCAAGAATACCCCAGTGTGCACTAGATTATACTTAATGCTGTTAGAATCTGGCTATAGGTTCTTTTTGTACATAGTTTTTCCTTGTTTTCTGACTATACACTTTGTACAGCACTTTTATCTTCCTTTTTAATATTTCTACTTAAGCCAAATTCTTGCTTATAAGTGAATTTTACCGATTCCTCTGCAGGTAGTCCAACAACTGCCCACCGAAACCTCACATCCAACAGCCTGAGTGACTTCTCCGATAAGCCAGAGAAGGATCAGGTACATGGGTATCTATTCTTCGTTCTGCTGACACTGAAGGCCTCATTAACAAAGACACAGTATGCTTAGTCATTAAGTGACCTTTGTCGGTGCTCGTGTGAGCCTTGTGCTTTGGCAGGGAAGTCCTTGGTCTGCTGAACGCTAACAAAAGCTCACTGTCTGACTGTGCGCCCCTATACTACCCACTTTCCTCATTGCCCTCACTTGCATCAAGACGTAAAAAAAAAAAAAAGAATAGTTTATTAGAAATGATGTAGTAATATTGTTGCTGATGTAGTAATATCACTGTTGTGCTTAGAGCTTGTGTTTCACAGCAAGAAGGTTTAATTCTATCTCCAGGCCTTTCTGTGTGGAAGTTGCATGTTCTCCCTGTGTCTGCGTAGGTTTCCTCCGGGTGCTCCGGTTTCCCCAACCACAAAAACATGTACAATAGGTATGAATGTAATGAGTGAGTGAATGGATGGTGTTGGTTGGGGGCTTTGATGCACCAGTGTGTTTGCCGTCTCTCTTCGGTCATCGGCGTGTGTGGAGAGAGAACTCTGAACTTTGTATGGGTGACCTTGGGCTGTAAAATGCGCTACATAAATAAACAATACATACTTACTCACTTACGTACTGACACTGTTGTGCTTAGGATGAATGAATTGCTGAATCTCAGTGCCCATCTCTGTACTCGCCTTCAGCTTCCATGTTAGATTTACCTACATGAGTGAAGTAGTTGCGCTGCGTGTGTTGTTGTATAACTTTAATATTAACTACTGGCAAAAAAACTATTCCTCATTTCCTCTTTTTTTATCCAGCTCAAGAACAAATTTATGAAAAAACTCCCACGTGACGCCGAGGCCTCAAACGTATTGGTCGGAGAGGTGGATTTTCTGGAAAGCCCTTTTGTGGCATTTGTTCGTCTGCAACAAGCAGTCATGCTTGGGGCTTTAACTGAGGTCCCTGTGCCTACCAGGTAAACACCCCCCAATAAAAGATCAGCCGGATATCCACTATGTCGACATGTTGAAATAAATGTTATATTTCTGCCCATGCAAGGTTCCTGTTTGTCCTCCTGGGTCCCAAAGGAAAAGCCAAGTCTTATCATGAGATTGGGAGGGCTATTGCAACGCTGATGTCTGATGAGGCTAGTATAATATTGCATTGATTTTTATGTGTGGGCCTATTTCTCAAGATTCAAGAATTTAATTTTTGGTTGCAGTAAAACTACATTGGAAAAACTGTGCAAGACTACCCCAGTGTGCACCAGTACTGTACTACTTGTATATACATTTTTTTGTTTTGAATTTTGTTTTATAAAAGAGGTCCAGTGTCTAAATCCTATTAAGTAAACAGCTTTTTGAAAGTATTTTTTTAAGGATTTTTGCAGGTTAAACTTTAGCTTCTGAACTTTGTTGTGATAATGTGTTGTCAGATGTTGGCCTTTTTTACTCACTAGTGATGGACCACACCTGCACGTGTCACATGAGTCATATGTACAGATCCACGTCTGCTTTTGTTGTTTAAACACTGAAAATGGCTTATTGAATTTACTGATGTGTTAAACCCAGACTGGATGCACTGACTTGTATCATGATATATTTTAGCTATTAAATATATTTCTATTCATTTTAGATTTTTCATGATATCGCCTACAAAGCCAAAAACAGACAGGACCTTCTGGCTGGCATTGAGGAGTTCCTCGATGAGGTCATTGTTCTGCCCCCTGGCGAATGGGACCCTGACATCAGAATAGAGCCCCCTAAATCTCTGCCCTCATCAGATAAGAGGTCTGTGAGATAATCCTTATGACTTAACCCATAAGAAATCCATGTGAACTCTCAATCGTTCAATACATGATCTTAAAGAGTTCATACATTTGTATTTATGAGCATGGCTGTATCTTAACCCAACATGTGTTTCTCACCTTGCAGAAAGAACATGTATTCTGGGGCAGATCCTCCTCATATGAACGGAGACGCTCTCCACGAAGCAGGGAACGGTGGAGCGGGAGGAGGAGGGCATGAGGTCGGAGAGGAACTTCAACGCACAAATAAGTAAAGACAACGTTAACATTTTTGTCAAAACAGGGTTGTGTTAGTACTAAATTAACCAATGTTAATGTATTGTATCGCCTAGATTTTGCGGTGGCCTCATCCTGGATATCAAGCGAAAGTTGCCATTTTTTGCCAGTGACTTTTATGATGCTTTGCACATTCAGTCACTTTCTGCCATCTTGTTTATTTACCTGGGCACAGTCACCAATGCCATAACATTTGGAGGCTTGCTCGGAGACGCAACAGAGAATATGCAGGTAAATTTGACATATTGGTACTTGTTAGTGATTCAACACTTATTTCTTTTTTAACCATTAATCAGACATCTTGTTATACAGTCATTGTAGTATTACTGTAGGTACATTCCCACAAACAAACCTGGCACACCATCTTTTTACACACTGAGATCTGCACTGTTGTGTCAGAATGACTTGTCTTTCCACCTGTCGACCTAGTTTGTTTTTGTTTTTCTTTTGGCCAAACTGTGATATGTAGGAACAAAAGAGCAGCCATTAACCTTTTTTATTACATTATATTTGCCTGTTATGTGGGTCATGTGGAGATGGCGTTATAAAAGACAACACACAAGTCAAACCAGGGACATAACTTTGCATAATGACAGTGTAACAAGTTGTGTAGTTATGCACACATTTTTCTGTCCTTGTTTAATAATGTTTGGAAATATTTGTGTAGCTCCACGTGCATAAGCTTGAGTAGTGATTCCCTCTATTCCTGGGTGCACTGTTTATTTGGAAGAGTATTTGAATAGATAATTTGCAAATAACAGATATGTGCCATAAGAAACATTTGAAAGGCTTACAATTTTCTGTTTTTTGACTAGTAAGATCAACAGTATTTTAGGGCCAGACACAAGTTTTCTTCCCTTCTTGAGTAAATCCTTTCAAATGTCCTGCCTATAACAAAACATGTTGGAAAGATTGTAGCAAGAGGAATACAACTTTTTAACACATCAAAACTGAGATATCTTGTCTCCAACTCCTGCTGTTGTCCCGGTCAACACTACCATAAGCAGTAGACCAGAGGGCAAAGAAATACATTGGACACACACCCAGACCTTCATTTGGTCACAGCCTTATTGACATTCACTGATGTATTCATGTATTAATTATAGTTACATTTTCTTTTCCAACTGGCCACATAGGTCAAATGCCTAATTGAAAGGTGCCATTGCTGGTCTCTGCACTGGCTTAGAATGACATCCCAGAAAACCTACAGTTCATTGGACTAAAGGATTTAGCTAGGCTGTAAATAACCACAGATCCAGATTATGCAGCTACTGTCGCCTTGTCATGGCTGTATTTCCACTGACCTCTGTCTCCTCGCCCAATGGGTGCTAGCTCCATGTGTCCGCTGCATCCCCATGGTTCTAAAATGCATGCAAAACCAGAAATGCTGTTACTGGATTAACTGCAATTACTGACATTACTGTTTTTCCATACCAGCAGCTGATTGATGTTTACAATATCAACAGCATCTTGCAGACTTTGCGCAATTATGTCATTTATGTTTTAAACACCTGTAAAGGCCATGCTTATTGTGGAATTGTGAAAACGTGAACTATGTGTTGTGTGTCACAGGGTGTGCTGGAAAGTTTCCTGGGCACGGCGTTGACGGGAACACTCTTCTGTCTACTGTCTGGTCAACCTCTCACCATTCTCAGCAGTACAGGCCCAGTGCTGGTCTTTGAAAAACTCCTCTTCAACTTCAGCAAGTGAGTGCATAAGAAAGGCGACTTGCTTAACTTAATATTAAACATTCATTACACAACCACTTTAAAAGGTTTATTTAATTCTGTGTATGTATATGAAAAATGTATTTTATTTATTTATTTAAGGCAAACACTGGAGCAACAGTTATTAGCATGAAAAACGTACATTTAACAACAACCAAAATTGCTTGAAAGGGAGTGGGAAGAAGAAAATCCCAATCAATCAATAATCTATTTGTATCGCATAATTCGTGTTCAAGGCAATTCAAAGTGCGTCAGAAGAGCAATTAAAAAACAGATGAAAAATGCAATAATTTCACATTAAAACAGCATAAAAGTATGGGGTTTAGAACTCATTAAAATGTGGGTTTAAAAAGGGAGATGAAAGCAATAAAAGGTACAAAATATAAGCATTTTATGAGGTATTACCGTGTCGGATGCAAGCTGATGTACTCTACAAGATCTATCTTTGGTAATAGTAGAAGACTGTCTACAAAAAGCAAACACAATGCTGACAATGTTCCCTTATCAATAATTCACTCTCATTTGTGGGAGAAGAATGTTGTCCTCTCTTTCCATACCTCCGTGGCTCAGACTGAGTGGGAACGGTCTGGCAAGAAACACAGCAGCTACTTTTGTAATGTTTTTTGTGTGCTTCCTGTGTGCTGCTCTTACTGTCCTATATGTGCGCTGCGATATTGAAATTTCCCCACTGTGAGACAAATAAAGAACATTTCTCCATTGTGAGATCAATAAAGTTTATCTTATCTTAAAGGATGTCTTATCTTAGCATGCATTTACAGTTTCCATTCTCAAAACAATGAATCTAGAGCATACATAAATAAAAGAGGGTGCAATCTTAATTTCAATTTCCTCTATTTGCTTTGTGATTCTGCAGAGACAATGCCTTTGACTATCTGGAGTTTCGTCTGTGGATCGGTTTGTGGTCGGCCCTGTTCTGTCTGGTGCTGGTTGCTACCGATGCTAGTTTCCTGGTGCAGTACTTCACTCGCTTTACAGAGGAAGGATTCTCTGCTCTCATCAGCTTCATCTTCATTTATGACGCATTTAAGAAGATGCTCAAGTTGGCTCACCATAACCCTATTCATTCTTACCATGATGTCAACCTCATCACCCAATATGACTGTAACTGTATTCCAGGTAAGTGGCAATTTGCATAAAGTGGCGAGGAGTTTGAATGCTTTTTGTTGTTTTTGAAGTTGCATCTATTACCTTGTTATGGAAACAAGGTAATGAATGCTAATGTGAGCTGTTATTTACCTTTTTAGCTTTGTCGAGCACAAGTCAATAATGCGTTAAAACCATAGACTGTATATATTAACGGACAGAGTCACGCCTATCTCCGCCGTTCTAACAAATGGGCCAAAAATTGTGCTCTACTAGAACTATCCAAAATGGCCGCGAGTGGTCCCGCCCACAAGAAAATTGTGAAAAAACGCATCTGCGCATGCGTCAGCCGGCGAGAGCTCCATTCATTTGAACGAGAGACTTCAAAAATTCACAGCAAGTAAACTAGAGTGGACCAAAAAAATCCACCCCCCTCAGCATTGACACACATGTGGAATGGAGCTTTGGGCCAAGAGCCAACTTTTGGTCCATCCTGTAAAGATGTTTTCGAGAGGTCACCTAATGCTATACTTTTGAGCTAGGACCCGCCCCCACTGGTTAAAACACTTCACTAAATCATGCGACCAGTTAAAACGCCTGCGGCTTATATTCATGTGTAGCTTATATGTGGAAACACTTTCTAATTTTGCTGGTGTGGTTTCTATATAGATGTGTTCAATAATCCGGCAAATATTGTATGATAACATTTGCTTTAGTAATCATTCAAACAGGTAAATTTTGTCTTGTCGAGTTAATAACAGGGGAAAAAAAAATACAATTTAAGTTAGATGTATTGCTTACCATGCTGAGTCTATTGACGATAAACTTGCGTCCTATAGCCACTAATACTTGATGGATAAGTCCATAAACCTTGCTCTGATCATATAAAAAATAAATACATAGACATTGTTGAAAGAACCTTGAAAGAAGTAGCGGCTTATAGTCCAGCCATTACTTTATTGGTTTTTTGTGTGACTTTTTCCCTGTGCTAGTTCACAGGTCAGGCCTTTGTTGTAAATACAGATGTCTAGGTCAAGTTGTCAATTGACCTAGATAAAGATGCTAGCTACAATGGAATACAGTAGGATGAAGGAAGATGCTAAGATTGTGCTTTCCATCTGGTTACATTTGCATCTTGATAACATTGTGCCAGAGGAGGATAATTTCAATAATGCTGAAGTGCAACATACATTTGTAAAAAAAAACTGAAGTCATGAAAATATCCCTTGAACATTGTAACTGTGTGAACATTGTTGCCTTCTTTTTTTTCTTAATAGGAAACACATCAGAACTTCTTGATCTTGATGCCTTGACAAACAGTACAGATCTGGTATGCGAGCCTCCGAGCCAAAATATAATCGACATGCCTCACTTGATTCACTAAAAATATTTGTCTTCTTGTTTCTGCAGCCGGTCAATGCCACTTGGGACTTTCTCACCGTGACCCAGTGCTTGCAGTATGGGGGTCGTCTGGTTGGTGAGACCTGTGGCTATGTGCCTGACATCACCCTCATGTCCTTCATCTTGTTCTTTGGGACTTACACTTGTTCTATGGGCCTGAAGAAGTTTAAGACGAGCCGTTTCTTTCCTACTCGCGTAAGTTTGTTTGTTAGATCTGTATTGTATTGTTTAGATTTATATTTTATGATTTTTTTTTTTGTGTGTGTATGAATCATGGGCTGTGAATACATAATTGTGTGTAGCAGCTGTTCAAGTTTAATGTACGCTAAAGGATCAAAATATGGTTATTTTTCAGACCTTATCTTGACCTTTTGTTTTTGAATTCCCAAAAATGTCTGAAATAATTTGAAACTGATTTATTTTATTATACCTATCTAATGGTGGTTTCTTGCACTGTAATTACACATAGTTTAAATGTTATTAACACTAGGACTTCCAGAATTCTGAAAGTACAAGGGCTCCTGTAGCGAGAATTCTGAGATTAATCCCTAATTTTGACCTTTTGCTTTTGAATTCTGTAACGAACAGAAAAGGTCCTGAAATAAATTGAAAATGATGGATTGAATTGAACCTGATAATGTATGTTGTTTTAGGTGAGGAAGCTCATCAGTGACTTTGCCATCATCTTAGCCATTCTTCTCTTCTGTGGCGTGGATGCCTTCATTGGAGTCGACACTCCGAAACTCATTGTGCCAAGTGAATTCAAGGTGAGGGTTTAGTCTTGTACCTGCCATCACATCCAGGTGTGGCTTCTGGTAACAGACAGTGATTCATGTTTCAGGAAGAAAGCCTCCTAATTCCTCAGCAATGCCACTATAATGCTTTCTTTTGTAGTTCCCAGAGGCATACCTCTTACCTGAAATTAAAACAGCAAACTCTTTGAGAGGGCTGAGCTCAAATGTTTCTAGGGCCACCCTCAAATGCTGGAGCAGGAATGTGCATCATATAACAGCTTGATTACAGGTGATGTGAGAACATGGGCCGAGGAGTTGCAGCAAATATAAAGCCTGCTTTGTCTTTGCATAAAAGATTTGTATTCAAAAAAAAGAAAAGCTAAGAAATGGAAACTTGTACATCAATTACTCCAGATCGGGTGTGTTTGAGAAGAGGCTTGTACAGCCTTAGAGAGATCCTGTATTCCTCCCACAGTGGGGAAATTTCAAGTTACATAAGAGTAGGAACGAGGAGCACACAACATCTCTATCTTTAGCTTAGTAAAAAAAAAAAAAAAAAAAAGTATAAATTGCTGTATACTCTATTGCATGAAATATATTCTTGTATGTATAATTCTGTAGTTAAATTTGTAGTACAAGAATATTAGGGTAGTGAGTCATTCAATCAATCAACTTGTATTTGTTGAGCGCCTTTCCTAAACAAGGCAACACAAAGAGCCTCACAACTCATATCACATCAGGCATAAATCATAAACGTTAAAATCTAAAACATAAAAACTGGGCTTCAAAAACAAACATTTAGATCACAAGATGTAATAAGAACATAAAAAATAAACTCACACATGGGATTAAAATCATAAATGGCCAGAGTGCAGTCCCTCCGTTATAGGCACAGATAAACAGAACAGTTTTTAACATAGATTTGTAAACTTCCAGAATAGACGCCTGTCTCACGTTAGCTCTGAGGGTCAAATGTTCACAGTGATCATAAAGTCAACAGTTGAATCAGAGAACCATTCCCCACACAGTATTAGCTGAAATGTTGCATATCCAATACATTTCTATTTTTGCTTGATGAAAGTGTTTGTTGTAAAAGAACCTGAAAAGTAAGTCACTGAGGGTGTGTTATGCTCTAAGTGAATGTTATTAACTGGAGCTTTTAACAGCCCTCTGTAAGGCACCAATGTGTTTCAAAAGACTCATGTGCCGTCAGGACCAGCATGCACTTGTTTTTGTTGACTCAAAGCATTTTTCCTCAAATACATATCAGAAACCGAACTTTAAATATCACCTTGATTTTAACTTAAAGTGGTTTAATCAATTATTTTCTTTTAAATCTGTCTGTTTTTGTTATAATGCATTGGTTTTTAGCTACTTTGGCTTGTTGTTTTTGTGTTCAGCCTACAAGTCCAGCGAGGGGATGGTTTGTGGCTCCGTTTGGGGGAAACCCTTGGTGGGTGTATCTGGCGGCTGCGTTGCCTGCTCTGTTGGTCACCATCCTGATCTTCATGGACCAACAGATCACTGCCGTCATTGTCAACAGAAAAGAACACAAACTAAAGGTGGCACTGCAGTTCCTCTTGTGTATACAGTCATTACAAATCTAGCTCTAATATCATAGAATAAAATGTTTGTTTTCTGCAGAAAGGAGCAGGTTATCACTTGGACTTGTTCTGGGTGGCTGTCCTCTTGATTGTGTGTTCCTTCATGGGTTTGCCGTGGTACGTGGCTGCCACAGTCATCTCCATTGCCCACATCGACTCTCTGAAGATGGAAACAGAGACATCGGCCCCGGGAGAGCAGCCAAAGTTCCTGGGAGTCAGGTGAACTAATGCCGTTGATTGGATTTGGCAGAACATAATTAACTTGACTCGGTTCCTTGTATTTTATCTATCTAATGGTGGTTTCTTGGACATAGTTTAAATGATATTAACCCTTTAAGCGCCAAAATCTTTGAAAGGGAAATATTGAAACCAATCTCCAGATTTCATGACTGTAAACTATAAAGAGTGCTGTCTTGATCACTGAAGGTCTTTGAAAATAATACAATTCCATATGGCCGCAAACCAGTGCTAAAACATTATCTATAATCTGGATCAGGGAATTTATATCTATCCCAAATTCATTTCATACTAAAGATATTTCACATTGACTGTTTATAGTATTCCCTGATCTCAAATAACTCCCAAGCTACAGCTTTTTGAAATCTTTATACAAAAATTAACATTTTCCAAAATGGCTGCCACCTTGATGACGTCACAATATGCAGATTAGATAAGATAAGAATTCCTTTATTCGTCCCACAGTGGGGGGACGAATAAAGTGGGGAAATTTCGATATTCGAATCAATTTCGATGACGAATCAACTTCCGTCCCAAAGTTTGGTTCAAACTTAAGATATTTCTAATTTACAGTTTGCCTTTATCTCAAACCATTTTAAAGTTATAGCCTTTTGAAATCTTGAAATCAAAATTGTATATTTTCTTGAAAATGGCGCCTAAAGGGTTAACACTAGGACTTCCATAATTCTGAAAGTAAAAGAGCTCCTGTAACAAGAACTCTGAGATGAATCCCATAAAGCAGTTTTAGTTCACTACTAAAATTAAGCAATTCATAAGTTTTTGTATATTGTAGTGGGCATTTTTTTTTTTTTTTTAACAGACCAATGTCACCCAAAGCGCTTCAAAGTTCTGAGATATTTCATGATTTTTAACATCTGCTAAAACTGGTTAATATATTTTGAAAAACAGAAAAAAACTGTTTGCTAGCAAGTAAAACGGTGTGTTGCTATGGTTACTAGCACAAGCTAAATGTGAAAAAGAGGATCTAACTGCCACAGATTGTTAGATCCCAAAAATGACTACATTTGAGTTTGACATGAATGAATCGAGCCGTCAAAATGACTGCTCTGGGAGTTACAAGTAGAACTTGTCTCATATAAGATTAAGATATCCTTTATTCGTTCCACAGTGGGGTGAATTTCAGTGTTGCAAAACCAGTTACAGAACGAGCACAAAGCACAAGGTAAAAGTACACTGTGCAGGATGAGATAAATTAACACAGCTCTATACTAAACTCTATAAAGATTATTTTATAGAAATTAATGGCGTTTGGTGATGGTCCATGTGTGTTTTATCATTGCGTGGAATTGTTTGATTCACTGATCTCCTGTGGACTCGCCACCTGCAGGAGGATCAGTGAGGGGCTGGTGAGAATTGGGCTTTGACTACCACCCCCTCAACCCAGAAATGGATTAAGGGGAAGAAAATGGATGGATGGATTCTCTGATATGTCTTGGCAAATCGACAGCTTTGTAAAGTCCTCCAAAGAGACTGCTGCTGTGATTTAGGGCTATACAGAAATACATTGAAAATAAGTACTAGTTTTAATGATATCATAAAACATGCTAACAAGGCTAATATTCGTTTTTACATTATGCCAGTCTCACTTTGCCTTAGATTTATTTACCACAACGTACATTGTAGTATTCAAAAATGCTAACACCTATTAACGGGTTAATTAGCATTTTTATCAATGATTGCATCACATGTAGTCTGTTTTCAACTTCTGCAGCTTTTTGTTCATAAAAGTAAAATATTTATTTAATTCAAGTTATTTTGATTAGCATTTATGGATATTACAATGTACATTGTGGTAAATAAATCTAAGGCAACCAAAGTGAGACTGGCATAATGTAAAAACGAATATTAGCCTTGTTAGCATGTTTTATGATATCAAGTAGAGTTAGCTAACTTGCCCAACACTAATTAGCTTGAATCTCACAAATAAGGCTAAAAGGTTAAAAGAGTTGCACACTATTATGTACAAAACGGATGAAAATATGTTTATACCTTGTTCAGATGACAGTGAAACCTCCTACAGTTTCCAGCTAAGACTGCTGCTGCTGTGAGATACCCTTCTCCTACGTCATCGCCGCCATTTTGGCTCCCCCTAGCGTTTGTGAAAAGGTCCGACTTCAAAGCTGTTTTTTTAAACATAATTCATCTGAACATATCAAAATGAACACCCGAAATATTATAAACACATATTGTAGTTATATATTCTGGATAGCAGCATATTAAATTCTTGTACTACTTTAAGGTTTTATAAAATCATGCATTCAACTGCCTGATGTCCACCACCACCATAATAATAACTTTTTGTAAATGTGATCTTTCCAGGGAGCAGAGAGTCACCGGCATCTTCGTGTTCCTCCTCACCGGGCTGTCAGTTTTCATGGCTCCTATCCTCAAGGTACATTGGATTAAATTCTTGGTCGTTTTGTGGAAAAAAAAATCCTCCTAATTTGACATCAAAGACAAATCTCTTTTCTTTTTCCTCCATCCAATTATTATGTAAAACAGTAATGTGAGTTCAACTGTTCTTAGATTTAAGCTGTTGATAAGCTGGTGCCTTTTTAGACCGCTGCTGAACACAACGTGGAAGTGATGGAAGCGTGTGTGGTGCGCCCTCGTGTGGACATGTACAGTACTGCCACAAACTCATGATATATTTTCTCTTTCCCCAGTTCATCCCAATGCCTGTGCTGTATGGAGTGTTTCTGTACATGGGTGTAGCCTCTCTCAATGGCGTTCAAGTAAGTTAGCAAAACATAATTTAATCTTAGAGCCTGTTTTGAAAAAAGTTGGGAATTTCATTATTTGGATTTATGAATAATCCTCATTGTTTTCAGTTCATGGATCGATTACAACTCCTTCTGATGCCAGCCAAACATCAACCTGATCTCATCTACTTGCGGCATGTGCCCCAGAGAAGAATCCACCTCTTTACCTTCATCCAGGCTCTTTGCTTGGCTTTGCTCTGGATCCTCAAATCGACTGTTGCTGCCATCATATTCCCGGTCATGGTAAGATTCGATCCTCCATCCTTCGTCAAAGGGTTTCGGATTTGAGATTGAAGGCCAAAGTTTGTGTCCAGATCCTTGCATTAGTGGCGGTACGCAAGGCCATGGACTATCTCTTCTCTCAACACGACCTCAGTTATCTGGACGACGTAATACCAGAAAAGGATAAAAAGAAGAAGGAAGACGAGAAGAAGAAGAAAGGCAAGAAGGGGAGCATAGACAGCGAGATCGACTACGTGAGTTCTGGGACGGCAGGCGCTTGGTGTTTCTTTCGCTTAGCCGTGTCCTGATAGACCCTGTGTTAACATTGTCCCTCCTCCCACAGTCTGACTATCCCTACCATGAAAATGTTCCCAGTATTAAAATTTCCATGGATCTGTTGGAGCAGGAGCCCATGTTGAAGAATAAGTCTGTGGATAGTGAGTATTAGTTTGTTTTTGTGCCCCCAGTCTCCAACCGTTTTGTTGTAAGTAGCGAGTACTTACAACTTTTGTAGTCAATTGTCATTTAAGTTTTTGACTTAAATGTTTTAAGAACTTTGAATGACATTATTAATAATTTGATAATGTTGATGTTCCAGATCCATTTCAGTGCAAAGCGCATGTGTTCATGTCTTAGTCCTTTTATGGTTTCACCTTTTGGGTCACAAAATCTACTTTAAATTTGCTTGGAACTTAAACATACCTCTTTAGTGCATCTCGGTTTTACGCACTTTCACTGTCAAACTGCCTCTCAACCATTTGGCAAAGGCCCATAGTTAAAGAATTAGGGGTTCACAAAGGAGTAAAATTAAATGGTGTTAAATGGTTAAACTTAAACAACTAAATAAATGTTATGTATATTCCTACATGCCTTGTTAAGCCAAAAGGGATCAGAAACATAAGTTGTTTGACTGGCACAGCATTCTGTAAATGTTCTGAAATGTGCATAAGTTTGAAAAGAATCACAAAATAAATTATAGTATAAATATGGTGCTTGCGTTGGCTGAATAGAAAACCACTACTACTACTTGAAAAATGTAATGAAGATGCTTTTAAAATCATTTGGATGTGAATTAAATAATTTATTTAAACTTTATTTAACCAGGAAGTCCCTTGAGATAAAATCTCTTTTACGAGCGAAGAACACCTTGGTAACGAATAACATACATACACAAGCACAAACAACGACATTTAAAATAATGTGAATTGGGTGCAGCTGCCACCCCCCCCCCCCCCCCCCCCCCCCACCCCAGAAATGGATTAAGGGGAAGAAAATTTATGTTTTTTTAAGCATGGCCCCACAATTTACTCTTTCAAATTGATTGCACTTTGAGCCAAAGCAAATTCCTAGTTTGTGACTTCCTGTTACTTATAATGGTAATAAAGATAATTCTGATTCTGAGCTGTGCCTCATTGTAAATCTCAGAACAGCCCAAATCGTCTCAAACATGTTTTACAGTCCCGTCTTTCAGCCTCTGACAGATGCACAAACCACAAACTGGAACTAAACCTTTTTTCTTTCTGAACGGTCTTTCCTGCAGGAGATGAGTCGCAGATTTTCCTTGCCCCTCATTCGGTGTGCTGAACACTACTTTGAGTCTTCCACGGTGGCCGAGTAAGTGAGTACAGCTTGCCTTTGCTTTCACACATCATTTTATTTTGAATCCGTCTTAATTCACCCCTTTGTTTAAGTCTGGACAGAGCCGCGCATGCTAACGGCTCACCTCAGATACGAACACACTGTGACTCCATGGAACACTTATTCTTGGGGAAGAAGGGCTCTGAAACTGATCTGTGAACGACTCTACGAGCAATACTATATTTGAAAGTGTTTTGAATTGTATTTATTTCCTCTTTACTTAAAAATGCTCAATTTTTATTATATTTATTGTGATTTCAAGAAGTGTTGAATGTAACGGATCTCGTCTGTTGAATGCATGCAGTGTTGGTACTATATAAAATCAAGATATTTTATGATTTCTCATTTCTTTTATTGGAGCAAAAGTTCCCTCTGTGTAGGTTCACGATTCAGGAAGGTGTCATGTTTGGTAAATGCTGCGGAAATTTCCACTTGCACAACGACCTGTCGGACCAGATTCTACTGACCAGCTTTAGAAATCTTTATTTAAAAAGATTATGCAACAACAATCCGCCCGGTTTGGTTCCTTTTTATAATATCCCATCATCCCATCATCCGTCGTTAATGTAGCAGGGACTGATTCGTTTCTATTTTTTTAATGCATTTGCTATAATTTCTATTCTCCTACAACAAAAGATTTAAGTTTTTTTTTCTCCTTTCTTTACAACATATGTCCATCGTCAAAGATTGGCCTCATTAAATGTTGTTTGTTGTGATCGGCTGCACATAGTTTTCAATTGAAATTATATATATAAAGGAAAATAATAGAACAAATATATGTTTTATATTTTGTTTAAATGTTTATCTATTCAGTGAATAATAATTACTGGCTCAACAGTAAGTGACCAGAAAGATGGACAAGACTTTTGACTACTATATTTGTATAATCGATACAGTTTGTAGTAGACTTAATGTAAGGGATTAGCTTATTTTGGATCCCCAATCAGCAATAACAATGAATGTACTATAAAACCTGTTTTGTTAGAATAAATGATTCTAAATCTCGGAATGTAATTAATCTCTTCGTATTGACTTAATGTGATTTCCGAGTTCACAAATGCAAGGTCCTCACTGTGAGCTGCAGTGTTTTTCTCAGTACCTTTTATATAATGACCGATTTGACAATGATTATGAAGTAATTATTTTGTACATGAAATAAGCATGTTTTTTATGGATCATTTTTTCGAATAAAGATGATGTATGATTCTTATAAGGGTGTGTTTTGTGTTTATTGAAGAAATATTTCATTTGCCATAAAACCACATTGGAAAAACTGCAGAACTACCCCAGTGTGTACATTTGCGATAGTTTCTCTGATAACAGATTCTCATCCTGTGTCATGTTATTATAATAAAAGTTGATTGACATTTCTTTGCCAAAGCAGAAATCATGCTTCTGCTGGCGGGACATCAGTGGTTTTTTCTGACAGTAACTCGTTCAAATAAGAGGGTCGGACTCTGCCAAATATTTCTCCGTTCACCAAGTGGCTGAAACGCTCTGCCTTCTTCCTGGTAATGAAAGGATTTTTATTCACTGTCAAGATGGCCTCGGATTTCCTCCTTTCTCTATTATCCGTGTTTTCTTCACTGCTGATCCTGATGGGCACCTGGCAAAAATTGACTTGAAGCGCTCCTCTCTTGAACATTTTTACAGAATTAGTTTTGCATTTCAGACTGTAGTAGACTCTAGAGCAGGTGTGTCAAAGTCATTTTGGTCAAATTTAAAAACATGGTGGTTGGGCCAGAAGTATAAAAGTCTATGTATTTTTTATTTGAGTTTTTTTTACATGTTTTTGCCTTTTGACATTATATGACACCTGCATGAAAGCCCTACCACATCACCATACGAGTTTGGATACTGTTTTCTAGTAGGTTTGTGTTCAACCAGAACTGGGCCCCAAATATCAAGTAGATGAATTTGAAGATATAGATAAGTATTCATTTTATATATTTAACCTTCCGACATGCATTACATTACACAATACATTTCACGTACCCTTTTTATAACAGATGCAATTATATGGTTGTTTTCCTGCGATAATAACCAGTAAAATGAAGTATAACACGGCTCACGGGCCTGAGTTTGACAAGCCTGCTCCATGGATCCATAAAAATAACTGCTCTAGAGAGGTAATGTCAAAGAGGAAGTTTTTCAGTACAGTCACTAGGGGGCAGTGTGGTCAACCAACCGCAACTAGTGCTGAGCGTCAGTGGAGAAAAGCCAGTGTAGGCCATGAAGTATCTGGATAGGATATTACAGTACTTACTCACAGGCCGCAGCCTAAAGTCACAGGAAATAATCTCAGACTGTAACGTTAACAAAAGCACCAAAAAACGTGGGTTAGAATTCTTGATACCTTATTGAAAAGACATTTAGATTATAAGCCATTTTTTAGTTTTTTTAGTGAATGTGAAAAATCCTTTGTTTTATCTGTATATTTTTTCTTTCGGTTTGTCCCTTTTGTCCTTGCTTTGTGTTTTATTGTTTTTCTTATGCGTATATTTCTGTTGTTTGTCTGTCTTGATTTTTATTGTCATTAAATAAATAAAAGGTGACAAGGAATTTGCAGCGTTACAAAGGCTGGGATTTGTGGGCATTTCAGCATTCTTTGTATAATCCGTGTTTTCAGAGTGCGTCAGTGAGCACCGGCCTTCGATTTGAATCAACCACAAAGACACAAAAATAAATGACTGGAGACCAATGACTTTCGTAAGCACAGAATACAAAATGACTCATGTTTCTCTCATGTTAACTCAAAAAAAGGTTATTTGATGTGAATGGTGTAACGCAATCAGGCTGTGTTTGGCAACTCAAAGTGCTGAACAAAACAAGATAGAAAAAAATCATACAAGGCATTGAAATTTTATGTTTTGTTTTTTTTCTTCTCTAAAAGCCTTTACGGTTGAACATTAGACCTGGTTTGCTCTTTTTTTCATGATACCAACAGTTTCACATGTTCTACAAATTGGTTATTTACCCCACTTGTACAGTTGTGAGAGGCATATGGCTGTCCCATAACACACGTCTAACAGCAGTGGAAATGTTTTCTATCCTTAAAGCCCTCTAACTTTGAACCCTTACAGTCATTTGGCACAGGATTGGAAGGATGGCTCAAATAGAGGACAAATTTCCTCATGGAGACAATAAAGTATAATTTAACACTTGGTTCACTGTTTTTATTGTTTATTTCATTATTTTGCTTTTGGGTCCTTCTGTTTCATCTTGTGAACAATTTTATTTTGAAAAAATTAGAACTGTTGTGATACGTACAATTGGTGAAAAACGGATCTGCCACGTCAAGGCTCACCTCTGCTGTTTTTTGGACTTTTATACCAGTGGTAGAATGGGGCGACATTAGCTCAGTTGGTGGAGCACTGGTCTTGGGTTCGAGCCCAGCACGACCCATGTCACCTGCTCCCACTGATGTCTGCTGTTGTTGTGTCCCTGGGCAAGACACTTAACTCCACATTGCCTGGAGCCCCCCGCTGAAAGACCAAGGCCATCTCATTGATGCCAGGAGGATCAGCAAGGGACTGGTGCTTTGAGACTTGGGTGGCAGCTCTGATTGTCACCCCCCGACCCAGAAATGGATTAATAAAGGGGAATGACATTACACATGACATATAAGTAGTATACATATTGTGTGTGTGTGTGCGTGTGTGTGTGTGTGTGTGTGTGTGTGTGTGAATATTTATTACGCTGTTTAATCGTTTATTTAAATATCTGCCACAAACAAATATACTTGTGTCCATAAACAAGACCAAATCTGCAATGGCTCAGCTGCTAACTCATTGTGTGAAGTACATTTGAAAGTGTTAATGACTTAATGAGACAAACTGCAAATGAAAAGAGCAGATACATGAGCTGAGTCTGTGAGTCTGTGATGTATAGCCATGCATTAAAAAGCTTGCTTCTACTGTATATCGGGCTTCCCCTTTTAACCAACATATCAAACATACAGTATATCTAACTGGGGTCCAATCACATTTGCATTATTCTAAAAAGGATGAAATTGCATCCCAGACAACAGTACAAGTGGTCCGAGTGAATAAGAACCAGTCTACGTGAGTCAGACCACCCACCCATCTCCACGTCTTCAAACACTCAGATCTCAGCTGCAGTTTGCGGATGACAGATCATCACTGAGAGAGCAGCACAACCTGTTGCCAGGTAATGCCATCATTTTTATAATCAGCTCATTAGCCGTAGTTTCACAGATGTTCTTTTACTGTGTGCAAGCGGATATGTGCTTCTTTCACTTGATTTATTTTAATTAGTCACTGATGTCACTGAGCTGGCATTGTCGAATTGTTGTTGTTATCATATTCAATGTAATCAGATACATATTCGTGCATACATAACAATGCTTTGTAATTTAGATATTTGTTGTGATAGAAACTAGTGGCAATAATAATTACAAATACATTACAAAATATTTACACAACTGTTTTATTGTGTTAAAAACATTGAATAGTTGTAATGCTTCTATCTTGTTGTGAGTTGCATTGTGTGTGACCTGTACTATACAAACAACTTCCCATGCCTATAGTTTCACAACCAATAATACATGATTTTGACTTTTCCAGCCATCATCATGACCGCTAGCAACACCTCGATAGAAGCCACTCATTTTTCCAACACACTGTGGCTTCCTGAGGACTCCCTGAGCTCCCAGAACACAACATTCGTGGACTTTTATCTGCACAAAGCCTCCATCGCTGCCGTTTTCACCAGCTCCTACCTCCTCATCTTCCTCATTTGTATGTTGGGGAATGGGACGGTGTGTTTCATCGTTCTTCGGAGCCGGAACATGCGCAGTGTCACCAACCTCTTCATCCTCAACCTGGCCATCAGTGACCTGCTGGTGGGTATTTTCTGCATGCCGACGACCCTAGTGGACAACATCATCACAGGTAAAAATATCTACACACTTTTGTTAAAGGGTAATGCAACTGTCACAATTTTCTGGGCTTTCATGTCTTCAGGATGGCCTTTTGGAAGTGTAGTGTGCAAACTGAGCGGGATGGTCCAAGGGATTTCAGTGTCAGCCTCTGTGTTCACTCTGGTGGCCATCGCTGTTGACAGGTGAGTGATGGGCCAAAAACAGTAAAAGTCTGTTTTTTGTTTTAGAATCATTTTTAGAGCTGTAATAGAAGTGCTCGTAAGATTGATCTCTCTTATGCTAAAGCTAGAGATTTTATACATGCTTCTTTATTATGCAAAAGTTAGAGATTTTGTTTTCAGATTTTAGTAGTTATTGTTCACTTATGTTTTGCTGTGTGCTCCTAATTAGTAAGTAGGTAAGCAATCTTTATTCATATAAATAAAGATTTCACAGACCAGAGTCACAAAGCGGTTAACAATTGTTTTTGGCATTTGTCTCTCACTCCACACAGAGATGGGGGCGGGGTCGCCAGCACAGGAGGCGCATGCCAGACCTATTGTACATGTTTTTAGTGGTAGGGGAAACCAGAGTACCTACTGTAGATTAAACCGACACGGGGAGAACATGCAAACTCCACTCAGAAAGGCCCTGTTCCGACCGGGATTCAAACCCAGGACATTCTTTCTGAGAAGCGTATGTGCTATCCACTCAGCGACCGAGCCGCCCCATTCAGACTGTTCTGTAATGTGCGGTGCAACACTGAAATTTCCCCACTGTGGGACGAATAAGGGATCTATTAATCTTATATCTGTACAGTTATATCTCGGCCTTTTAGTACATTTAAGATAAGAGAAGAGAACATTTGTGCGTCCCACAGTTGGGAAATTTCAGTGTTGCAGCACGCATACCCCATAGGACAGTAGTAGAGCACCTTTTGTGCACACAAAAACGCAGAAATAAGTAGTTGAGAATACTTATTTCAGCTCAAAAATGACTAAAACTCTTGTACAACAATATTGCTGTTAACATAGATTTGAATTTAAGTTTTTCATGACATAACAAAAACCAATATGACGTTAATATGCTTCTAATTTTTGCTTCTTTGGTTCTAATTTAGGTATAATCAATAGCAGAATAATACATATATTTGCGTGACTTGGATGCTCAACACACTTTAACCACCCGAGACCTACTTTTACAGAAACATCGCTGGTTTGATTCACGAGGCAAAAGGCCATGTGCTCAAATCATCTGCAGTAGTTTGGTAAAATGTTTTTGTCTGCAGGAATGTGTAAGCGCATACACGTAAATTACTGCGTTTTCAACCCATTTATATTGGTCATAGAGTCAAAAGATTCTGACAAAAATACAGTATACATGGACACAACAGACTCAGACTAAGCCATGTGAATGAAGTGTCTTGCCGAACGACACGACACCAGTTCGGCACAAAAGTCTCCCATCACAGAACTAACCAGACTTACGTAGACCTGCTTAGCTTGCCATGTGGCTTTAGTGGAATATCTACGACAAAAAATGTGGCCAGGAATGCTTGTACCACCGTAGTCTTGTAGTTGGCAATAGGGATTTTTAATTTTTTTAAATGTCTAACCTAGTGGTAATATTTCCAACCCTAAGCCCCATAAAAACTTAAATCTACTCTTCACAACTGTCTCCAATCGTTTTGTGTGACCTTGTTCTGTGAAATGTACAATAATGTGAAATATACATTTTCTTTCAACACAACCAACCACTTATTTATTTCTGTGCCCACCAGATTTCGGTGCATCGCTTATCCCTTCCGACAGAAGCTAACCATTGCTACCTCCAAGATCATTATTGCCGTAATCTGGGTCTTGGCCGTCTTCATCATGTGCCCCTCGGGTGTCATGCTCCGGGTCACAAAGGAGAAGAACTTCCTCATCGTTCTGGGAAGCAACAACAGCACTCGCCCTTTCTACTGGTGCCGAGAAAACTGGCCCAATCAGGAAATGAGAAAAATCTACACCACGGTGCTTTTTGCCAATATATACCTCGCCCCACTCTGCCTTATCGTCGTCATGTACGCCCGCATCGGCTTTATCCTCTTCAAAACAGCCATACCCCCGCAGAGAGGAAGCAAAATTGAGTATGAGAACGGCAGTGGGAAGAACAAATCCGGCACAGACAGCCGTCAGACTATTACCAGGAAGAAAAAGCGTGTGATTATGATGCTTTTGGTTGTAGCGCTTGTATTTATTATTTCCTGGCTGCCCTTGTGGACTCTGATGATGCTGAGCGACTACGCCAGTCTCACAGAACACCAATATCGCATTATAAACATCTACGTGTATCCGTTTGCGCACTGGCTGGCCTTCTTCAACAGCAGCATCAATCCCATCATCTACGGTTTCTTCAACGAGAACTTCCGCCGGGGGTTCCAGGCGGCTTTCAAGTTCCAGTTGTGCTCCGGAGACATGGAAAGGCAGAGGTCCAACTCCATGCGTGTCCGAGGGAACGCCGTGCTTCCTCTGCAGCCTCTGACCGGCAACGAGTGCAAGGCTGAACTCGGGAAAGTCGAGGCCAGCAACGGGAATGGTCTGTTTCTTCAGGACAAAAAGTGTATGTCTGGGAAAAGTGTTCAAACAGAGCAGTATCTGATCGTGGAAGATGTAGAGAAGGAGTGTCAGTTATAAGGATCTAGGAAGGAGACAGTTTCCAGTTGCTATTGTTTGTTTGGGTTTCAGCGTCTTGTTGTATGCACCGTTGGACTATTTGTTTTGTTTACTTTTCAATGTTAGTCACTGGTTTTAACAGAAGGGAGCACATCACCCCTGTTTAAGTGTCCCTCCACTGGCTCCCTGTGTGTTTTAGAATTGATTTTAAGATTTTACTGATTACTTTTAAAGTTCGTTTCGGTCTAGCACCCAGCTATATTTTTGAACTTTTAAGCCCCTACGAGCCCCCCCGCAGCCTTAGATCCTCGGGCAGGTCCCTGTTGACTGTTCCATGGTCGAGGCTCCGGACGAAAGGTGCCGAGCCTTCTCTGTCCGGGCTCCTCGGCTTTGGAACGACCTGCCCAAGGAGATAAGGCTCACACCATCAGTATCCTCTTTTAAATCACTTCTTAAAACTCACTTTTATCAAACAGCTTTTAATTGTTAGTTTTAAACGTCCCATTTTGTATTTCACTGTTCCACTCTGTCTGTGTTGCGTCTGCTCTGTCAGCTTTGTCTTCCTGTATCTATCATATCTAATTATTTTGACTTTGTATTATGACTGTTTAATTGTTTATTATGCTGCTGACTGTGCAGTGCTTTGTAAACACTGTTTTTTAAAAGTGAAATACAAATAAAGATTATTATTATTATCATTATATAACAGGAGCTTGAGCGTGTTGACGCAAATCTTTGTCCATGAACACTTCCCTATTGGCCTTCATTGAGCTCGGGGATTAGCATTGTCCATCTATATACAGTCTATGGTTTGTACAAGCCTTTTTGGATGTTTGGACTTGAATATGTGTGTGTATATATATGTGTATGTGTGTATATATATGTGTGTGTGTAGATAGGTGTACAACGCTGTGTAAATACTCTCGGAATTCTGTTGTGTAAATTACTAGAAGTCCGATGGTGTTTGTAATAGTATTTAGGGAATTTAATTGATGTACTTCTTCCTCCCACTCCCTTCCAACAGTTTGACAACAAAAACTAGACCTTTTTGGCACCTTTGTTTGTTCGTTCATTCAAGAGCCGCTCTCATCAGACATGGAGTAGGAGTAAGAGAGACGTATGAAGTGCTCTCGTTTGATTGAAAACTGTTTTTTATTCAATGGCAATGAATCACCCTGAAAACTTCCCCTGGTGTTTATCAGTATGTTGATGTGTGCTCTTTCCTTATACAAAATCATATATATATAATGTTCTTTCTGGCAGGTGGCGAAGCTTATTAATATCCCTAATTAATATCCCCATATTTACTAATGCCTCTATGTTTTAAAGGTAATGAGTAAACATGGATTTTAGTGATTACCTGCCAAATTGCTCTTTTTTCTTTGTCTATTTGTCTGTGAGTATTGTTATAATGATATTGATGCAAAAATCAATACATTAAAGGATTCTTTAGCTCCCCATTGTTTGTATACTTGACTTGTATATACCTATAAGGAACTCTCCCGAAACAATGGAGATACTAGTAACAATACACAAGTAAAATCATAAAACAAATAACAGACTTGGAGATTATTATCCATGCATTTGTCTCCAGTCAATTAGACTACTGCAATGGCTTGTTCACAGGTCTCTCTAAACAAGCGGTAAAACAGCTGCAGTACATCCAAAATGCTGCAGCTCGAGTCCTGACTAGAACCAGGAAGTACGACCATATTAGTCCGGTCCTCAGGTCTCTACACTGGCTTCCTGTGGCTCAGAGAATAGACTTTAAAACAGCTCTGCTTGTGTACAAGTCTCTCCATGGCCTCGCACCCGGGTACATCCGCGACATGTTGGTGCCATATGAACCAACTCGGGCTCTGAGGAGCACAGGGACTGGGCTCTGAGGAGCACAGGGACTGGACTCCTGTTAGTGCCAAGAGTCGGAACTAGACATGAGGAGGCAGCGTTTCAGATTCATGCAGCTAGAGTCTGGAACCGTCTTCCCGAGAATGTGAGACAGGCGTCTACTCTGGCAGTTTTTAAAACTGAACGGAAAACAGTTCTTTTTAGCTGTGCATACAAGTGAATGATTTGTTTTTATCTTTAATCTTTTTAATGCACTGTGACTATTTATGATTTTAATCCCATGTGTGATTTGAATGTTTTACAGTTTTTAACTACTTGTGTGTTTTTATTTTTTATGTTTTTAATATATCTTGTGCTCTTAATCTGTCTTTTTATGTTGACTTAAATTCTAATGTTTGATGATTTATGCATGATGTTATATGGGATGTGAGGCGCTTTGCGTTGCCTTTTGTAGGAAAGGAGCTCTACAAATAAACGTTGATTGATTGATTGATTGAACATATACAGTACATACAATATTAATGTCATGGTGTGGATTTTTGTTATGTGGTACTGAAGTTCTCTTGTGGTTTTGTTTCAGTTTTACTTCCTGTCCTGTCCCTCTGTGTTATTGTCTGCCCCGCCCTGATATGTTTCATCTATGTCTGTCTGTGTGTATATGTACATGCGCTTGGAATTTTGAGGTTGTTATTTTTTTTTACCTTGGACTTTAATTGATACCATCATTAATTCACACTGTTTTGTATCTCTGAATTTCAGGTTATTTTTTATTTTCCCCCTCATAACAATGAAATGGCAATAATCAAAATCTAATCTAGAAAGCTCTTAACAACCCTGAGCTCCAAACAGATGAGGGCTTTATTGTCTTTTTAATGGTTTTTTGTTCCACAGAGCCCCTTGATAGTCTTGCACAGCTATTGCACAATGTGTTTAACTACAAATAGAAAATAGACAATATTCAGAGTTTGAAATGAAAGCACATGGGCAGAGATGGTATAAATCATGAGCAGATGATCTTTTGTTTCTTGTGATTAACCAATTAGTTGATGAATTCTCAAGGGAGATATGATAATGGATGTTCTTCTCAACAGATTAAAGCTCCTTGCAAATCACTAATCTTCAAAAGGCCATTAGCGTTACTGTCTCCTCTGTGTCCTCCGCATTAAGGCACATTTCAATCTCCTCCCTAAAGGAAAGGAATAGAAACGATCTGATGTTTGCTTATTGTCAATCCGCAGAAGATATTAAGCTACAAGATACAGAGAATAGCAGAAATAATTGATTATTTTAAATCACAGTTTCAAAATAGACGCTACATTTTCTAATTATGTGAATGGTAGGGTATGGTGGGATTTTTATTTTTACCGAGACATTGTAGAACAGGGGTCTCCAACCTGTGGCTCGAGAATTACCAGTAGCTCGCCAGCTCCATTCAGGTAGCTCGCCAAAGGATTTAGAATTTAACAAATATTATTGAATGAATACGATATGATATATTCTCCATGATTTGTCGTAATTATTAAAAAGAGATTTACTACGACTGCAAAAAGGAGTAGCTCTCTCCCTTTTCTTTTATATTAAAGTAGCTCCCCGATTGAAAAAGGTTGGAGACCCCTGGTGTAGAATAATCCTTAGCCAAAAGGAGAGATGCATTGTACCAGGTTATTTCTAGAGTGCTAATGTACCCCTCAAGTCCCAGAGCAGGGTGATGTCACAATAAAACAAAAGTAGATGGATACATGATCATACAATGCATACATTATCAGACACAAGTTACAATTTAAGACAAGATTACATGGTATTACAGAGTACCTTATGTGCATGAACGATATTCTACGACATTTGAATAAGTGAATATCGCAGTGCAACGGTGCAGTTCTAGGGCAGGTTGTCATTAAGTGATTTGTTGTACAGTCTGACAGCGGTGGGGATGGGGACCCTGCATTTAGGGTGTCTCAGTCCTCAGCTCCTCTACAGTCCTGCGCAGTGAGTGGGAGGTGTTGTCCATGATGGAGGTGAGTTTGGCGAACACTCTCCTGTCCCTCACCTCCTCCACAGAGTCCTGGGGGCAGCTGACTCTTCTGACCAATCCTACACGTTATAGTATGATGATATGATAATAAACTACCTGCAGACTTCATTCTTCACTTTCTCTGCATGCACACATTCATAATACGCTCATTTCACACGTTTTTTGATCAGGCGTAAATTCTATAGTTTGGTGCATGTGGTGATGTTAGTTGGTCGTTCCGTTGCCTTTGGACAAATGGCTCATATGTGTTTGTTTTTACTGCATTGCCTGTGTTCTGTTTGATTCTCTGATCTGTTGCCGGTGAATCAACAACCTTGTAAAGTCCTCCGAGATGTCTACTGTCGTGATTTTGGGCTATACAAAAACACATTAGAGTTCTTTAAAAAAATAAAACATAAAAATCCAATGTTAAGAATGTTGTATTTTGTTAGAAATGGGCAGTGCTGGTGTAGTTTTAGGCCTTTATCATGAATTTGTTAAGCCGGTTTATAAATTTAACCAACATTAATGTGTTTTGTTGGTCAGTGATGAATGAACGGCGACTAATGCTCTGGATCTATGTCTGCAGACGAATAATCAGATAAAGTGGAAAAAAATGGATGGATGGATGATGTCTGTTTCCTCCTAAAAACCTGTGAGTCCTGGATCTACTGTCCATCTGTGGGAGTAGATCCGTCTCACATTGTGGGCCTCTCCAAAGTTTCTCACTTTTCCCCACTGGACTTTTGAGTCGTCCCTCGCCATTGCAGGAGGGTCTAAGTGGTTATCCTGATCATTTACGGACATTTTTTGGAATTTTGTCATCCTGCTTACTATGGACAAAAGACCTCTGTCACATAAATGTTTCGGAATCAATATAGATGGCAAACAAGCCCATCCATTTACTTCATACAAAAAATGTAAAAAATAATGAGTGCTTATGATTTTGGAGATTTTGATTTTACTGTATAAGAAATAATAATCCAATATTTTAAATGCTGTATAATAATTTAGCGCTAAAAGATGCAACATCATTGAATTCACTGTATCTGATTATTATTATATTATAATTATTCATGACTTTGGGAAGGAAACTTGTTGAGTACAGCCACATTCAAATACACACTGGTAAACAGCACCCCCTGTTGGAAAGAAAATAGAAAGACACCAAACAAGAATTCTGTGTTCACAAAAGAGCAGTTTTTAGTGTTTTAGTACAGATGACGTTAGTGTAAGTGAAAAGTATTTCATCCTTTGGACACGTCTGTAAAATCGCCTATTGTTCAAGTCTCACACACATATTAGGACCATGAGCATATACACTGTTATGCACAAACTCGTATAAAGTACTTTTTCAAGTCTTGTTTTGCTTTGGAAACTCATCTTCATAAAATATAAATGACCACAACAAGGTTTTGTCGTGGTCCAGTGTTTGATGTGCTTGTTCTGATCCTCTGGTCGAGAGCGGGAGCCACTTACATGACATGCTCCAAACATATAAAGTCATTTCATACAATCAAAGATAGAATATACATATATATAGATGCTGAAAAACAGTCAGTAAAACCAGTTAAGACATAAGCTATCACAGGGACTAAGGCATACAATTGTAATGTGAAGTGACCGAAACAGACAGTAATCCACAACATGGAAAATGACTCAAAAAAGTTTTGATTCCATCATTTTGAACCAGGAAGTAGGTCCAGGAGTAACTCACAAAACCCTCATAATCTAACTATGAGGGTTGAAAATCTCTCTATGAAAATCTCTCGTTGGATTTTCAACCTCACTGTGTATGTGTATTTACTATGTCTGTTGTTAGGAACTTTTTTTTTCTTTTCTTTACAAGATTTTTCCTTTGATTAAAGAGTGAACGCCCCAAAAACTCAGACGGACACATCAGACCCACATTGTCTTGTATATGTTTCTTTGTGTTGTCGCAGTTAAGGGCAGTGGCACATTTTTGAGAGACTCCCTTCCATTCGTCGGCTGTTGTAAGTAGTTTACCAACACTACACCGCAAAAAGGTATGAAAAATTAGTCAAAAAATTGCTAAAATTAGGCAAAATGTATATTCATTTGAGCACTTTCTGACTGCCTTAAAACAAGATTTGCCGATGGGACAAAGCAAAATGATCTTGTTTAAAAAGATGTCTCACATGGAATGACAAAATAAAGCAAAAGTTCGTAAAATATTATCAAATAGCTTAGATCCATTGGTAAATCTTGTTTAAAGGCAATCAGAATGTCCTGAAATTACGATTTATTATCCCATATTCTACTACTTTTTGCTGTGAGACAGTAAAGAGAAGGGCTGAAATTTAATTTCTAAATAAAATCAAATCCCTTATAAATATGATGACTATTATTATGACGATTTTATCTTCTTTGCGTTGAGTTACTCAGAGCCTTTTAAAAAACATGTTGAATGAAGAATACATAGCAAAGGACAGGCATACTGTATCTAAAAGTATAAAAAAGACTGCGTTTTGCTTCATCCTTCGTCCTTTTTGACGACCTCTGTATCTTCACTGTTGAGATCACTGTGTGTGGCCTGGTGCAGCGGAGTCTCCAGTCTCTCCTTGTTCTGCAGATCTGCTGAGGAGTTCAACATGTCTGGTTATAACATGTTCCATTCATCTGATAATTCTCTTCTGGAAATTACTTAACCTGCTGCTATTATTACCATTGTTTATTTATAAATACATTATAAACATCTGTAAATACCTCCTTCTGACTTCATTGTATGCTCCACTAGTAAGTACAATTATAGCTCCAGAGTTTTATTCTATTTTATTATCACTGCAAAAATATAGACTGATGTAATTCACTTGATTTCATTGTCAACCCTCCATTTTCTTCCGCTTCATCCGTTGCCAGGTCGCGGGGGCAGCAGTCTAAGCAGAGACGCCCAGACCCTATCCACACACACTTCCTCCAGCTCATCCAGGGAGACCCCAAGGTGTTCCCAGGCCAGCTGAGAGACAAAGTCCCTCCAGCGTGTCCTGGGTCTTCCCCCGGGGTCTCCTCCTGGTGGGACGTGCCCGGAACACCTCCCCGGGGGCGACCGCATCACTGCACACGCTGTGCCGCCTGTCAATCTCACTCTCCATCCTTCCCTCACTCGAGAACAAGATCCCGAGATACTTGAACCTCTCCACTTAAGGAAGGACCTCTGATTTCAGTGCATTTATCTAATCACATTGACTTTTTTACTCATGCAGGCTGAATATTATTTGTTATTAATGTTTAAAGTGGAGAAATCATGATCCACTGGCAGCAGATAATCTAGCTTGAAACAAGTACATTTCCTCTAATAGCATCGTAGGCATTTTTTCTTGTTTTTTTGGAGCCAATTTTTGCAGTTATCTTACTACTTCGTATGTTTTATTTAATTTTAAAATCACATAAAATTATATATCCTGTTTGATGTGTGCAATCTGAGTGCTCTTATTTCCTTCTTTCTTTTATTCTGCTGTAATGTGCGCAACGATGACCTAGAAATTTCCCAAATGAGGGACGAATAAAGGTCTTTCTTATCTTCTCTTCTAAAACGTTTGTGTTTGTGCGACAGCCGGCGTGAGTTTTTACCTGCTACATCGACAAAGTGCTCTTCTTGCTGATCACTGTTGTTGCTGGTGCTCACGGAGTCGGCCTGTTCCTCGTCCGCAACAATTCTCTGCCTCGCGCTCTCGAACACAGACTTAATGACGATGGAGTCTTCATATATCTGCAGAGAGGAAATACAAACATAAATTTAAAAAAAAGTATTGTGGTCAGGTCATGAAAGATATTGAGCTTAAAAATCTCCAACCTGAGATCCTTCCAAGTTGTATGTCTGAGCATTTTGACACAGCTGGTGAATGTCCTTTTCCAAATCCCCCACACATCTGTATTTGTGGTTACGCACTCGCTCCTACAAAACAGGCACCAGTATTTTTCAAACACACACTGCAAAAAAATGATAAAATATGAGGTGATAATTGCTTGAATTGAGTGGGTTTCATTTTAATTTGAGCACATTCTCACTGTATTCAAAGTGATTTAAACAAGATTTGCAAATGGGACAAAGTAGGTAAGTAATGTTTATTTATATAGTGCGTTTTTAGAGAGACAAAGGTCACCCAAAGTGCTTTACAATGTTCAGAGTTCAGATATTGTTCCAATCATTCCACACACGGTTATGACTGAAGCGAGTCGCCGAACACACTGGCACATCAGCCCCAATCAACACCATCCATTCACTCTCTCATTCACATTCATACTATTGTACATGTTTTTAGTGGTAGGGGAAACCGTAGCACCCGGAGGAAACCTACGCAGACACGGGGAGAGCATGCAAACTCCACTCAGAAAGGCCCTGTTTCGACCAGGATTCGAACCCTGGACCTTCTTGCTGAGAGGAGAGAGTGCTATCCACTAAGCCAGTGTGCCGTTTAGTCATTAAGACTTATTTCAGCTTCATTTGCTCATTCTAAGAGAGACATTTCTTGTATATTTTTAAAACAATATAATTTTGATTTTTTCTATTCGCAAATCTTGTTTTGAGGCTGTCAAAATGTGCTCAAATTAAACTTTTTACCAAATTTGAGAAATGTTGGACTTATTTTCCATCACTCTTTGCAGTGCAGCCCCATGTGAAAAATATAAAAGTTAAATTTTTAGGTTTTTCTCTCAGTAACTCTATATATTACATCTGCTTCTATATCTTCCCCGTCTTTGCCGTTATGTTTACATCACACTATAAAACCCCAGAACGTCAGGAGGGAATTTGAAATCAACACATTTTTACAAGCTGATCTAAACAATTCATGACTTAAATGTTTATTGTTTAATTTCACTTTAAAGTCTGTGAAAATGGCTCTCACCCTGATCCTTCTGAAGTCCACAGGTTTTCGTATCAGCTCGTAGTACTCTGGCACCTCCTTCCTGGAGGGAAGCTGCACAAAGCCTTTGCTTATCTGTCGCCCATACCTGACACAAACAGAACATGTACATTCTATGAGGATTCTAGAGACAACAATAGCAGCAATAGTGAAATATGTGAGATTTAAACACAGAAAACACAGGACAGGTCTGTATATCAACACAAACACAATCACCAACAATGCTTTCAATCTAACTATAATTTATACAGCTTATTATCTTCCTAAAGACACTCGCTGGAGAGCAGTTTCAGTGACAGGCTTATCCACCCTCAATGTGTGAAGGAGAGGTTCCGCAGGTCGTTCCTTTATGCTGCTGTCAGACTGTACAATGAGAACTCCTGATTCTGTACATGTCCACTTGGACCTTTACCTGCTATTATTATTACTACATCATTACATTCTTACATATTCCATTCATCTGATTATTCTGTTTTGATAAGTCACCAGTCACTTTACCTGCTGCTATTATCAGTTACTCTGGTCATATTTTCTGCTGCTAAAGCTCTTGCTAACTACAGTGTATACTCCACAAGTGATCTATCCTTGAACCAAAAGAAATTATACCTACAGAGTTTTATTCTATTACCTTATTATTTCATTAATTCATTATTGTATTATCTATTATTGTAAAAAATAGATCCTGTTTGAAGTGTGCAAAACCTGACCGCTCTTTTTTTCTCCTTATAAAGTGCAACGATGACATTGAAATTTCCCCTCTGAGGCACGAATAAAAGTTTATCTCATCTCATAAAGTGCTTCTCTATGAAAGCGCATTCCTGAAGGACCCAGTGTTGGTGAGCGCAGCAGTGGAGGGTTTCAGAATCACAGTGACCCACCCGTCCTTGTAGTTGATGACCATGTCCACCAGGGTGTTGAGGAGGCGGGTGAGCGGAGGGGGGTTCGGGGGCAGCTTCTCCACCGGGGGACGCCCTCGCTTCCGTTTGACTTTTTCCCCGATGAGCTCTGGAGTGGTCTGCACCTCTTGCTCTTTGGTTTCAGGTTGATCACTTCTGCGTTTCTTCAGACTGATGTCCTCCTCCATCTCCTCCAGGAAACCGTGCTCTTCTCTTTGATTCTGCAATAACGAGGAAACAGGTGTCGTTATCATTGTGGTTGTTATTATTATTATTATCATTAACACGTTCATATTGATAATCATCTGTGACGAGGTATACACTGCACAAAGTGATGCAAAATAAGTCTAAAAAATTGCTCAAATGTGGCTAAATATAACTTGATTTGAGCACATTTTGACGGCCCCAAAACGAGATTTGCCAGTGGGATCTTGTTCTAAAAAGAAACACGAAATGTTGAATGATGAAAAAAAAGCAATAGTTCTTGAAAAATTAATACATGGCTTCGTCCCATTGGCAAATCTTGTTTTAGAGACAGTCAGAATGTGTTCAAAGTAAGATAAAAAAAAAAACACATGATTCATGCAATTATTAAACATCATATTTTGATTTATTTTTTGCCGTGTAGAATTATATATTTTCTACATTTATGCTTTATGAAGAAAACGTGGCCTTGTCATAAACAATCAATTAGTGATGGTTCGATGGTATATTAACACTATAGGACTCCCAGAAATATGAAACTACTGAAAAACCCATTTTGACTGCTCCCATTCAAACTAAAGACATTTTTTTTTACTAGAGCTGAACTGGTGAATATAACTTGAAATACACCAAATACATGCTAAATGCTAACGGCTGCAGGTAAACAGTGTGTTGCTATGGTAACCAGCAATCTAAAGAAAAATCATAAAAATAAATAGCATAGATATAAAGAACAGAAGAAGTACAGAAAAAGTCACAAATAGTTACGAAGAACCAAGAATATACACAGGCTGAGTAAATACACTTCCAAAACCGTCAAATTGACTGCTCTGGGTCTGGGTCTGACTATGAATGATATCAGCCTTATCTTATTTTAGTACTAGAAGTGTTGAGAAACCACAATAAAATAAACACACATGTTTTTTTCCTGGGTTGTCTTGGCCTTACACATTTTAAATAATGATGCAAAACGTTGTGGTTTTACTGCAGGGTGTTTAATGATCTGATTTGTAAATGTGTCTTCTGAGAGTTTTTATGCCACTACATGATGTCACTGTCATTGTGTTCAAGCACCAAAAGCTATTTTCTTAGTTATAATTATTATTAGGCCCGAGCCCCGAACGGGGTAAGGGCCTATTGCTTTCACAATGGTGAAAACAAATGGTGGCGGTGCGTGACGGACGCGTCAGCGCCCGTCACTCACCAAAATGTGACAGTTGCGTGCGTAAACTCAAAAGCTTTAAAATGATGTATCACATGCCATTGAAACCTATATTGTTTTTGCTCGAGACGTTAAAAAAAAAATTCCTTTTTTATTAGGCCCGAGCCCCGAACGGGGTAAGGGCCTATTGCTTTCACAATGGTGAAAACAAATGGTGGCGGTGCGTGACGGATGCGTCAGCGCCCGTCACTCACCAAAATGTGACAGTTGCGTGCGTAAACTCAAAAGCTTTAAAATGATGTATCACATGCCATTGAAACCTATATTGTTTTTGCTCGAGACGTTAACAAAAAAATTCCTTTTTTATTTATTAGGCCCGAGCCCCGAACGGGGTAAGGGCCTATTGCTTTCACAATGGTGAAAACAAATGGTGGCGGTGCGTGACGGACGCGTCAGCGCCCGTCACTCACCAAAACGTGACGGTTGCGTGCGTAAACTCAAAAGCTTTAAAATGATGTATCAGGTGCCATTGAAACCTATATTGTTTTTGCTCGAGACGTTAACAAAAAAATTCCTTTTTTATTTATTTATTTATTTCTTTCTTTCTTTCTTTTTTCTTCTGCACTTTGAGCCTTAATTTGACCCCCTGAACATGCATGAAAAGTTGTTAATTTTGGCCCAAAAATCAGACCTGGTGAAAAATTTGATATTTTGGTGTTTATTTTTATGGGACTCAAAAAATGACAGAACAGCGCCACCTACAACAGCCAAAATAATACCCCTATGGGACTTTTCGGAGGTCAAGTTTGTCGTAGAAACATGAGATTTGGTACACATGTTCTTCAAGTCAAGACAAGAAAAAAATATTATTATGGCTCCGCCCTCTGACAAACAGGGAGCCCATAAATCTCACTGCAAAATGGAAAAATGAACAGCAAAAGTTTTCATACATGTCGGTTGGAAAGCGACTCCTCCTCGGCCGTTTCACCGATTCGCCTCAAAATCGCTCCACATCATCTCAACACATGTACCTTCAAAATGACCTCAGGGATTTTTGATCAGTGAAACATTGTTCGAGCAACGGAGCGGCAAAATGTGACCTTTTTTTGGCCGTTTATGACAACATTAAATTTGCTCCTGTTTGCACAAACAAAGTCTGATTTGCACAAAACTTTAATACATTGTTAAGCTCTAGGGTCTAGGTCATTTGAAAGTTAAATGATTCCAATTGACTCATTAGCGCCCCCTACAGACTATTTCAAAGTTTTAGATGGGCATTTTCAAATTTAGTTTTTTCAAAATGTTTGAAATTTTGCACAAAAATCTGTTTTGCCCTACTTATTCAAAAAGTCAATTGGGTCCAAGGCTTATTTTTTTACTCTGTTGCCGTGGCGACAAGAAACGCTCCCCATTCATTGCAAATGTACACCTCACACAAACATCAAACCAGCCTCGGCCGTTTCACCTATTCGCCTCAAAATCGCTCCACATTATCTCAACACATGTACCATCAAAATTACTTCAGGGAATTGTGATCAGTGAAACGTTGTTTGAGCAGCGGAGCGGCAAAATGGAAAGTTTTTTTCTGCCGTTTTTGACAACATTAATTTTTTTCCCGTTTGCACATACAAAGTCTGATTTGCATCAAACTTGAACCCATTGTTCAACTCCAGGGTTTAGGTCAGGTGAAAGTGAAATATTTTAAATTGGCCCATTAGCGCCCCCTACAGACTGAGTCAAAGTTGACATGGGGAGCCAAACCAGCTCTACTTATCATATTCATTACAATTTGACTAACAATCAAACAAATCAACAAATCATCACACGGCGGCGCCACCTCCTTTGAGCGGTGCTGCGTGGTACGGTGTGGTGCGGCGTAGTGCGGGGCAGTGTGCGGGGCGTTGTGGAGCGGCGCGTTGCGGCTTGGTGCGGGGCGGCGTGATGCGGGACGGCGTGGTGCAGGGTGGCGTGGTGCGGGGTGGCTTGGTGCGGGGGGTGTGCGCGGTGTGGGGAGTCGCGCGGTGCGGCGAGGGCCGTTCGACGCCGCTTGCGGCTTTAATTATTTATTTCTTTCTTTTTTCTTCTGCACTTTGAGCCTTAATTTGACCCCCTGAACATGCATGAAAAGTTGTTAATTTTGGCCCAAAAATCAGACCTGGCGAAAAATTTGATATTTTGGTGTTTATTTTTATGGGACTCAAAAAATGACAGAACAGCGCCACCTACAACAGCCAAAATAATACCCCTATGGGACTTTTCGGAGGTCAAGTTTGTCGTAGAAACATGAGATTTGGTACACATGTTCCTCAAGTCAAGACAAGAAAAAAATATTATTATGGCCCCGCCCTCTGACAAACAGGAAGCCCATAAATTTCACTGCAAAATGGAAAAATGAACAGCAAAAGTTTTCATACATGTCGGTTGGAAAGCGACTCCTCCTCGGCCGTTTCACCGATTCGCCTCAAATTCGCTCCACATCATCTCAACACATGTACCTTCAAAATGACCTCAGGGATTTTTGATCAGTGAAACATTGTTTGAGCAGCGGAGCGGCAAAATGTGACCTTTTTTTGGCCGTTTTTGACAACATTAAATTTGCTCCCGTTTGAACAAACAAAGTCTGATTTGCACAAAACTTTAATACATTGTTGAACTCTAGGGTCTAGGTCATTTGAAAGTGAATTAATTCAAATTGACACATTAGCGCCCCCTACAGACTATTTCAAAGTTTTAGATGGGCATTTTCAAATTTAGTTTTTTCAAAATGTTTGAAATTTTGCACATAAATCTGTTTTGCCCTCTTGATTCAAAAAGTCAATTGGGTCCAAGGCTTATTTTTTACCCTGTTGCCGTGGCGAAGAGAAACGCTCCCCATTCTTTGCAAATGTACACCTCACACAAACATCAAACCAGCCACGGCCGTTTCACCGATTTGCCTCAAAATCGCTCCACATCATCTCAACACATGTACCATCAAAATGACTTCAGGGAATTTTGATCAGTGAAACATTTTTCGAGCAGCAGAGCGCCAAAAAGTGGCGTATTTTTTTTCAGTTTTTGACGATAGAAAAATTGCTTCCGTTTGCACAAACAAAGTCTGATTTGCACAAAACTTGAATCCATTGATCAAGTCTTGGGTCTAGGTCATTTGAAAGTTAAAATTTTGAAATTGGCTCTATAGCGCCACCTACAACAGCCAATTTAAAAATGCCTATGGGAGGGGTTCGATGTCAAAATTGTCGTAGAACCATGTAATTTGGTACACATGTTCCTCAAGTCAAGACATGGAAAAAATTTTATTATAGCTAATCCCTCTGAAAAACAGGAAGCTCAGAAATTTCATTGAAAAATGGAAAAATGAAAACCAATCATTTTCAGACATGTCGCTTGGAAAGCGACTCCTCCTCGGCCGTTTCACCGATTGGCCTCAAAATTGCTCCAAATTATCTCAACACATGTCCCTTCAAAATGACTTCAGGGAATTTTAATCAGTGAAACGTTGTTTGAGCAGCGGAGCGGCAAAATGTGAGGTTTTTTTTGGCCGTTTTTGACATTATTTTTTTTCCCGTTTGCACAAACAAAGTCTGATTTGCATTAAACTTTAATCCATTGTTCAACTCCAGGGTTTAGGTCAGGTGAAAGTGAAATATTTGAAAATATGCCCATTAGCGCCCCCTACAGACTGAAGCAATGTTTACATGGGGAGCCAAACCAGCTCTACTTATCATATTCATTACAATTTGACTAACAATCTTCTATGGCTATGGGAACAAATCACCACACGGCGGCGCCACCTCCTTTGAGCGGTGCTGCGTGGTACGG